CTGTTGACTAAAAATCACACAGGTATTTCCAGCATCTGATAACTGGCCCCATCAAAGCATATACAGTTACTGGAGTTGCATGAGTCAGGCAAGCACACATGGCACCCTATTGCAGCTGTCAGTATCTCTTTAGAAAAGATCTCTAGCTAAGGTCCCATTCACATATACTGCCGGCAGTAAATTGCTTCCCACTCACACCTTAGATAAGGTCATTGTAACAAAGATGGAGAATTCTGATGCTACACTACTGCTGGTTGCTGATGGAGAACGTTGCCCACTCAGCGCCAGTATCTCACATCCCCATAAGGAGGTGGACTATCATGGATGCTAAGTCGGGATTCAATTGATAAGAAATGGTGTTTGGAGAAGCACGATTCTGCTAATTCATCTACGGAAAAGCAGTGTTGGTGGTAGAATGCACTTCGTGGTGGTTATTAATACCGTACTTTTCGCTCCATAAGACGCACCAGACCATAAGACGCACCTAGTTTTTGGAGGAGGAAAACAAGAAAAAAAATATATTCTGAATCTCAGAAGCCAGAACAACAAGAGGGATCGCTGCGCAGCGAAAACAGCAATCCCTCTTGCTGTTCTGGCTTCTGTGATAGCTGCGCAGCCTGCATTCGCTCCATAAGACGCACACACATTTCCCCTTACTTTTTAGGAGGGGAAAAGTGAGTCTTATAGAGCAAAAAATACGGTACTTCATCAACTATGTTACTATGCAGGGAATTAAGAATTGCTGGTTCGCTGCACAGCTGAAACAGCTGAGAATGCATATATGCCCTTATCAGATACAGAAAAGTTTGAAATCTCAAGATGAAAGCCAAATGAAACTGTTGCTGCAAAAAGTACCAGTGTGACTACAGAAAATGTTTTAGACAATGAGAAGATGTAATGATAGTAGGAGAATTTACATCTATGTCAGCAACCATTCTGAGCTAATTTATAAGTTCAGTTTCACATGTGCCATTTAAATGATTGATGAATCTGTGGTGTAAGACAGAAATGCAATTTTCAGTGACTCTGCACAATATTTTAATTTATGGTATTGCTGGTAGAAAAATGCATGTACGCTTCCACTTCAATCTTCCTACTGCAGTTTTACCTTTGAAGAGATGCATTCTGCCTGAAATGCTTTATTAGTTTTCTGCTTCTTTCTCCATATAGAACTGTATACATTTGGGGAAAGCTGTGGCTCTGTAAATTTGACACGTCACTGGAAAGCATCAGTTATACGCTTTAAATACATCAGCTATTTCCTTCACTCTCCCTTGCTCTGGTCTCCTGAAACCGATGTGGTTGGAAAAAATTATTATCATTTGCAGCAGTGTGTTTTTGCCCTTGAAATGGACATGTGGGCCTATATATTCACACTGGTATACATATTTCTATCCTTTTGGGGGGGAAACGCTGATGGGCTTTCTTTGGAGTTTGTCAGTTTCACCCACAGGCCAGAGAAGAACATGAATGAAATTGACAGTTGTCTCCACCCCAGAGACTAGAGTGGAAGGACAGTGAGGGAAATGGCAAGGAGGAGAGTGGGCAGGTAGTATAGAAAAGGTGATACACACTGAACCAGTTTGCACATAACACTAAACCAAGCCATGATTTAGCATGAATGTGTAGGCTTCCAGGGAGAAGAGTGTGGTCACGTTGCAATGTGTTTAGTGCTGTGCTTTAAGCCATGGTTTGGCATAGTGCACTCACGGAACCCTGGCTTGTGCTTTATCTCAGTCCAGACAAACCATGAGCTGTAACCAAAGTTTCATGATTTGTTCTGGTCACAGGGCAATACGGAAGACAAGTGTGCTTTCTCTTCTTACAGCCGAAGAAAGTGTAGAAACAGTTGAAAAGCATAGCTTTTGTACATTGGGAAAACGTTCTCAAGTGACCATTAAGTACTTGAAAATAAATGCGTGATTTTGACTTAGGAGCTGGAACATCTCGCATAAAGTTTATTTGTTTCACTATCTATTCTCCTTTTTTGCCATCTAAATAGCTGCGTTTGTATAAGTGGCATTCTGAACCTAACAAAACAGAAAATAATTATTCCCCCCTGCATTGTGCTGTGCATACTCAGATAACTGATTTGGAAGAACAATAATTCATCATGTTTATGTGGGGGCACATTTGTAACCTTAATCTCATGTTAATCATTCAGGAATGGTAACTGATGATAGGATCTAGGAATTCTGCCAAATTTGTGCACAACATAGTTGGTCATGCAGTTGCTGCACTTCAGTTCCATCTGAAAAAAATCCTGTTCTCCGCAGTTGGAATCTAAATACTTCTTTTGCAGAAGCTGAGATTGGAACAATGTTTCTGCAGTTCATGACTAGTGAATGAATGTAGATAATACAAGCTGAGATTTTTAATTGCTTTGGGTGCTTATTAGTGCTTATCTGAGTTTAACGTTTCTCTTACATAATTAATTCAAATGGAGCAGTGTTGTGAAGTTTGATACCAAAAACAGAGCTTTCAGTGAATTTTGATTTCTTGAACTTTGCCTTTGAGCTCTCTCCTTCTTTTCTATTGTCTAACCTAATTTGCAAAATGGCATGATGGGGGTGGGAAGGTATATGGGATGAGTACCGTTTTCATGTTACTAATGAAAATAGCTAAGACATGATGCAGACACAGTGTTGAAGGGGGGAATGTAAAAGTCAAGGTGAAAAATAACCAAAATGTGTTGATATCAAATAGTTCTATAAAGATTTATTTAAATTCACAATTACTGAAATATTTACAAAATTATAAACAAATAATTTGCCGTAAAACTCTTGCAGCAGAGGTGTATTGCTGCATTTTAAACATATTGCTAGCAGGCTTACAGATCACACTGAAATGTAAGCATTGTGGATTAAAACTCAGATTGGCAGACACATTTCAACTTCTTGGTCTTCTTCGGTGGCCAAATAGAGAAAACAGTGTTTGCTCCTTCAAAGTTCAGTCAGAGTTCAGGTTCGCATTCATTCATACATGTGTTTTTTAAGAAAAATATTTGTCATATTTTGATTCATCTTTTTTTCATGTTTTAGATACTCCCCTAACAATAGTCTCTACACAGAGATGTATAATCTTATAAGAGGGGAAAAGTTTTTTAATAGCCTTTTTATCAGATCCCTTACTCATAGAACTCTTTTCAGTCAGGTTTGAAGTTAAAAGACAGAAGTATGACCTCAGTGTTTTATTGCACACAACACTGTATTATGCAGTATCTTGTCACATGGAACAGTGATTTATTATTCTATCCTGAGAAACAGTATCATAAAGTTGGGAGAATATCTACTTTTATATGTATATATTGTAACCAACAGATGCTAAACTAATGCTGTATATTATTACACATTTTCCAGCAGATACATGTTGAATGTATCTGACAATACAAAGAACCGCTTGATCTCAAAACTATGGTTGCTGCCAACTGTGCAGTAACTTAACATTACCTTCAAAGTTTGCAAAATGTAGATTTGCATTTTTATTTTTTTAATATTCTAATATATCCATATCACAATAGATTGAGTTGAAAAGTTAAAAAGTTTCATTCATGTAAGTTTGAATTTTGAGTTCAGTAATTTTTCATTTTATGAACACTTGTTTCTGGAACCTTTCCTGTACTATTTTGTTAACATCTCTTTGAAATGTTTCACTGAGAGCTTAAATAGTCTATTTTAAATCTATTTTGTAGGTATCCAGCTGCCCAAAGAAGATGATGTATCAATACCTATGATATCTAACTCTCCTGCTAAGGAGGCAGATGATAGTTCAGATCTCTCTATCGAGGAGGATGAGAAAATCAAAGAAGAGCCTTTAACAATATCAGAATTGATGTACAATCCAAGCAGCAGCTTGCTCCCAACTCCTGTTAATGATGAGGAGATTGATCTGCTTTTTCAAACCTCCCCAAGAGCAGATCATGAAAAAGAAGATACAGATTCATTTGAGGAACTGGAGGCAGATGAGAATGCCTTTTTGGTTGCAGAAGAGGAGGAGCTGAAAGAAGCCAGGAAAGCACTTAGGTGGAGCTATAACTTTTTGATGGGCAACATGAAGATAAATGCTGTCCTGAAGAGTTTTTCCAGACTTCTTCTTGTTGGGCTTGGAATAATCCTGGTTGTTTTCCCTCTTCTACTTGTGCTCTTGGAATCAGATCTCGATATCTCCTTCCTCCATGAAATCCGCCAGACTCCAGAGTTTCGGCAGTTTCACATTGAATATTACTGTCCTCTTAGGCAGTGGGTGGCCTGCAAAGTAGACTTTGTTAGCCATTTGCTTGGCAGCTCCTAAAAATTAAGAATATGCGACATGACTAAGGGCTATATTCAAAACTAGTGAATTTCAGTCAGTGCTAGGTGCTCATAAACATATTTAAGGCCATCAGCAAGTAGTTCTTCATTTTTTAATCCATAATGGACCTATGAAGTTCTTAAGTTTCCTTTTCATAATTGAATTATTGATTTAGCTACATGGTGGCCTTTCAGTAACCAAAAAGCAGTTATTTTTTTCTTGCTTGCTTGTTTTTATCAATGACTGAATAGAACAGAAATTTATCATCTCTACCATTACAAGCCATGATGTACTAAATTTAATTAGCGACAAAAAGAGGGTGATGCGTTTGAATATACTCCTTAGTGAAACAATCTCCACTAACCAATGCCTATACAAGCAATGTTGATTGCTGAGGTTTTCTTTCTTGGTTTGAATTTTCATTAAAAAAATAATATTTTTATGTGTTTACAAAATTTTGGTAAATTTTTAGCAAAGTCAACTTCTGAAGATATTTAAGTGTACAGATTACTAAAATAAATGCACAAAGGCATGTCTTGGTTTTTTAAAATGTTTTAGCAAAGTTTTTTTTAAAGATTGAAGAATGGGGTTCTCAGACATCTGCACAAGATGGTGAGTAGATGAGGGGGAAAGTAGGCAGGGTCTGCTAGATAGAGTTGAAACGACAACACCATGTTTCTAAGGTCCAAACTACACATTGCAAAGCAAACATGGGATTCCCTTATAATGGTGATGTAGGGGTTTTTTGCAGGGTTGAATTAACTGGCAGAAAGAAGTGCTTAAGCCAGTTCTTGTGCCCAGCTGTTCTCTCTTTTACCATGGTCATTTTCCTATGGTCTCCCACCTTGGTAGGCTCCAAGACTTGGAGATGCCCAGCTGTATGGGAAAACAGCCTAGAGGGAAAAATATGCAGGAAAGAATCTTTAATTAAGCTCTTCTTTCTGTTCATTGATCCTGCCCAGCAAATCTCTATCACCCCTGCAATCACGTCAACTGCCAGATATATTGGCTTTCCAGATGCATGACATATAATGTGTAGTTCTGTCCTGGCAGTTCTAAAGCTGAAGAGAGGTGAGTACTTTTCACAAGATGACAGTTCAGCTATTCCTGTGGTTCACCACTTGACTCAATGGTAATGAAAGGTCTTTGCAGGGCAGTGGAAGTACAGTTCTGTAAGAGGTTTAGGGATTAACTGTAGATTGTTGTACATAACATAGAAACATGCAGATATAAAAAACAAAAAGTCTAGGTAGGCCTACTTAAATATATAGAACTTAAAAATACACTGGTCTCTGAAAACAGAGACAGACTTTATGAAATGCATCCTACCCCCTGAATCCCAAGCATCTAAAGATGATTTTCTTAGTTCTTGATTCCTTTTATTACTGTTTCATCATGATGTATCCCAGAGTTTCTTAGTTCTTGATTCCACTCATTACTGTTTCATCATGATAAATCCTGAGTCACCGTTTTATGTTATTATTTCTTGTGCATGCTAACTCTCTTACCTGATATAAGTGACAATGGATGCACATAGTTCGCTCATAAATGTGTCCCTATGACAGTGGTTTGTAGTGATCTTTGTTGTCTTGATGTGCTGGAGGTTTTGTGCCTGTGTAGCTCCAAGTACTTCTAAGAGGCTATAAATGCATAAAACCTCACGTGTGTAGAAAAGATCAGTAAGTCCCAGTGCCCGCCCAACTTTGGAAAAAACAAAACAAAAATATTTTGTATTCCCCAGTTTGGATCTCCTGACACAGGATTATTCTCCCCCTGTATCTAACTGTATCAACTGCAGGACTCTTAAAGCCAATAGACTGATTTACTGCCAGTATGAAAAACACAACATTAGTTCCATTATTGCTGTAAGAATTGCTGCTATTTATGATTTATATGGAATTTATCAGTGTATAAAGTACTCAATTTTTTAAAAAAAAAACCATTTCCCCTCACAACAACCTATTGTGATAAGGTTATAATGCTGTTGTGTATCATTTAACCAGTTGAGCCTTCATAGTGTCTCATCCATGAGGAGTGTGAATCATGTTTAACATGTGAAAGCAGCACAATCTAAGTCACAACTGAACGTGATTAAGCCCTTCTTATTCATCTGCAACCCATACGTGCTCAACTGCACATCAGATTGTGTCTGTAATTTGCCCAATGAAGGCTTAACAATTCTTTCCTGGGGAAACATCAGGCACTCTGGTGAAGCTTCATGTATATTCTCTAGCTCTAAAGAATGTAAGTAGCTGTTGGATCAGGAGGTAAAACTGCAATTTGTTTCCTCTTTTTGAGCAGTTGGCTACTTTAGAATTGGGGGGGAGGGAATTTACATTTGCTTGCCCCCATCCCTTTAAAAGGTACCAGATATCTTTTTAGAATAACCTTTTCTCAACAGTAACTATCTGCTGTTCTCTGCCTCTCTTAAACCTTGCTAACAGTTGCTGATCAATAGTTTTTATTGCATATTTAATTCTTTAACAACTCCTAGCTGAATCCTTTCTATTGAAACATAAATCCATTTAGGACACATCTGCTTTTGGTTCCCAAAACAAAGATAACAAGACACCTGCATTTTAGGCACCATGATGATAGAATTAGGCAATACAGACTTTGCATATAGTGTACTAAAATAAAACCAAGTTCTATTCTGAGTCCTACAGATATATAAATTTACTGAGCCCCTTAATTATAATCACTTAGGTTCCTGGCTTCTAAAATGTAGTCTTGTTGATGTCATAGAGCTCCAGGAACATTAGAAACATTTGTTTGTATGATTTGATTAGGGAAGGGTTGGGTTGCATGAGGAACAGATTACCTCAGAGAATGGACTGTGCAATAAGGGTACATGTAGGGTTAGATGCAAATGCATGTACATGAATGTCTAGATGTATATACACATCCTTGATCCTGTAGAGCTTTCCTAAGGTGAATTCTACGGAATTATGGACACAACTTTTCTACATAACAGAGAGAACCGAGAAACTGGGAGAGTGTGTGTATATCATCAACAGCATGTACTGCATAGACTGAAGCAAAGTCTTGTCTCCAGTACTGGAAATGTCTGGCATATGAAGAGTCCATAGGTACAGTATTGTGTATTTCTGTCTGTGCTTGGAATATATTGTAAAACGTTATGTACTTGAAATCTATTTTGTGATTTGTCTAATATTTATAAACACAACTCTGGGAAGAATTAAATAGGGTTTATTTCGTTAAATGCAAACACACACAAAAATCTAGGGGGAAATGTACCTGTAAACTTGGGCCTTATCTTTGTAAAGTTCACATTTCTATGTCAACATCTTGATTGTTTTATATGTTACTATAATGACAGGACTCCCTAATAAAAGTATGTTGAAAAAGCCATTCTTCAATGTTATGCTCCTTATTGTGCAATAAAGTTCTTTGCAGAAGGAGAGTCGCTGCGTTATTATGGCTTGCATCATAATCATCACATTTAGAGGGGAAAACACATTAATGGCACAGTCCTCAGACTTGATATGCTAGCTTGGGGCATAGGATTAGGTGTGCTGACTGTTGTAACAGCCCATGTAATGATGTCACTACTGGAAGATACAACAGCAGTATTTAGAGTGAGACTGTAATAAATCTATACCTAAATGAAATTAAACTCACACCATATTATTCATGGCAATTATGTTTACTATATTTCAGAAACGGCCACCCAACTTCTTCGAATCATTCCATCTGCGCTTTCCAGGTAGAATGATTCCCCCTCTCCTTCCCCTGTGTTTCTTTGGGGGTTCCTCTGACACACACCCCTAGCCAATTTGGGGGGTTGTGAGGGGCTCATGGGGGGAGCAGAGGAATGAAAACTCAATTGCGCAAATGGAAATCTTTGCACAGAGCTTCTGATGATGGGGCTGGCCCTATGTATATCGTGCAAGAGGAACTCGCTTTGGTACCTTCTTTATTTATAACTAATAGACAGTGGCCAGCATTGCTTGGGAATTCTAACAAGAAAGAAAATCAGTGCAATTTTGAAACCAGTGGTTAAAATCTGTGCAGCTCTGAAAGGTTCAGTCCATCATCTTGATTCAAAATGGCATCCAAACAATGACAAAAACCTGCTCCTTGATCTCAGGAAATATCATGCAAAACTTGCTTGATAGCTTAAGAGGTGTGAAAATCCACCGGGAACAGGCAAAGAAACAACACTTTCCAAAATATATAGTAGATACCTATTTATATTTATTACATCCAGACTTTCTTCTAAATAGCATGCATAGGTCCCCATCCATTCTATCCTCCCGTCGATCTTTGGTGCCTTAGGAGAAAATATGCTAAAAGTAATATGTATCAGTATTTGAGAGTTAGGTATACTTGGCAATGGCATCCTGACAGTGAACCACTCATGGTTTTACTTATCATACTTAAAATGTTTAGAGAAGAATCAAGAGAATATGTCTTTGTAAAATGGGGATGGTTCCACTTCAGGAATTTTGTTTCATGAAAGCATCACACAGATGGTAAGTGAAACCAAACAATGATGAGTCAGTGCCATCTTCTGACCTTTTAGCATAATCCTTGTCTAATGGATGCTGATTACATTTATTACCCAGCCTTCACCAGCAGGTTCCAGGGCAGTCACAGGACAAACGTAACATCCATTATGAATACAGTACCAAGAACCATCCTGGATTAATATATAAGGCAATTAGAAACCCTTAATAAAAACAATGGCTAATTTGAAAATTGGATGATTTTTGATGGAGATGTCAGGGATTGAACCCGGGACCTTCTGCATGCAAACAGATGCTCCACCACTAAGCTGTGACCCTTCTCTCAACTTCTCCTAGGTGATAGGGTTAAGGCAAGGGATGGAACAGAGGCAGTCCAGATCACCGAGTACTAGGCAACCGTAATAAGCTAACTGCAATCCTATTCATGTCTATTCTAAAGGAAAGTCCCATTGAGATCAATTATTCCCAAGTGGGTATAGTTTTGTAGCCTTAATGTCTCTGAACTGGAGTTTGGTCTCCCTCTGTTTAGTCATTTGGTACACATACAATTTTGACATTTTGGAGTTATATCGTTCAACACATTTTTCTCTGCAGGATCGGCTCTAAGCATGCATAGATATGTGCTGATATCTGTGCTTTTTCAGGGGGGGGGACACAGGGGTACGCATACCCCTAAACATTTTGTGAATCTAAGTTTGACCTCATTGAGGGGCAGTACTTCAATATGAGTAGGAAAATGAGAGCACTGGCTGATATGAACAAGTGTAACGCATGAACTGGGCGACTGCAGTTGGTCAGCAGCAATTGGCATTGTCACAAAAGCTGCAGCACATATGGAATTTGCTACTGACCATCAGTGCTTTTTTAAAAAAGTTATAGTAAAGTTATAGTAAGCGCCACACTTTTAACACACTTAAAACATTGTCCAGTGATAGTACGGAACATGAAACTCCAGTCTTGCCTCCTGTGGCTCAAGGAGGCTTTCACAGGGACCCAAGCAGAAATCTCTCCAGGCCTGCAGCCTGTGATCCTTTTAACTGGAAATGCAGGGGTTGACTGGGAAACCTATATGCAAAGCATGGGCTGAACCCCTGAGTGATGGGTCCTCCCCACTTAGGAAAGTAAGAGAAACACAAAGCTACCCGCCCCAACATTATTTTGAAACAAGCTTTTAAAAATGCAGAAAACAAACACACAGAGAGACCACTCCAGGATTGTAAAAGAAATACACTACTGTCTTTGGTAAATCACTGAAATGCCTGTGGAACAAGTAAAATAAAATAGCTTGACGCTGGGACTACTAGCAACAATGGCTTAAATTGCAAAGGATAATCTTACTGTGGAAATATTGGATACACAGATTACTTAGTCTATAGTAGACTATATAAAGTCAGAGAAAAATACTTGTTTTGGAATTTGAGCTGAAGCTTGAACTCCCACATAAGAAATAAACAGAAACTGGGGAGGGGTGTTCAACTAAGGCTTGTTCAGAAGAGACCCCGTGAAATTAACAGATTTAACTTAGTTCTGTTCATTAATTTAAGTATTTGTGCACTACTGCAGCCAGTCTTTATGCAGGACTCCGGGGCCCTTGGGTTCAAAATGAGGAAGCACAGCCATCTATGGAGGCATTTCTGACAGTAATGGCAATCAAAGGTAAAAAAAAACCTGAGCCACTCTAAGCACCTCTCCCATTCATGCTTCCTAATAATTTGGAGATATTAGACGAAGTCTTACAGGGGTAAGACCGAAAAGGAAATCTGTCCATCTCATACTGCCAATATGCAAGTCAATGGTGCAACAAAACCATGTCCAGCTCTGGTTGCTGCGCCCAGAGAGCTGGAAAAGGTTCTAAACAGGGTAAGCAAAATACTCAAGGGGTTGGAGGAAGGGTTGAGGCATTGGGGGCTTTTTAGTTGGGGTGTGTGTGTGCGTGTTACAGGTGTAGACAAGTTATGCAAGGCGTAAAAGATGAGAGCACAGCAGAGGTTATATTTTCTGAGAATCCTCCAGAAAAACAATCTCTCAAAGGACCTGTTGACGGCATTTTACCATTGTACCGTGCAGAGTGTATTAACTTATGGTGTGTGTGTGTGGTTTGGGAGCTGCACGGTCAGGGAAAAAACAATGCTGTCCAGGGTTGTAAAGACTGCCGAGAGAATAATTGGGTGCACTCTTCCCACCTTGGATCAAATCTATGCTTCCAGGTGCCATAAGAAAGCTGCAGAGATAGCGCAGGATAGTGCGCACCCCGGAAATGATCTCTTTCAGCTTCTGCCTTCTGGAAGAAGGTACAGGGTTATTAAGACTAGGACTAACAGCTTCTATCCAAATGCGATTTTGGTTTTAAACACAGTGTAAGGTAGTCTTGGGACACGGGTGGTGCTGTGGGTTAAACCACAGAGCCTAGGACTTGCCGATCAGAAGGTTGGCGGTTCGAATCCCCATGATGGGGTGAGCTCCCGTTGCTCGGTCCCTCTCCTGCCAACCTAGCAGTTCAAAAGCATATCAAAGTGCAAATAGATAAATAGGTACCACTCCGGCGGAAAGGTAAACGGTGTTTCCGTGCACTGCTCTGGTTCGCCAGAAGCGGCTTAGTCATGCTGGCCACATGACCCAGAAGCTGTATGCCGGCTCCCTCGGCCAGTAAAGCGAGATGAGCGCTGCAACCCCAGAGTCGGCCATGACTGGACCTAATGGTCAGGGGTCCCTTTACCTAAGGTAGTCTTTATGTGAATATATTGTATTCAATTATGGGGTATCAGAGTTTTTAGGGGCTGACCAGGCTGGGATAGCAGGCTTGTGGGTTTTTGAATGTCTGATGTAGATTTTTTTTCAATTTCGTTGTTCTGTATGGGACAATGACAATAAAGATTACCGTATGGTAACTCTCTCACCCAACTGCTATGACCGATAACCAAGTGGAAGAAGAAAGCTCATTTTCTTCGTCAGGGTCATGGCGCCTCCTAGTGGAGCCAGCAGGCCTGTGCCGGTTTTTATTCCCTTTCCTCGAAGGCCCTCGAGCCTCCATCTCCTCAGCGCGTCGAACTCGCAAGAAAGTCCAATGTCTTCCCAGGGAATTTGGCGGCGGCTCCCCTGCGCCATATGCCAAGGCAGCTGGACCCCCTTCCCGGAGCGGGCTCGAGCTGGCGACCGCGCGAAACCGGCGCGGGAGTAACGAGGAGAGCCGCTTGGCGCCCCTGAAACGAGAAGCGCTGAGGGGAAAACCGACGTCCCTCTTCGGAGGCGAAGCCGCCTCCCCGCCCGCTTTGCCGACTCCACCCCCAGCGGCCGGTTTCCACGGGGACAAGAGCCCCGCGCCGGAGGCAGAAGGAGGCGGCTGAGGCGCCACCCGCAGCCTCCCTGCCTGCCTGCCTGGCTGCTCCTGCGGGTCGCGGGCTGGAGAGGCGCCGCGCGGGACGGGGCTCCCTCGCGAACCGGGGCGCCCTTCTCCCCGCGCCGACGAGGAGCATCCCGCTCTTCCCCGGCCTCTGCCGCTTGGTGAGGAGGTGCGTTTCCACTCGTAGCCCCCCGTCGGGGACGCGGCTGGCTCGAGGTTTTCTCCTCAGAGGAGAAGCCCTGGCACCGTCCCGCTTCGTCCCGCCTTCGGGCCCTTAGTTCGCCCCCCTCTCGGGCACTTGCTGAGGCGAGCGGGCCTTTCCTTCCGCTGCCCTCTACCCTTTCGTGTAAAGAGAGAAATAAACCTCACATAAGCCCCGTGCTTTTTCTGGGCGTGAATCTCTCACGCCTCACCAGAAATTCGCGGGTTTTCTGAAGGGGCGAACTTGGCGAGGGACGCGCGCGCGCGCGGGGCCAGATCGGATCTTCTGGGCCTGCCGAGTTGGAGGGAAGGAGAGCGCTTTGAGACCTAGAAACACTGCCTTTCAACAACAAACAGAGTTCCAGAAAGCCCATTACGGCTTCTGGGCAGTATCCAGCCCCTGAGTGCAGTGCCGGATTTATGTATAAAATTTAACGGGGGGGGGGGGGGGACGGACTGGATGTATGTTTCCAAAATATAAGATAAAAAACAACTACTTTATTTTTATTTCAGTTCAACGATTACTTTGATAAAATACATATTTTGTTATGTGCAAATGGCTTTAGGTCCATAAATTACCATATGCAGTGGTGTCCAAACTTTTTTCAAAGAGGGCCAGATTTGATGAAGTGAAGGGCCATGAAGTTGTTGCCCTTTTTTATGATTTCACCCCAAAGTTGTTGAGCTTTTCTTAGGATTGAAGTTGTTGAGGGTTTTTTTTAGGATTTTACCCCAGGAAATAAACTGCCACAGGGGCTGGATTAAAACGACCAGCGGGCCGGATTAGGCCCCCAAAACGAATTTAGGACATGCCTGCCATATAACATATATTCAACACAAAAAGCAGCGACAATTTGTTGTTGACGAAGGACAGCTGGACATATAAAGGGCCCCATTACCTTCAGGAGCTGAGGGCCTCATCAAACCAAAATCCGGCCCTGCCTGAGTGCATTCGCTGAACTTTGATATATCTGTGCAGCACAGTGCACTTTTTCTAGAAAAAGAGGTGCTGGATTTGGCCACAAATTTCTCCCTTGTTCTCTTTGAATGGTGGAGCTGAGCTCCAGTGAGCTCCGGCTCTAAAAAAAAGCCCTGTTTATATCTTATGGAGTTGCAGCATATTGTATTTATATATAACCTCACACAGCAGCATGTTGGCATATGGAAAGGGTTTACACAGCACACAATGGCCTCATTGCCAGGGAATTTTGATGCTGTGAGACATGTTTTCCCCTCTGTCTTAAGATCCAAGTAACAGTGGACTCATTGCCTTCGGTTGTTAATTAGCGTAAGGCAATCACGACAACATGAGTTCATCTAACCCTCTTTTTGAAAAGTCACTGGTGCCTTCTGGGAAATGAAAAAACAAGCTGTATGCATTATTATTTTTTTGCCTGTCTTCTCCAAATCACCCCTTGATGCCTTTGTTTCCTCATCTTTGTCTCTTCCTCCTAGACTTAACATTTATTTCCCATATGGGCTGCCCTTCTCAATATTGAAGCAATATTGAAAGTGAACTGAATTAATATCCTGTCTACAATATTATATTAAAACAAGAGTACAATCAAGTTACACCTTTAGGTGGCAGTTTGAGACTATATTTTATTTTGAAAATGAATACACAGTTTTGTTCATCTGTAATTACTACGGTATATTTGACATGAGAGACATGTGTCCAGTTTTGATTTGTTACAGCCCACCTTTTCTTTATTCAAGAAAAGGAGACCTGTGCTTTAGGTCAAAGCAACCAGCCTTACTTAGTCAGTTAAACTGGGAGATAATGACCTGCCCAAGATGACCCAGTTGGCTTTGTGGCCAAGTGCATAACTGAACTTAGCTTCCACATAGCTCAAATTGCCACTGCACCATACTGATGTCTTTCTCTTCTTGATTATGTGGTTGAAGTAGCTTAGTTTTCTTTTAAAATAATGTCTGGCCCTCAGTCCTGAAAAAGGTGTGTTCAGATATGAAGCTTTCATGTTGCAGCCAGCCTATACCGTGTTTTTATCATTACCTTTCTAGTAGTGAGCTCAGGTGCTGATTGCTGACAAGATTGTAACAGAATTGGGACTACTAGGAATCAAGAGGGAGGCACAGAGTTGTTTGGGAATTCCTGATTCTTGGAAAAGGACAGAAATATTTTTGGGGAAACCCCTGAAGCCCCCCCAAAAGCCTCCCTTAGACAAAAACCAAACCCACCACTGAGAACTGGTCATGCTCACTCGCCCCAGAATATGACTGTCAGCTAGAAAAGAAAATGTGGGGAGGGGAGAGACAATAGTGGAATGTCCTAGTTCCTCTTAGTTTATACTATTCAATAGGTGACTCAGTGAAACATTTTGTTTCATGCCTACTTGCTCCTTCTAATAACAATCTTTGGTGGCTGAGTGCCTATACATTTAGCAGTGAAACTCAGTAGCAGAGAATTCTGCATATCTAAGGAGTCTCCCAACAAATACACACACACACACACACACACACACACAGCCACACACAGCGCAGTCCAATAAAGACCCATGGGGTTCCAGCAATATAGATAGCAGTTGAGGCTATAGAGGTAAGAATTAGAACTAGATCTGCTTAGCTTCAGCAAAACCGCAACATTTGTACAAATAATTTATTAGGCCCTTTCCCACCATATTGTTTGTTTTTTCATGCATGGTATTGATAAGCCATCTTATAACTATGTTTTTAAGACATCTCACTACAAGATATTAAAACCATTTGAAATGCATAAACAACGAATTTTTGTTCTTCTATTAACCTGATTTTGCTTGACACTTCAGTGGGCTGGTTTTTGCTACAATCTTGTTGGTGATCCCTACCTGTTAGACAAATGCAAAGGTTAAGAAGGTGGCCCTGAATGTAAAATTTATGACAGAATAGACATTTTACTCATGTGGACTATCCTGTTTGCACTGCCAATAAATAATTAGAATAGCTTTCATGTATAACTGTGTTTGTTTCAACAGATTGAGCATCTGTCTCCTAAGGTAGAATCACTCTGCTGGAAGTGAAATTGATACGGCATGTACACAGAATCTGACATTCTCACGACTTAAGCGGCTAACTTTCTATGGAAGGACAATGTCTGGCCCTGTTGGTGATGCTAATAGCCCAAATTCAGTCAAGGCCAAAGGTATCCCATTACATTCTGTAGCTGGTGCTAGCATGGGCTTTCAGCAGCCCAACAAGTCGCTAAGCAGAGGAAATCATTCAATTCAGAGACTCTCTAGCGTGAGCTATCCAAGAACGGAACAAGAAACAAGTAACACAAATGAACCACCACACAGAAAATGTTTAAGCAGTACCTACATATCAAAATTGGATAATCAACTACTTGAGGATGCAAGCATTCCTGAGACACAGAAACTGAGAATGGTTGCAAGCTGGGCAGAATTGTTTCATGATACATCTGTTGTTTGGGACAACCTGCAGGAAGCTGGAAATTCTACCTTGGATTATGATACAGTGGTTCAAAACAGCAGTGGTGAAGATGCCATAAATAAAAATGCTGACAATTTGGAAATGAAGTTATTACATGCACATGTTTTAAATCCTTTCATAGCCTCTGAAAATAGCTCGGCGCGTGCTGAAAGATGTACTCCTCCTGTTTTTTTATGTTGTAATACATCACCTCATCCTTGCAAGAGTTCTGCTCAAGCAACTAAGCCTGAGAAAGAAGGAAGGGATATTATGCTTTCCACCAACATTTCAGAAGAATGTGAAGCTGAGGATGACATGCATAGTAGCGCAAGAGAAGCCAGTTCTTTAAATGCTCATAATGTGTGCAAGCTAGATGATTCATGTACAATTACAGTGGACCAGCACAAAAATGAAACTTTTTTTTGGCCTCCTCTCAGTGATAGTTCAGATGAGGAATTTGCAGATGTGAAGATTGATTGTCTAAAACTACCAGAGAGCAAGGAACACACAAGCCCTCTTAACAGTGATGTTGAGGCAGAAAATATTAAACTCATCAATTTATCTGTGCTGGAAGGCAGACACTCCTTCACAAAAAGTTCTGACATCTGTGAAAAATGGAATCCAGGAACAGAAAAGCTCTTGGAGATCAAAGAATACAAATGCAAAGATTTCATGTGGACTCTCAAACCTAAAGCTTCCAGTGGGACCAATGATGTTGGAGAGACTACAGACAGAAACATCCCTTTTCATCTCAAAGTAAAAAAAGATGCATTAAGGGATGGGAGTTCAGACTTTCAGCCTCTAAAGAAAGGCATTGATCAGATAAATGCATTTAAATCTGAGCATATGCTAGGGATGGTTAAAACTCTAGAAAGGAAGAATATCACAGAAGAACAAGCAAATAGTACATCTAATGGAAACCACTGTAACAGAGAAGAAAGGGAAACAGAATTTAAATTCCTGATGAAAGATCCAGCCATGCAAATTAAGAGTTTCTGTGGGAACACATTACTGAACCCTTCAGAAAACAGTACTTCAGTCTGTTTGAATCACAGTTATAAAAGCACTTGCTTGGGCAGTAGTAGTGACTGCGTTTTGTTAGACATGCTTCTCCAGTTTACTGATAGTGTAGAACCTAAGTCCAATACAGTTCCAATATATGTGCACGGTGATATACATGAAAATGTTTCTGAGAGTGTTGCAAAATCAGTAGTAGGTTCTAAAAAGAATACAGAAGAATTTCTTGTCCCCAGAATAAAAGCTGATGGTGATGAGAAGCTATTTTGGAATGACAAATCCCAGTTTGATTTCAACCACAGTGATAGTGTTTTGGCAAAATATTACTTCTATTTGAGTTATCTCAGTAAGTCCAAAAGGCTTCAGCAAGAGGTTGATGGCAATCTTCTCTCTTGTCAACAACATTTTGGAATTTCTAAAGAAGAAAAAATATCCGCACTCGACTACCATAAGGGTGGTAATATGTATGAGCATAAGGCTACTGAATATACGAACAATGACGTAAGCTACTGTGAGGATAAAAGTTCTGAGGTTATAAAACAGCAAAGCCTTCCTGAAAAACAGGAATCAAAGTCTTCTTTTTCATGTAACAGTCCTGAACATTTATCTAATCTATTATTGACGAAAAAGAAACAATTGGAGAATGGACACATTTTGAAAGGTAAAAATAGACGGATGTTGTCTAGCAGGATTGTGATGTATATATATGATTTCCCCCCCTTTTGCATAAAATAATGTGTCAAAATAGCTACATTGTTGTGAACATGGAATATAAGTAGGTATCTGCCAAATTTCATGGAAATGGCTTTATTTCTATACAGGCTGTGGGGTCTCAGTTTTCTGTGTTATGAACATAGCCTTCAACCCGTTAGTAAACCCATAAACACACAAAATATGATTTATTGTTTTAAAACTCATAGCTTACGCCAATGCGAAGACTTGTATTAAACAACCTAGGCTGCACTTACTTAACTGAGTGCACGCACCACTGAAGACAGTGACACTTCTGAGAAGATGTATATAGGATTGCACTTTCCATATGTTGCACATCAAACTTTTAAGTGCCTTCAGTTAAGCTTCTGTAGCACCCACAGGCTACTATGTGCAAAATGAGTTTGAAAATTGCTCTAATGATGACATGCCTCCTTTCTCAGGGACTTTGTATGGGGGAAGAGATGCCTGCCTGTTAATGTACTCACCAGCCCCCAGTCTTTCGAGCCACTAGGAGTGGCTTGGACCTTCACAAAAAGATGGAGAACATTAAAAAAGGCAGCCCTTTGACCACCTCATAATAATGGAAGAATATTTAAAAATCAACATTTTTATGTGGATTTTCAGAAACAACCAATAATATGGGACAGAACATACCTGGAACTGGCCACATGCAGAATGGAGACACACTGTAAATAGACTGATCCATCCATTCCTAGCAAAAGGCTAGGAAATGCCGGGAATTATGAATGAATATATTTCCCAATATATTATTTATTTGTTATGATTCTACTTAATAACATTAGAAGAATTCTGAGTGACCTGGTCCCATGCTACTCTAGTAATGTTTATATCGTCGAACCAATATTGGGTGGGGTGAACCAGATGGCACTGCCAGCTCTGGGTTCATTTGAAGTTGTGTCACATCATGGATATGGCTCCTATGCTTCTGCAATAATGCATGGGCAGAAAAAAAGGCAAAGAACAAGCAGGAGTACATGGCCAAAACAACATGGCCATTGCTCAACATAAAGCTTAGGAAGGCTGGTTTCAAGCCAGATGGGTTATTGCTTGGTCTAATTGCTTTGACACCACTCTTGATAACAGAGTAGGGGTGGAAGTCCTCTTCTGGTCACTCATGTAAGGAGAAGCTGAGCATGTGACACTACTCTACATTTTCTGGACCAAAACAAGTGTGATGTGGGAACTCTATGGTCTGTTCTCCCATAATCAAAAAGCGACTGGATCAGAGCTCTAATTTCGATTGGAACAGAAGGTGAGCTCTAAGGGAGTACAGTTTACCCTTTCCCTTTCTGTGGTGATTTTGTGACTGAATCTCCCTTCAACTCCCTTTATCATGCCTGTTTTCAGCTCCCAAGCAGAGCTAATAGCAGTTTGGAGAGGGGGGAATTGATTGTGGAAGTAGGGGAGAAGAGTTAAACATTATCTCCCTAGCACCACCTCTGCTGTCAAAATCAGAGCATCCACAGCTGTTTTTGAGCTTTACTTTCTAATTTGTTTTATGAAAATATTGGGAGAACTGACTGTGGATCTCACAGACCATATCTGTTCTGGCCTTTTTAAGTTGCCTTTTGTACCATCCATGCCTTACGCTTGGCAGTGAATTAAAAGAGAAGATGGTCTGAATGTATGTTTGGGAATGAATTCATATGTAAATATTGGCGCTGTGGTCTAAACCACTGCGTCTCTTGGGCTTGCCAATCAGAAAGTTGGCAGTTTGAGTCCATGCAATGGGGTGAGGTCCTGTTGCTCTGTCCCAGATAAATATGGTAGGTACTGCTGCAGTGGGAAGGTAAACGGCGGTTCTTTTTCACCAGAAGTGGTTTAGTCATGCTGGTCATGACTCTGAAAGCTGTCTGGACAAACACCAGCTCCCTCGGCCTGAAGCAAGATGGGCGCCGCACCCCATGGTCATCTTTGACTGGGCATAACCATCCAGGGGTCCTTTACCTTTACCTCATATGGAAATACGCATCCATGTTTGTAGATGATTATGTCATAACCCTTGAGTCTGCTTTTATTGTTATGACTATGGAACTGCCTGTGACTGCATCGTCTTTTGTAGGCAAGAAGCTTTTGGGGGCCATGAAAATCAGCACAGATGTGGTTGGTCTTAAGAGGTGTTCCGAGAGATCCACCACTGTATGTGCATCTTTCACACAGAGAGAGCTGAAGCCAAGGTTTGCCCTTTTATGTTTTAATATTTACCACCCAGTGATCTGTTATTGAATGTATTTTGTTGGCTTTTGAAAGAAGGATGGGTTTACCCTCATTCCCTGCAGATAGCCTAAGTGAAATGTCTGTGTTAATTTCCCATGATGTCAAGATTAAAGTTTTACAAAAAAACTAATAGACCATCCCTTTAAAAACAATGGTTTATGTCTTAAAGAGAACTTTGATTTATTGTGGTTTTCCCTGCAGGCCTCTTCTCATTTAATTTAAAAGGCTAGTTGGGAAAGTGTTTCATTAGAGCTGATACAAGAAACCCTAACAATAGTTGTAATCACTTTCTACACCTATGTGTACATTTTTTCAGCATCATAATTATGTGTTATCAAAATGTATGGGTTTCATCAGTGATGAATATATTCATCATGTTTTGTGCTTACATAGGCAGAAATTAGCTGATCATTTTTTTTCTTCTGGAAGATCTTTTGTGTGAATTAATTTAAGCAATTAAAATACATTATTTGCCTTTTAACTGATTAATTATAATTTAAATAAGTTTGTGTTTTACCAAAACAGCAATATTGGGTGTCTTTTGCAATCATTAAGGATGTGTAAAGTATCTACTTACAATCTACAGTAATCCCTGTTACTATGCAAAGCTATGTTTAATATTTTGTTCTTTTCTTATAAAATTTAATAACCCCTCAAAGATAAACATGTATGTTCTTAATCTGTAGTTTGCCCAACTGAAAGTCTTTCTCCACAAAAATATTGTGAGAAAGGTCGCTATTATTCTTTCCTTTTAGATAGTTTAGAGGGGACAGTGGGTTAGTTTAGGTATGATAATTTTGAGCTGATTAAACCTTGATTTATTGGCCATGTGCTTGTGTGTTCCATCCTTTCCTGCATATTTATTTATTTATTTATTCATTGTTGCCTTATTTGAATGTGTCCGGGTGACCTACACACACAATTAAAAAACAACCACCATTTTAACAATGAAACAGTACTTTGCTTTGGCACGTCTATCTCTTGATTACAGTTTCCTGTGACTTCTGAACCTGGTTTTATCTTCTGGTTTGTAAGTCCCAATTAAACCATGGTTTCTTGATTTGGATGTGAGAAGCAATAATAGACTCATATAGGAAGGAACAAGGAAGGGGAATGTGATGATATATCTCATTCTTTGACTGATAGCAAATGATAAGCCATGGTTTATGTCTGAACTGTGTCACTGTCTTAACCAAGAATGAGAAAGGAATTGAAGCCATATATCCAACATAGATGTCATCTTTCCCCAACCTGGTGCCCTCCATATTCATTTTGTACTACATCTCCCATCATCCTGACTACTGGCTATGCTGGCTGTGGTTTGTGAGAGTTGAAGTGGAAAATATTTAGAGGGCCCCAGGCAGGGGAATACTTTTCTAAGTCAAACACTCCATCCATCCATATTGACTCTTGTGGAGTATTTCCCCCCCCCCTTTAATTTTGTTTGTTTTTCTTTCAATAGATCACAACATACTCAAAGACCAGCAAAGACCAGTGAAAGAACAAGGAAAGGAAGTTATAAGTCTCAGAGCCATCCATCTTCAGGTGTGTGAAATCTGGAGTGACCTACTTGGTGTCAAAGCCTGTGTTCTTATATTTGTTTCCATGCATTGCATGTGAAAGGGGTGCAGGATTGTGGCAGTTGGCACTGTCCTTGCAGGAAACGAGAGCTGCCCCCACCCTGTTTCCTCATGCTTTGCATTGTGGGAGGCTTCAGAATGAGTGCCATGTGTCTGCTGTAATTTCTGCAGATAATGTCAGACATCCTGGATGATTTGGCTCAGAATAGTTTTCTTGATCTTGTACCTAAATGTTTGTAGAATAGGATATATTGCTCCAATAAGCCTTCTTCCCCCAGTTACACATTTCTGCTTTAATATAGGCTGCAACCCTTGCAAACAGACCAGTATGCATTCCGTCTCTGAAACAACTGTACCGTGTAAATATCAGAAGAAAACATCTAATAATCAGAACACAAGGAAAAGTTTTCTTAAAAATGCAAATGCATGTAAGTTAATGCCTATATATATATATATTGTGAACTGAGATACAGCTGTCAATCATTCTGTGGGTTTCCTTTTGGGGGGGGGCACATATCTCTTGTTTTTTCATAGAAGTGAAACCAATTGTATACAGGGGGGAAACCCAAACCCCAATTGGGTATGCATAATCTTCTGAGCCTCACCTAAAGCAACTCAGTAGATTTTGGTCCTAATACATTTAGCATGTGATATCCATCACTGGGCAATCCTCACTGTCCACTTTAGTGAAGAGGAAGATGTATATGTGTGAATCAGTTGGACAAGTAAAGTGCCTTTTGATCTGTTGGAAATATGATGAGTGTGTATTTTCTAATTTCTCTGGAAGAGTAACTGCGTTCAGAAAATCTACAGTCCAAACAAAAAACACGTCCCTGCCCTCACAGGTCTCTTGCTTGTGCAAGCTCCTCCATTTATTTCATGGGGAATTTTACTTATTTCCAATGAATTAGGTAGGAAAATTTGGTATGCACATCTCAGCTTCTGTGCCCATAAGAAATACCTGAATTGTGGTATTGCAGTTTCCTTTTTTGTGTATTGAGGTAGATGTTGGAAAATGAGAGTACCCCTAAAAATTTCTTTTAGGAAAAAAGCACTGGGCATACATGTACAAAGGTTTCAGGGTGAGGCTGAGAAGCTGCACTCTGGTGACAGGAACATAAGAAGCCATCTTATAGCAAGATGAAGGGTCTATCTAGCTCATATGGTCTGTTGACAGTCAGCAGCTGCCCAGGAATTTGAACACGAATCTTCCTTTCTCCATCTTACCTGGAGATGCCATGGTTTGAACCTGGGGTATGCAAAATACAATAAGTGCTCTACCACTGAGCATACTTGCAGAATATTATTCTGTGATCCTCAATTCTGCATGGAGAATTAAATGGAGACAAATGTGGAGCACAAGGGTGATTTTGCATCCAGCACTTCCATTGATTAATTGATTATTTATTTATTAATTTGGAGCTTGTCAATTCCTCCTCCTCCTCCTCCTCCTCCTCCATGCTTTCCAGAGCCGAGTTGATCTGCCAATGAGCTCCTGAAGCAAACAGAAGGTGTCATGTGAAAAACAACAACACCCAAACCTCTCTTTAGATAAAAGACTTACATTTTTTAAACAATTTTTCACAGGGTAATTCAATAGATGAACTATATATAGTCATGATGCAAAAATTGACATGATCCCATTTGAATACTGGGCTTTTCTAAGAGAGCTTCACTGTTTGCAGTTATAGCGGAACCCATTGCTGTGCAGTAATTCTTATAGGCTTATGTCTGTTATAGGCTGGTATTAAAAAATATTCAGGCTACAGATTTTTTGAGACACAATGCAATTCAGAAAAGGTCAAGTTATGCAATATGCAAGGATTCTGAAAGGTTTGCTGAATTAGTGCAACTTTAGGGGATCCCACGTCAAATCTTTTTGCTTCCACAGGGACAGAACTCAGACAGGAACATGAAACTGCTGTTAGAGAATATGATGAAATAAATACAGTAAGTATATTTTATGGTAAGTATATTTTGTATATTTTGTGTGCTGAATAACATAGAAGTTAGAAGCTTTGGAAACAATTTTTTAAGATGGGAGACTGACGTGTTTCTGTCCCATCAAGAATAGGCTCCTCACAGTTACTAGTGAGACAAAGAAAATACAGTTTTGAAATTGGATCAACTGAGTTTTATTTCCTTCCTGTCTTGCTCAGGTGTGTGCCATTGCTTTGTAGTTGACTGGCTGCATTCCGCCCCCTGCCCCATCCCCATTATTTGGCACAACACACAGGAATCTTTTTGATTTTTAGGAATGGCATAGTGACAGCAAGCTCTTACCATGGCTCCTTCTTCCTGATGAATTGTGGCTTTGCATCTTCTCGCTGCTGACTCATAAAGATATTACTCGGGTTTCCCAAGTTTGTCAACGTTTTTATCGGCTTGCAGGAGATGAGTCCTTCTGTAAGTACCTTTGGGAATGGATAAACAGTAAGGTAACCAGCCTGACAAATTCAGGCACCCTGGTGCCTGCAAAGGCTTTCACTGGTGCCCTGGGCAGGTGACCCAGGTTCTGAGGTTTCATGGGGAGCGGGGAGTCCCTAGTCCTCCTAAAAAGAAAGTTATTGAGCAAAATGTGAAAGCACCTTCTAAGCAATTTCTATGAAATGAGATCATGTATGGGCATCTTGTACTGGTTCTGAGGAATGTTCATTGCTGCTATTAGACACAAACAGTGTATGTTTGTGTAAATCAGGACCAGTCAATGATCAGGACCAGTAGGACATAGCTGACTTAGTACGGTAAGCATAAGTTTGTCAGGGAGCCTGTCTTGTCTTATTTTGTCTTGCACCACACACTCCCTGGCAGCCATTTTGTTATGTCACATCCCCACATAGCAGCTATTTTTTCACTGGCGCCTCCACACCCTCAAAATTTGATATATGCCTGTTGGTCCAGAACCACCCCCCCCCCCAATTCTACACACAGAAACTGACTGTATGGGCATATGAAAATTACTTCAGTGGTGGTGATGAGACATCTGAAGGTAGAAGGCTCGCTTTCAGGGTGCCAGGCAGCCTACATGGTGCACACAGCTCTGCGTCCTCCCCCACCCCATTGCCCCCCACGCACTTCTCTTCCTGGTGCTTGCTCTCTGCCATTTTGGAACACATACTGTAATGGAGTGAGCGGGCATAGCATTAGTACAGCAATGCTTGTGATACCTGCTGGAACCTGTTGCATTGCATCCATTGTCAGTCATACTCAGAGTAGGCCCACTGAAATTAATCGACATGATTAGCTTAGGTCTATTAATTTCATAGGGTTTACTCTGAAAAGGATTAGCACTGTGATACAGCCAGTTATTCATATTGTGTATGTTTTCCTGCCTCACAAAATAGTAAATCCACGTCTATCTATCGTCTGCCTATCATCAAAGAATCCAGAAGAATCCTTTGATGGATCCAAGTCACTTCTATGAACAGAAGGAGGCCTTCTGCTTACAGAAGGTCTGGATCCAACCTGCCACGTGGGGCAGAGCTGCTATACTACCTTCTGGACAGGTGGGTTGCTACTGCATCCAAGGAGGCAGGGGGTGAGGTTGGAGTGTTGCAAATGCACTGATGAAGCCAATCCAGCACTCCCGCTGGTGTGTTTGCACTGTGCCAGTCTTCCTGCCACTTTACCCCTTGCTCCTACTGGTAGGCAAGAGCAACTTTCCTTCTGAGAAGCTAGGAAAGAGCAGCTCTGTCCCACTGTATGAGCCATTTCTAGCTACAGAGCCGTGGCTTCTTATCTTTGGATAATGAAGGGGCCTTGTAATTTTTCTACAGAGAAATTAAGCTTCTCATTTTACTACTTCCTTCCTTAAAAAGGAAAAACAGAAACAAAACGATGTTTGTTTAAAGTGCCAGATCCCGTTGTATGAAAGTGGGCCAGCTCGTGCTGGCAAATTTCTGAGAAAAGGAGCGTGCTAAGGGCTGTGGCTAGGGAGGAAAACAAACTGAAGGTCAACTGCTGTAGCAGGTACACCTGCGCTTGTGTCACATTCCCACACTGAATTCCAAAGCAAATACTGAACACCTTGGGCAAACAAAGGTGGGCAATTAGACAAAGCCAAGTGCTGCAATTCACTAATGCTGCATAAATGTTGTAGAAGTGAATGCCTCTTTGAGTTTTGTGCTTTGTTTTTAATAACCAAGGTTAGCGTTATGCCTGATCTTTGAATCTTTACAGAAAACTTCTGATTTGTTTCATGGTTGAAGCAGCTTGCAAACAAGAGAGAAAAGAGCAAATTTATGGCAAAAGTTTCAGTAAGGGGAGGGAATGGGTGAACTTATGTATGAACTTCAGTAAATAAGCCAAACAGTAAAATAAGTTTGATTTCCTGGAGGGCAGGTAATGCAGAGTTCTTTGTGGTGACCTTTGTGGTGAACTTTCCGGTGACTCGGATGCAGCCAGGATTGCCCGACATATCTTTTATTTCTTTTGATTTTCTGAAGTGAATGCTTTCTGCATGGTTGGTGTTGCAAACAAGGTTTAAACTTTATGGGAAGAAAATTGAAGGAAATAATGATTGAGCAGGAGGAAACAAGGAAATAACTTTCAAGCAATATGATTACCAGGATCCAAAGAGGCTGACGTGAAGCTGGGAATACACGCTGAGCCTTACCTTCTGAACACTCACCACTTTTGGTGGGGCATTCAGATTGAGGCCAAAGCGGCACCATGCATTTAAAACACTATTATACTACTCCAATAGTTACAGCTTTCCGCGAAGAATCCTGAGAACTGTAGTTTGTTGAGGATGCTGAGAGTTGATAGGGGACCTGTAGTACTCTCACAGAGCTACAATTCCCAGAGTTCCATGGGAAGAGGGATCAGTTTTTAAACCAGTCTGGAAATGGTAGCTCTGTGAGGGGAATAGGGAAGCCATGATTGTTAAAGTAGTGTAATACTGTTTTATATGTGTGGTGCAGATAATGTGGCCTAAAGGTAAAGGGACCCCTGACCATTAGGTCCAGTCGTGACCGACTCTGGGGTTGCGGCGCTCATCTCGCTTTATTGGCCAAGGGAGCTGGCGTACAGCTTCCGGGTCATGTGGCCAGCATGACTAAGCCGCTTCTGGTGAACCAGAGCAGTGCACGGAAACGCTGTTTACCTTCCCACCAGAGTGGTACCTATTTATCTACTTGCACTTTGACGTGCTTTCGAACTGCTAGGTTGGCAGGAGCTGGGACCGAGCAATGGGAGCTCACCCCGTCGCAGGGATTCAAACCGCTAACATTCTGATCAGCAGGTCCTAGGCTCTGTGGTTTAACCCACAGTGCCACCTGTGTCCCTTGCACATGTGGCCTAAATTGTACCTAAAACAGCACTCTTCTTTCTAACAACTGAATCTTGCTTAACAGATTCTGAATGTTTTCACAGAACATAAAATGTTAGCAGTAACAGCCAAGGCAATGGACAGGCTACAGAGGGTTGCTTGTGCTTTCACAAGTGGGAGTGGGGCCAAAGAGAAGCTTTGGGGAGCACTCTACCATGGAAAAAAGCAGTGCTGGAAACAGCCATAAATGGGACAGAAAAAGGAGGAGGCTACTATGAGTTGAAGACCATATAAAAAAACCGAAGGACCCCCAAACTGTCATACATGGGTGTTCAGAGGGTGCTAGTGTACAAAAAATGTCCCCTGATTCCACCTTCCACACTAAGACTGGACTGAATACCTTCCCTCCTTCATCTTTTCTTGTTTTGGAAAAGTTAAACTAATAAATCGGTAACAGTTTGTTTGCACAGCTTATAACAGATGACTCTGCTTTGAAAGAGCACTTGATCTGTGAGCTGTTTGTGCCAAGCAAAACTTCACCCCTAAATAAAACACTCTTGAACACAGGAAGATGCATGATTTGCAGCCCTAAAAATGGTACTGATTCTCATAGAATAATGTTCATTCATGCAGTGAGTATTTGAAATTTCTCTGTGTTCATTGGCAGTGGTGGTGGTATTATCTTTATTTAGACTGCTGTATCTATCTTTGCTTCCTGTAAAGGAGAGGTGACTAACCTGTGGCCCTCCATATGTTGCTGGACTTCCCGCTCCTAGCCAATATGGCCAATGGCCGGGGATGATGGGAGTTGTTGCCCAACAACAGCTGCAAGCTGCAGGTTAGACGCCTCTGTTGTCGAGAAACATCAGCATTTCACTATTGTTCTAAATTGCCCCTCACTCCTCTAGGGACTCTGTGGCACATGTGGAGAGCCAATTTATAAATATCACACAATAAAGAAAAAAAGAGAGAGGAAATGCAACATCAGAATGAGGACATAAATTTTTACAAATGTTGTATATGCTAATGCACTTGTCAAACTGTTAATTATTTATGGACAACTTCAAGGCCCCTGCACTTCCTTCTTATAGTTATTTATCTTTAGACTAGACTTAGACCAGATAGCCATTGAAATAGAGTACTGAGGACGCATGATCATCCTAGAGGTCAGGCTGAACCAGGCTTTATGAGCCGGTGTGATGGAGTAGTTGAAGTGTTGAACTGGGAAGAGGAAGACCTGCATTCGAATCCCCACTCTGCTATCTATGAAACTCACTGGGTAAACTTGAGATGGTCACTCCAGCCTCACCCACCTCACAGGATTGTTAAGAGGATAAAATAAGGACAGTGAAAGACTATGAATGCTGTCTCTGAGCTTGGATGAAGGGTGAACATCCTAACTTCAGTGGAGGGTCCACATTCCTTTGTAGAGCCACAGCTGCTCCTGGGGGAGTTTATATGGTGGTGTGATCAACCACACACCAGGAAGGGTGAAGATGGATAAATTAAGAGCTGTTGAGGCTTTGAGGGTGAGCCAATCAGACACATGATTGGTATATGGGAGACCATTGCCAAAATAACATAGTTGTGTCCCAGCTCTTGAAAAGAGCCAGGTTCAAGGCTCCAAACTGGGCTCCTGACCATCAAAATGTACAGAAAATGGTTTAATCTCAAACTGCAGATTTCCAAACCCTTTTATCTGTGCCAATCTATACCATTAACCCTGGGATTCACATTCAATTTATTTATGCATATATAGAACATCTATCTTTTTTCCCTTTTTGAAATAGACAGGATCAAATACTGTGTTGGGTGATTAGTCACTGTTGGGAAGCATGGGTGTAGCCAGGACTTTTGTTGGGGGGGGGACAGAACTGACGTGATTGGTCAGTTAGTTAAGTATTTCTATTGTTTTTCTTGCTCTAGGCAAGGCAGCTCCCCCCCTGGTCCCCCCCCCCTTAGCTACATCCATGTTGGAAACCGATCTATGAGTTTTTAAATGTCTAGGGCACGTAGCGATTTTCATCAAACTTTTCCTACCTCCTTGCACTGTTTCTTGGCCAAGTCTCTTCAACAGTTTACCCAACAGCTGAATGCTAATTCCGTTGCTATGTACACTAGTGAGTGACGATAACAGGACACACAGGAGGAGAGTCAAACCCTTCAAAGAGCCCTTTCCTTGCAAATACGTCTGGATGACTTACTCAGTTCTTGAGAACCTCTTCCCACAGTACTGCTGACAACAGGAATCAAATGGCTCTCCCCCCCCCCACATTAAAGCAGTTTCATTAAAACAAAGTGTTTAGCTCTTTCCGCTTCATGCTAGGGATGCTAAGGCCTGAGACTTTTATCTCTCTTTCCTTGGCCACAGCACATGCGGGGGCTGCTAGTCAGTCACCTGTAGCTTAACATATCCTGACGGAAGGAGCTGGGTTCTTAAACACAAGAAAGAGACCAGGGAAATAACAAAGGAGGTATCAGCTGGGAGTGAACCGCAGGGAACAAAATCGTTTTCATCAGTTGAGGATTAAAAGCTGTTTCCCCTGAGAAGGGTGGTGGGCAGGGGAAGGCTTGGGGACAAACACTTTTGGATAGGATTGTATTTGGCAGGAATGCTGGGCTTTTAACAAGCCTGCGGCTACGTGAATATGTGCATATAATTTCAGGTGGTTATTCTTTTTTTTGTTGGGATGTTAATGGGTTTTTTAATGCTAGGGCTAATAAGCTGGGTCTTGCGCACAGAGTCAAGCAGTGCAGAACTAATTAGCTGACATCATCAGCGCTGTTCTGCTGGAGGAAGTTGATACAAGGGAGCTGAACGGCACAATCTGATTCTGGGAATGAAACCGGGCATGACCGACGGCTCAGCTATTCTTCATGCAAAGCTGGACCTAGTTGTGAGCAGCGGTCCTCAAATTGCTCAAATCTGATTAGTTTGTTAGGCTGGAAACAAAGGTAGCTATTGTACTTATTGGACACGTCTGCTTTTTTTATTTATCTACTTCATTGACAAATTTATATACCAGCCTTCATCAAACAGATTCCAGACTACTTTACAATAAAACAATGTAAGCCACAACATGCAAAAACAGAAGAATTTTAAAAGCAGCAGTAAAATGTAATAAAGAAAATGTTTCACTGCTCTTAAGATGTATTGGTCCTCATGTGAAAACAGTGGTGGCATAGGTGAAAGACCACCAGTATGTACAAAGTAAGCATTCCTCAGTTTTTGTTTCTTATTTTTCCAGTGTTAACTTCATATTGCTACATTTCCATATCAACTTTTTTAAAAAGCCTTCACAAAACTTCACTAGCATTTTAGTGCACAATTGTTGAAATAAACTTTTTTTTGCACTTTTTCTTAATAAGCACATTTCTTCAAATAATTCCCCAATGTAATATACTTTGTGTGCTTGTTATTGCTATGGACATTTCCCCCTAGTATATGAATTTCTGTACACATTTTGTCTGAGAACTGCATCACAAAATTCAGATAAATGTGAATATTTTTTTAAAATGATATTTATTAAGGTTTCCAAAAAAGAGAAAAGTTACATATATATATAAAAAAAAAATAGAAAAAAGAAAAAATACAAAATACAGAAAAAATAAAAAAGATTTTAAAAAACAAATCATTCTTTCCATGCCTTACATTTCATTTACTTGTTTCTCTTACCTCCTCACGCCTCCCTTTTTTGCATTCCAGTTCAGTTAATTAATTCAGCAATTCCTTTCCCTCTTTGTTTTTATCTTAATCCTTTAACTTAATATATTATAGGTTTAGATTCTCACCTGTTAACAATCCATTTTTACATACACCTTTATAACATTGCTGCTAAAACCACTTAACTTCATTCTGACATCATTCTAACATTCATTAATTTTACAATATTTCTGTAAATAGTCTTTAAATTTCTTCCAATCTTCTTCTACCGACTCTTCTCCCTGGTCTCGGATTCTGCAGATAAATGTGAATTTTGAAGGATAGCTGCATCTCAGGTAGCAGATTGTTATGGGAAGTAAGAATTAGGTAAGAATTTCTCCCCCTTCCCTAATAATATGAGGTGCTAAGGTTGGGAATTCATTTCCTAATTCCTGGGTTTGAGACCAGGTAGGCTCTGTATGTTTGCTAGTTATATTTCATATTATCCTATATCCTGGAGTCATTGGTCCTCATATGCTACTTTGTTTTGTTTATGGCATTTTATCTGGAGTAGAGAATCTCTTTATATTATGACAAAATGTATATTGTTGCATTCTTACACTGCTGCCTATTATATTTAAAATGCATTCACTAGAATTTCCTCCTCGCCCAAGACTTTTGTTTCCCCCACGTGCTTTCTGTTAAGTTTCTACGATAGGTATGGGTTGTCTGCTCTCTCTGCTAGATGTTGTGCTTTTCAAAAACTATTTTCATTGGTTTAGCCATTTTTATATACAAAAAGTGTCTCAAACATCTTATGAATAAATGAATGAATGATGGATCACATAGGTCTCCTTTCATGCCTTCTGTCCCTTTTTTATTCTCCCCTCCCCACCTTGTTGCTATAGTGTATCCCATGCAAAGGGGCAGGTTATCCGTAGGGATGATTCCCTATGCTTCTCCACAATTCCAGGAGTGCTTTCCACAGTTCTGTATCCTCTGCTCATCTGCACTACCACCACAAACAAAGGCCTTTGGCATCAACTTTAGCATTGTGAGAACCTCTGTTTTGATTTAAATCAGCATGCTTGTGTGTAGCCCTCTTAAGGTTTTCAAACTAGCTTGAATCTATGTGCTGGAGCAAAGTAGAGTTAAAAATCAAGCTGTTGTGGCTATGCTTCTGAACATATGATGTGATTGCGTATTTGCCATTGATGTCAATAAATCCTTAGGAGTAATAAGATTTGTCATTGGAGGCTACTTGACTAAATAGTAAGTACTGTACTATTGATAGCATATTCCAGGAACACATTATTCTTCTAGACATACTTAACTCTTGACTTGTCTTTAATTTTCACTTTCGGGGCAAAGCCTTTGTTTGCCTCAATATTATTTCTGTTGTTTATTTAAAAAGTAATAATAATAATAAAATGCTATAAGTATCAGTCTGGAGATTAAAAAACCTGGCTTCTCTATCCCCAGGGAAGGAGATCCACCTGACGAACTGCCACTGCTTGAATGATGAGCGGTTGATCAGTTTGGGGAGTCGCCACCCCCGATGTTTCACTCTTGATCATTGCCACGATGAAGCCCAGAGAATTACTGAAGTGGGGTTAAAGCTGTTCTTCCAGCACTGTGGAGAATCTCTTAAGGTAGCACTGTGCTTTTGGAGAAACGCCATTTTGTCTCTGCAATTGCCATAAAACGTTAATAATGAATAACATTTTATTTTTATTAGCATTTTACTAAGAGCTTGGACTGTGGACTTCTATGTGAACTTAATTTTAAAAACCCTTAGAAATACAGTGGTGCCCCGCAAGACGAATGCCTCGCAAGACAAAAACTCGCTAGATGAAATGGTTTTGTGTTTTTTGAGTCGTTCCGCAAGACGAATTTGGCTAAGCCTATGGGCTTGCGAGTTTGTTTCCTTTTTCTTAAAGCTGCTAACCCGCTAAGCCGCTAATAGCCGTGCTTCGCAAGACGAAAAAACCGCAAGACGAAGAGACTCGCGCAATGGATTAATTTCGTCTTGCGAGGCACCACTGTAATAACTTATACTATGTACATCAAAAGTGGGGTACCAGAGGCCCCCCAGATGTTGCTGCACTACAGCTGCCACCATCCCTGATGATTAGTCAGGCTGGCGGGGCTAATGGAAGCCCCACCACCTTTTAAAGGCATGTTTTCCTGGAGGGGCAAGAGGACTTCCACACAGTGGCTTGCTGAAATGCTGTATGCAAGGTCTCTCCACCCTCCATTAAACAGCTTGTCTGGTCCTGCCTGCTGTCCCTCATGCTGTAACTGGCGTGGCTGCAGGTTGGTGGTGACACTAACTGCAGAGTGTGACGGCATCTTACATAGTAAGGGAATACATAATATTCCCTGTTGAATATACACAGTTGCATCCTTACATTCAAGCGGCATCCTTACATTCAATAAGCAGTTACAGTTTACAAATATTTGGCAGTAGGACAAAGGATATCACTCCAGGCACTTTGCATATTCCAGCATATTTGGGAGTTATGTCAGAGAGGACAAAATATTCCACAGCTCTGAAGTTTAGTTCCTGTAAAATATTTACTGGTTCAGTTTAGAAAAACAAAGCCACATTCTGCATCCTCACTTGACAAGGCAAATAATCAGAGAAAACATACTTTATGCTACATTAGATAAAGGTAAAGGGACCCCTGACCATTAGGTCCAGTCGTGGCTGACTCTGGGGTTGCGGCGTTCATCTCGCTTTACTGGCCGAGGGAGCCGGCGTACAGCTTCCGGGTCATGTGGCCAGCATGACTAAGCCACTTCTGGCGAACCAGAGCAGCACACGGAAACGCCATTTACCTTCCCGTTGGAGCGGTACCCATTTATCTACTTGCACGTTGATGTGCTTTTGAACTGCTAGGTTGGCAGGAGCTGGGACTGAGCAACGGGAGCTCACTCCATCGCGGGGATTCGAACCGCCTACCTTCTGATCAGCAAGCCCTAGGCTCTGTGGTTTAACCCACAGCACCACCCGTGTCCCGTATTCATACAGTAGTGAATAAAATAAAGGTTTAGTTGAGCAAATCTTGATACAAGCTGAATCCAAGACCCTGTGATATCTGTGGAAATGAGCACAGAAGCAGGTGCACTGGACAGGCAATTAAAGCAGACTCAAAATTGGGAGGTGGGATTAGACAAAAGAGGAACTGCAGGAACAGGCCATCTCCTACTGAGCCTAGAAGTGGCATCCCAGAGGGAGAATAGGTGGTGTAGATTTTATGCAAATGCATTATAATGAGATGTGTGGGCTGCTTATATCTACAGATTAATGAACAAGTAATATATTGTTCATTTTTTAAAAAATCAAAATGATTACGGTAATTCTGTTTTTTACTGAATGAATTTAATTCTCATTTGAATTCTTTAAGAGAGAAATTGAGAAAGAGAATGAAAAGGGCCCACAAGAGGGAGCTCATAATGCCATATGATAGATACCGGTAATACTGTACATAAACTCTTTATATTAAGTTAGCAAAATATGTACACTCTACATACAGCTAATTCATAGAGTTGAGTAATGTCCATTTTACTTACAACTTTGTGCTGTGTGGGGGTCTAGTTGTTGATGATGTTCTAAGTAAATAATGTGGGGGTTTTTTAAATGTATTTTTAAACCCTAAGCTATGACTTTTACAGCTTAGAACGTAGCCTACTGTACAAATGTAAGAATCACATGCTTAGCCTACTTTGTTGTGCCTTTGAACCTGGCCTCATTTTGTCTCTGACCCCCCTCCCCTGATTGTAAATGAACAAATCACTGAAAATGTAGATTCCAGAAACAGTTCTTCACTCCCTGCAATATATACCACTTAAAATCATTGTTAGATGTTGTCCTGTTGTTCTGAAACCATAGATAAGAATATTAGTAATCGGGCACCTCACTTGCTTTAAAAGTGTAGCAGCGTAACAAAAGGAGTTTAATTAATTTATTAAATCTGCATGTATTTACATCTGCATTAAAACAATAGTTGGAAATAGAAACAAATTTTGGCAAAAACACCTTGATGTGTGAAAGTTTTAGCATGATCACAAGTTCCCTTCACTTACATAAGGGAGTTCAGTAACTTGTAAGGCTGCTGGGATGTCAAAACCGACATAGGGACACCTGAAGGATTATAAAAAATGAATGACAACATTTCATAACACACTTTTTGTTTTTTATGAATGCAAAGCTCAATGTGGATATTTTCTATCATATATTTTTAAAGTTGTAGATTTTATACTGGTCGTGCCATAGATGTTTAGTCGTAAATTTTAAAAGTTTTAAAGTTGACCCATTTGTAGCCACACAGATTTCCACCATTAGCACTCTGAAGTTTTATGAATATTGGTTATCTATTAAAAGTTAGAGCCTAATAGCCTTCATTAAGGAAACATTACTATTAGCTAACACTAGGGGAGAAATTTTGTTAAGTTTTCATTTAAAGGCAAATTTACTTAATTTCCAGAACAATAAACTAACCAAAACATATCCTTCAAAATTTGCAGTTATCTGAATTTGGCAGTATAGTTCTGCAGCCAAGAAAATGTGTAGAAAATGCATAAGCTATTTATATTATTTATTAGATTTGTATCCTCCCTTTCCTTACAAAAGAACCCAGGGTGGCATGTGACTAAGGTAAAGTGTGCAGACAACTGCATTTATTAGTGAAAATCACATACAAAAATTCATTTTAGAAATATTAGAAAAAATATGCTTTGCAAAAATGTGTATATTGGGATAAATTTGTGCTGATTATTTTCCATAATTATTATTTAAAAAATAATAATTGCAAACTGATAAAGAAATGTGGAGGACTGAGATTGAGAATGGGAAAATGAGAAAAACAAAAGTGGACAGATTCATCCATCCCTACTGACAGTGAAGTCACTGGATCTACAGCTGCCTGCTAAGAAATAAGTGAAGCTCCAGCTAGCATAAAAGCAAACCAAAGGAAACAATGTTTTACTTCTTGATTGGAAGGATCCCAGTTTTGTATTTTCTTATCCTTTTTACAATATAGTATTTTCCTGATCCGTGACATAAGAATTATTTATTGTTAACTCAAATGAGGGCAAGGAGTGTGTTTGCGTGCGTCTGCAGTGGAAACATCTAAATGAACCATGACCGAAGCAGAGCAGGAGATAACAATTTGATATGCAATCCAACAAGATTACTTTGTTTTCTGTGAAATATGAAGAGCCATGAAAGTGCTGAATATTTGCTGCAACTCACAGTTGAGGCTGAAATTAGTGCAGTAGGAATCTCAATAATATTCATTGACCTTGCAGACATCTCATTTATGATAAGGCCACAGTCTGAAGACACATGATCCAGCTACCTTTCAGGAACTAAGCAGGTGTAGAGCTGGTCAGTGGCGACAAACTAGGAACCCTATGTATTCTACCTTGGTAGCATTATATAAATAAATAAAGCCTGATTTCATAAAAGCTTTGCCTAAGGTCTAGTTAAAAGGAAAATGTGCTGTATAAAATATGTTGGGTTGCATCCAGTACGTCCCCATACTGATGGAAGGCACTTTGCTCCAATGAAGGCTTCCATCAGTTGGACCTGGAGGCCAGTGTTGGGTTGGGGATTTGTGTGTATGCGTGTGCCAATTTCCCCTTCACTCCTGTAGCCCAACCACATCTCTCACAAATCTGCTTCAGAGAATTGAGGCCCTTTGGAACGATGTGGGAGGTACAGTGGAGAGAAGGGGATGAATTAAAACGGCTTGCCTCCCTGTTCTGCTGATAGAAGCCTCTGTCAGTAAGAGGACACTGAATACCACCCCCTCTTTTATTTATTTAATTCTGGCATTCCTAACCCCTAAATGAGGTTGCTTGAAAATGTTATGACAATATTTAAAAGCATATTATTATTATTATTATTATTATTAATATCAAAGAAGAAAAGTCATTTTAATGAACCCACACTTGGAATTTTCTTTTGCACATAGGAACTGAATATAAAAAGCTGCAGTGGTCCTGGATTTAGAGGGGACAAAGTTCTGCTTTGTGCAAGCACCTTTTGCCATAACCTGACAACTGTAGATATTAGCTGGACAGGAGCTACTGATTCAGGACTCATTGCCTTAGTAGCATCATCTGTAAGGTACAATTGAAAACCCAAACATTTGTTGTTCTTCATACTGTTGCGCACAACTAGGTACCATTTTGTAGAATGGATCTGTAGAAACAAGGAGATTAAGGGGTCCTCCAGATTAGGGTTTTTTTGGAGGGTGTATATTGCAACATATTTTGCATTTAACAGGTGAGGATGGAACATGGAGGCTGAGAAATACATGACCAGCCATAGCAAATAATTAGTTAACTAAATGCCAGCCATAGTAAATGTTTTGTTGTTGTTGTTACTTGCTGTTGTTAAACTGTTGGGAGTCAGAAACCCTGTCTATCTGTTTCAGGTCTTTGAGAAATCTACTAGTCTAGCATTTGCCCCTGATCTATACTACCTTTCATGCTTTCAGGTGTCTTCCTATGTAGGTAGAATATCTGTGTAGAGAAATCATAACATAAGCTCAAATCTGGGTTGCATATTGCTTAATTGCTCAAATAAAAGAAGAGAATTGCTGTTGCTCTCTGTTTTTAGATTGCAGTGCCTTTCTACTAATGGATGCCGGATTACAGATGATGCAGTAACTGCCTTGATTGAAAAGCATGGGAAAAGGTAATTCATATACCAGCAGTAACTGCACCACAATATGAGTATTTAGTGCTTGTCTCATCACCATAGCTATATATGGTTCACAAGGCTGTGCGTTTTCTCTCTGAAAACACTGCATTTTATTTATTTGCTGTTGTTGGCATAGATAAGAACATAAATGGATCAGACCAAGGCCTATCTAGTCCAGCATATTGTTCCTGCAGTAGCCAACCAGTTGTCGATGGCTCAAAGTAGAATATGAGTGCAATGTTATTGTTGTTTAGTCATTTAGTCGTGACCCCATGGACCAGAGCACGCCAGGCACTCCTGTCTTCCACAGCCTCCCACAGTTTGGTCAAACTCATGTTCATAGCTTCGAGAACACTGTCCAACCATCTTGTCCTCTGTCACCCCCTTCTCCTTGTGCCCTCAATCTTTCCCAACACCAGGGTCTTTTCCAGGGAGTCTTTTCTTCTCATGAGGTGGCCAAAGTATTGGAGCCTTCATGGATCACTGCCTTGCCGTGGCGAAGGGGCTTCAATAACTCAGAGAAGCTATGAGCTATGCCATGCAGGGCCACCCAAGACGGACAGGTCATAGTGGAGAGTTTTGACCAAACGTGATCTACCTGGAGTAGGAACCGGCAAGCCACTCCAGTTTCCCTGCCAAGAAAACTCCATGGACAAAGACAACAGGCATGAGTGCAAAAGCATGCCATAATTCACAAATCGTCATCAAAGAAGCAGCTGATATTGTAGAGACATGCTTTGTTGCAGCTGGGGCAGGTGAAGGTTTCTGGTTGTGCTGATGCGGATACACTATGGTGTTTCTTCTTTCTGCACTCCTTCCAGCACTCCTTCCTCCTCTGGTCACTGCTATGGATACATGACCGGGCTGTCTGTCTTCAGGCATAGAGGTCATCTGCAAGGGATTGCAACATGGCAAGGTTCGTGTTGCCAGCTTTCATGTCATGTCATCTTTGTGATGCAGACTTGGTCTGCCAAGTAGCCTAGTGCCTGAAGCCAGCTCCTCATAGAACACATCCTTGAGGATTCTGCCATCTTCCATTCTTTGGACATAACCAAGCCAGCAGTGGGCTTGGGAGAACACATCTTTGTTTGAAACTCTGTCCTGCCATGTGATGCCCATTTTTTTTCTGACACAGCACAGCTGAGGCATCACCCCTGACAGTTGTAGGTTGCCCATGACTCACTTCCATAAAACAGTGTGCTCAACGCGCAAAGCCTGGTAGAGCTTCATCTTAGTGTTGGGTGTTAGCATCACATTCCCTCATACCCTTTTGCTAATTGCCCTCAGAACAATGTTGCATTATTGAGAGCTGGTGCCTTAAATTAGCACAAACTTTCAGTTGCAAAAGTAACCGCTTTTTACATTTTGCTTTGAGCTATTCCTTGGAAATAGTCATTTGGCCAATTCAATGCCAAATTATTAAAGCTGAAAGTATGTACAAGGTCTTGGGGTTCTGAACCTATATTTAGTTATAAAAATGAAAAGGACAGGATTTCTTTTTTTTAGAATTCACGCTAACTTCTCAGGTACAGTTTTCATTTGGTTGTACGTTTGCCTAGAAAGTTTTAGTACATAAATACTGTCTGTCTTAAGAGCGGTAGTCTCGTAATCTGGGGAACCGGGTTCGCTTCCCCGCTCCTCCACATGCAGCTGCTGGGTGACCTTGGGCCAGTCACACTTCTCTGAAGTCTCTCAGCCCCACTCACCTCACAGAGTGTTTGTTGTGGGGGAGGAAGGGAAAGGAGAATGTTAGCCGCTTTGAGACTCCTTAAAGGGAGTGAAAGGCGGGATATCAAATCCAAACTACTACTACTCCTCCTCCTCCTCCTCTTCTTCTTCTTCTTCTTCTTCTTCTTCTTCTTCTTCTTCTTCTTCTTCTTCTTCATATACAGCAGGTGCCTGCCCAGGGCAACAAAAAGTTTAGTGGTTAATGTTTTAAAATTAATTTTACCCCTACGATGCATTTTATCCAAGGTGTGCTAACAAGACAAATGAAGACAATAAACTTATTAAAAGGCATGTAATAGCATGGGAAATGAATACAATGCAAAACCATTGTTAACAGATGGTAGCCACCGTCTGTCAAAGCTTTGCTTATTTCTTTCTCTCTTCAACCTCTGTTCATTTTGCCAGTTTTAAGCCAGTCAGGATCTATATTCTGTAATTACAATTTTCTTACAATCCCTTTTACTTTATGCCTCACCCAGTGCTGCCTTGGAACTTTAAAGAGAATGTGCAATAAATATTTCCCTTCAAATCATACCTACGCCTATGTTTGTCATCATATGAGCCCTATTCAGGTGTTCTTCAAAATCATGTTGGCAAAGTCACGGTGGGAGAATTCTGTTTCCAGTTACTTGGCAGTCCTGCATGTGTAATTGGGTCCATGAATTACAGGATTTATGTTATCATCTATGGCATCCAAAAATAGAAACATTTAGTATTTACATGAAGGTGCAACTCCCAGCAGGTTCAGTAACAAATCAGTAAGAACAAAACCCATCCTATACCGTGAAATCTGGAAGGTAAGACATGCCAAGGCTGAACTATTAGGCTATTTTATAAAAGGTAAAGGTAAAGGGACCCCTGACCATTAGGTCCAGTTGTGACCAACTCTGGGGTTGCGACACTCATCTCACTTTATTGGCTGAGGGAGCCGGCGTACAGCTTCCGGGTCATGTGGCCAGCATGACTAAGCCGCTTCTGGCGAACCAGAGTAGCGCACGGAAATGCCATTTACTTCTTGCCGGAGCGGTACCTATTTATCTACTTGCACTTTGATGTGCTTTTGAACTGCTAGGTTGGCAGGAGCTGGGACCGAGCAATGGGAGCTCACCCCGTCGCAGGGATTCAAACCGCCAACCTTCTGATCGGCAAATCCTAGGCTCTGTGGTTTAACCCACAGCGCCACCCGCGTGCCAGGCTATTGTATATATGTGCATGAATAAAGAAATATGAGTTGTGGGCCCGTCCCTCCTCCTCCACATAATTCTAGCTTGTTTGTATTTCATTATATCTTGGGTACATAGTAGTTTTTTCATAGTGGTTAGAAACAAAACCATCATTATACACAGTCTGTAAAGATCTGGCTGCTCCAATTATTTGTTGTATGAGATCATGCCCACATATACTTCTGCATTATAAAAAACCAAAACCCCATTTCTTTCCATTAAGAGGCATCTTAATTTAGATGGGTGGTTCATTCTGCTTAGGTGGTTCATTCTGCTTAATATGTATGAAGTATCTGAATTCAAGAGGTTCTTTTGTTGTTGAAGCCTTCGGACTTGATGTTCCGGGCTGTTTATTTGAGACTCTGTACAGGACTGTCTGGGAATTGCTTTTTGTACTGCTCTGTCTAATCTGTATTGATTTGCTCTAATTCCTTCAATATTTTCAGAATGCTGGCTCTTTTTTCCATTTTGGATAATTTATGCTTAAAGAATTGTATTTTATTAATTCCTGTGAGTAACAGTTCCTATTTTTAAAAGCCTACTCATTGCAAAGACAACAACAAAACAAAATACGGGAGGTTTATCATTTTAAATTAAAGAAGAAGGTATTTCAAAACTGAGGAATGGGGCTTTCATCCCAATGCAAATAGCAGCTCTAGAAGAGTGATTTTCATCAGGACCACAGCAGGGGAGGGAAAGATTAAATGCTCCATCAATGCCTGCTACAATCTTGATAATTATAAACCCCCCAGCAGCTACTATATTCATTTTTAAAATGCACATTAAATGTAAAGATGTTTTGAATATGTTACGTCTAGTTCAAGCTGTAGCGACGGGGGACGGGACTAGCCAGGCTTTTTGCCCCAGGTAAAGCCTCCAGAGGGGTGCCATTAAGGCTCCCAGCCTGTGTATGTGCGTACACAGATGTGCAAGGGAGGTCTTTGACCTATGTGAAATAAAGCCTAGTTTCGCCTCTGTTCAATCATTACTTTGCACAGGGCTTTCTCCCCCAGCAGGAACTCACTGGAACTTAGTTCTGGCACTTCTCAGGTGGGCGCCATTTCCATTATAAGAGAACGAGGTAGGCGTTCATGGTGAGTTCCGGCACCTCTTTTTCTAGAAAAACAGCAGTGACTTTGCCATTTAAGCCATTGTGCCAGTAGTCATAGGGTCAGGCAACAGAACCCCAGGGCCCAATGTTAGGGAAGACACTGTTCCCTTCTAATACTGTAGCTCCTGACTTCAGACCTAACATGGCACCAGCAGCTATGTGAAGTGACATAGAGCCAAAACGAGTTTCCCTTTTTTTTTTTGGTATAATATTTATTAATTTTCCAACAATTTAAACACAACACTACAAAAGAAAAAGCATAAAAAAGAAGACAATGCAATACAATACAAAAACACTACAAAACACTAACACATAAAACTAATAAAACAAAAACAAAACCCATTTAAAACACATCAAACCATTTCATTATCTTATCTTTCGTTCACTTGTTTCCACGACCTCCTCACACCTCCCTTTTTGTATTCCACTTCTGTTAATTGTTTCAGCAATTCCTTTCCATCTTCCTCTGTTTTCTATCCTATAATTCTCTTAACACATTCTAACCTTATTTTCCCTTTAATACTCTATTAATCTATTTATACTTAATTCGTTATAACATTTCTACTAAAGCCATATAACTTCATTCCAACATTTTTCTAACATTCATTAATTTTACAGTATTTCTGTAAATAATCTTTAAACTTTTTCCAGTCTTCTTCCACCGATTCTTCTCCCTCCAAAATGAGTTTTCCTTGATATCTCCAGCGTCAGATTTACATGAATATAATCTGCTGAGAAGTTACGTTTTGATTGTCATGGCTGTAAAATTAGAACAGAACAAACAAGACACAAAATACCTTATTTTAAGTGGCTTAATCAGTATTGGCTCCTTGCCTTGATTGTTAAAAAGATGCTCTCATACGATGACTGATTTCAACAAGGGCTTCTTTCCCCATCATAATTTGACTGTTCTTTTTATTGCAAAATTTCAGAGCATGGCATAGTGCGATGATTCTTCTTGCTGATGTGTTTACACATGGCAGATGCACTTTAATGATATGGAATACTCCAGCTGAGTGCAATAAAAGCATACGATGAATTTGTGTTTCAGCACAGAGTGCAAGTATGACTGCGAAGACATCTGCGATAATGCAGGAAAATATAACAGAGCCGCTTAAGACATGGCAGGAGCAAAACAGCCAGGAGCTACTGATAAATAAATCAGAATATCGCCTGCCTGGTTTGCTGTCGCACATTTGTTTTTCTTACTGTTTTCCCAGAGTTTCCTTAGGCTTTCACTTTATGAAAAATATTTTTAACTTCCTTTGTGGGTACAGCCTACATGGATTTCTCTCTGGTGAAAAGCTGCTTCATACTTTGGGCCCTTCCAGGAAGTTGCAGGATCTCCCACAGATACTTTTTTTTTTTTAAGTAGCCCCCCAGTGTTGTTGGCGTCAAAATGTCAGGCTGTATTCTCCCCCCACCCATTTAATCTGGATTTAACTTCTCTGAGGTAAATCTAATAAAAATATATTTGAAAAACCCTGTTGACAACCAATCACTTGCAATATTTCAGTTTGCAAATTAAGCCCCATCTGGAAGCGTTATTTCAGCATATCTGAATTGCTTAACTGCACATGTTCTCACATTAATCTACCACTTTTAACAGAACCCACAGTCTGTCACCTGAGGGCCAAGCTAGACAATATGTAAAATGTGTGAATGCATTTTATGTATCTGGTTTTTAAAGTAAATAAACAGCAACTACTCAGAATTAGAACTATGATGTGTTGGGAGGGGTGGGTTAGTCCTGTGCATGTTGATTTTGGTAAAAATGGCCCCCTCCCAAAGTTGTTATTCAACCAGAGAGAGAAGCTGCCATTGGCACTTTGTAGGATGTTGAATAGGATGCAGTTTTCCTCATGTGCTCCATGATTTAATATATCTGTTCTGAAGTTCATGGTGCTGCACACGTAACAAATATGTCACACAAGCTATTTACTGTTAGGGAACTTAACTGTCTCAGTTCTGCCCAGCTTATACCAAATGAGGAGATTTTCAGGGTTTTCTATATAATGGTGTTTGGCAAGTCAATGAATTCTGGTGAAAATCTTCCTTGTGAAAAATTATTGTCTCTTTGTTGGTCCAGTTATTGTGATGCCTCAGCTTTGGGGAAAAGGTGTCACAGTTGTAATATTCATTAAGGTGTAAACCTTATTGAAAATGGTGAGACTTCTAAGTAAATATGAAGCTGATTGCTCTGTTAATCAGTATTCTTGTTGATAAAGGTCCAAGTTACCAAAGCATATTATAATTGGAATTTCATGAAGATAGGCAAACAGTGTTAGTTATCTACCATGTTATATGTCTTCACCCACATCAAGATAATTTTTATCAGAGGAAATTCTGAACTGTGGGTCGGAAGAACAAAACTTGAAATTTGGACTGCCTTGACCAGTTTTCTACTGCAAATGCACATATTCACTGAAGTGCAAAAGTCTGGAGGCAAAAGGCCCAGCTGAGCTTTCACTGATCAGATATGTTTACTGATATGGGGACAGGCCACAAGCACAGGAAGTTGTGAGATTTGAAGTTTTGAAGCTACAGTTTGCAGCTTAGATTTTCATTTATTGCTGCCTCCTAATTTTAGTCCTAAAGTGATGCTCCCTCTGCAAGTAATGAACTATGAACTGTTGTGCCTTTTTACAAACGAACAAAGCGAGAGTTCATTCAGAGTCCCTTAGTTAAAAGGTGTAATGTTTCTGTTCGCCTCCCTGCTCTTTCTTTGACCAAAATGTTTACGTTGTAACATCAGAACTTGGATACTAAGCCACATGACTATAATATACAGTCATTTCCCACGCTTGGTTCAATAAATCCAGTGGCTCCCAGACTTTCTCCCTCATGGACCACTTGACATCTGCTGAGGTCCTTGGCAGACCACTTGATGACTTGTCCACCCGCTGTAGCAATTGCACTAAGATGCTGTATGATTTCAATTGTGTTTTTATTGCGTCTTTTATTTGTTTTTCTTTATTCCCTTCCTCTTGCTCTGTTTTTCGTGCTCCTAATCCCCTCTGCTCCTTTCCAGTTGATTCCCCCCTCCTCCTTTCACTTCTACGCCACCCTGCTCACCTTGTGGGTGGGCCGCCAAGTTCCTTGAGCAATGGAGCGGCCACCACACCCATGATTCGCAGTGGCAACTCCTGCCGTTCTTCACAGACATGCTGTGGGCCACCTGAGTGAAGCTTGTGAATCACAGTTTGGGAACCATTGGCATAGTTAAAGGGGAAAGGTTGCTTTCCCACTAACCATGTCCTTGATCAGGGCTGGCGTTGGGTATATAGCATCTTTGGGCACCTGCCTGGGCTTTTACCCAGTCTCAGGAACCTCCTGATCCTGTTGTGCCATCTCATAACTCTTGCTGCCTACGCACCTAAGCCAGTTGTCCGCACCCCAAGTTAGCCCTCACCTCTTTCCCTCTATTTATGCTAACTATTTACCTGCCAACCTGCTGTTTTTAGTTGGAAGCAAATATATTTTTTCCTGGTTAAACCAAACACACCCTTTACATCATTGCACGTCATTCCATCCCACCCTAGTGTTCTGAAATTTCTCCCCCTTGAAGTTTAATCTTTGCAGAGTATTTTTGCGGTATTGAAATACTGCAGTCAATCTGTACCCCAATACTTGGGTCTGCCACCAGTTAACATTCTAAGCTGCTTCAAATCCTGATCACGTTAATCAAATGGGCAGCCATTTATTGACTTTAGCAAGGATTTGGGGTTAATGAAAATATATTGTGGTTTTACCCTGTTTTGAAGTCAGGTTTGGTGAGGTTGGTTAAGATTTATTCTGTTATTAAAAGGGTTATGACACAGATTCTCTCACTCACTCCTTTTTCATTTTGGTTAATTCCTTTTGAAATAGAATTCAGTATTGTATTTAATTTCACAGACATTTTGTAATTGCAATTCTGCAGATATTCTGTGTAAATTTGTTCTTTCCCCCCATATTCTGGAAGTGTAATTATGACCATTGTTTTTATTAATAATAAATGGAGGAAAAATATACTAAACATATAACATAAGCCTTCTATATTGTATATTTAATAGCATAAGATGCCTCATACTTTTATGGCATCAAAAAAGTAATAGCTGGTGTTGCTGATCTTGGTGTGAACATAGGGTTATTCTTTTTATAGCATTTCCAATTTGTGAAATTACACAAATGAACCTATTTAGAGCATTTGAGATACAATTTCATTAATTCAGTAGTTTTATCAACTACTTCCTTAAGCTGTTTCATGTTGGAGTTGTGGAATCAATACAGTTATGATACAGTTAAAATATATTGACACCAAACCCTACATACATTAAGCATAATAGAAACATCGCCACCCAACCCCACCCCTACGCATCTTCCCTCCCTCCACCCCCTTTTTTTTCTCTCCCTAATGTCTCAACAAATGAAACGGATTTGTAAAAATGTTACATGGAAAAAATACGAGAGACATTACACTTACTTCTGTAAAACAAGAAAATATTTATATATATATACACACACATATTCTGGACAAGTTTATTAAACAGTGGTGATTTAATGATCATTAGAAAACCATGTTACTTTTCTCTATCTTGTCTTTTCTAGCCTTAAGAAGCTGGAAATATTTGGATGCCATGCTCTTACTGACAAATGCTTGAGATCCGTGGCTGTGAAGTGTCCAGATCTAAACGTACTGAACATTGGCAGAATTCACAAGATTACCGAGGAGTGCTTGGTGAAAGTCATAAGCTCTATGAAAAAGCTAACTAGTGTTAACCTTACAGGGCTCAATATGGTAAGCAGGTAGTCCCCCTCCCCCCTGTTCCCCTGTCTTCATTTGTGTGGAATAAATTGTGCTGAGTTTGGGCAAAAGAAAGACATGAATCACGGGTATTCATGAATTCAAGGCTCACGTGTACAGGTTATAAGTTCTTACTGGAAATCTGAAATCCCACTTAGCACTTTCAAAAAAGTTCTAGTTTTCAGTGTTGTGATGTTAGCTTAGAAAATGGTGATAGCAAGGTGGGCGGAGACTTCTAAACCAGAGGGTGAGTTTTTTAAAAAAACGGGCCACAAATGGGATATAGCAGTTTTCATTGGAATTATGCTTGTGACTATATTCAGCAGTGACTAAAATTTGCTTGTGGCAAACTGTGAATGGTTTAAATCAAAGTTTTCCACCACAAGTTGAGTTAATTCCAGCACAATGCTGATTTATTATTAAATACAGCATATTGTCCAACTGTGATATAGCATCAACCATGTTCATGCGCATGGAGTGCAAATTAGGCTAATTGCATTTAACTTGCCTGCTGACGGATGAAGTATTTCAGCATGAGGGCTCCGTCTGTTGAAGAAACTACAGAGGGAAGATAGATGTGGTGGTTTATTATAATTATTACTATAATGCAAAAGTCATGTTGATATATATATTTCATGTTGTCTGTGATTGTGTCAGAACTGTGGAGGAGAAAAACAGCAGTGAGCTATATAAAAGTTTATTGCCATATGACTGTGCATTCTCAGTATTTGTTTTCTTAACAGCTGCTATTTTGCCATCTTATGCGAGTACGTTTTTTGAGTAGGTGGTTTTTATTTCACAGCAGAACAAATCTTGCAGCGACTCAGGAAAAGTGCCTCTTGTTTTGCGTAGGACTGCTGTGGTTGATAAGACTGTCACAACTAGCGTAGCCAACTGGCCAGTCTGCTGGCCTGTGACTATTACATATATATTGATGCATTCCTTCCTTTTCAATTGGTTGAAACTGCAATAGAGAAGCCTGCATGATAGTGGCAATAAGATTGTACAGCTGCACTAGATGAAGAGTGCTACCCAAATTGTTGTGCTTCCTTTTTCTCTCTCCTGTTGGGCTGCAGGTGAGGGATTGTGTTGTACATTTAATTGTGAAGAAATGTCCTAAACTGGAAAGTTTGGTTCTCAATTCATGCTCCCAAGTAACTGATATAAGCCTTTTAGAAATCAGCATTGGCTTACCAACAATCAGGTATGTTTGAAGACTAGCTATTGTAAATGCATTTGTTATTCAATGGTGCAAGCAATCTTTCAACTCTAGACCTAAAGGTCTTACAGGCCACCAGCACACCAGACTTAATCGTCTAATGAAGAACCCTTTTATAATACTTTGGGGCTCCAGACCTCTCCTGCAAAGTCCTGCCCTGGCCGCATCATTATTCTTCTCAGGTGTTTTAAATCACACTGTCATTTTTTAACCCTTTGGGTGATGTGGTGTTCCTGCTTACAGGAGCATGGCATGATTCAGTGTTTGTGGTGGATGCCATGTACGCGCAAAACGCAATCGTAAAATAAAAATATTCATTTTACAGAGAAGCATGCAATTCTGTAGTAGCCAAACAAAACACTGCACATTTGGTACCTCATTACATGACACTTGGAAATGCATGGCAATATACAATTATTAATGATTTTAAAAAGTAGTTCAGGGCATCTTAGATTCTAAATGTTAGCTTTTGAAAAGGAAATCTCATTATAGTGTTCAAGTTGGAGTGCTACTTGAGAGTGAAATCTGCACTGCAGTTAGGGTTCCTGGCATTATTTAATGTCCCATGATACAACTTTAAACATATAGTGTAGCAGGGGCCTAACAAGGGAAATTTGTGTGAGAGATTGGGATGGAGCATATGATAATAAAACCCATTCTCAGTGGGGGCATTACACCATTCCTCAACTGACTTTGGTGAAAGGTGATTCCCCAATAATGGCAGTCTTTGGAAAGCCCAGAGACAGTGATTGGTGTGTGTAGAATGACTTTTAAAGGAACCATTTATCTTGCTTCTAAAACAGAGTTAGTCAGTTATTTGAGTAGCATGGAATTTTGTCAGCATTATTACCACTTAATCCTTGAAAGACTGGCTTTTTCCTGGCTGACGACCAGTTGTATTCTTAGATTGCCTTGAATTTCATGAGTTCATGGTGATAAGTTTGAAGGGTGGATAAAAATGGCTTGTACTCATAGTTCATTGTTTTATTTTATGCAGTGCTCTTATTTGATAACTCATTCAATATATTTATTTGGACTGAAGACACACCATCATAAGTATTTTATGCATCATCTCCTAATTGGTTAATTAGTTGTCCAACATACCATGTGGCAAGATAAAGTAGAAAGCTTTTCTAAAATCATTATGGATTATTTACAAGATGCTTTACAGCAGAGTGTTTTATTACAGCTTTGTAATTTTACCTTACGATATGAAATTGTTTAAATTAATACTGCAGACAAGAGAATCAAAAGCCAAGTTTGGAGATTTGCTTGTTCAATGACCACAAATGAAACAAATGTACTTTAATTTAACTTTAATAATAATAATAATAATAATAATAATAATAATAATAATTTATTATTTATACCCCGCCCATCTGGCTGGGCCTCCCCAGCCACTCTGGGCAGCTTCCAAAAGAATATTAAAATACTATAATACATCAAACATTAAAAGCTTCCCGAAACAGGGCTGCCTTCAGATGTCTTCTAAAAGCCTGGTAGTTGTTGTTCTCTTTGACATCTGGTGGGAGGGTGTTCCACAGGGAAGGCGCCACTACCGAGAAGGCCCTCTGCCTGGTTCCCTGTAACTTGGCTTCTCGCAGTGAGGGAACCGCCAGAAGGCCCTCGGTGCTGGACCTCAGTGTCCAGGTAGAACGATGGGGGTGGAGACGCTCCTTCAGATATACTGGACCAAGGCCGTTTAGGGCTTTAAAGGTCAGCACCAACACTTTGAATTGTGCTCGGAAACATACTTTTTCTTTTTTCCCATTTCCTTTTTGCAAGAAATGAGAGTTTCGTACTATAAAAATAATTTTCAGTGTTACAAGTGGTGACACAGGAAACATGAACTTGTGGATCTCCTCTTTGGTGAAATGTGTGAGCTCTGTGCACATCTGTGCAAATTCCTGCTTCCCATCTTACCTGGGAAGTGTTAAAAGGAGAAGCTCAAGTTATTCCTCTGTAACCACTTATAAATATTGTCATGTAATGAGGTACCACACAATCGGTAAGGTGCACCCATCCCTATATGCGTACTTGCTAGTTTAGTCTGCTACGGGGTTGGATCATAAAAACCAACCATGTACTACATGGAGCTGCCATAACTACTTTAAACACTTACCTCTGATCTACATAATCAGCTGATTGCTATATATGGATGCTGGTTTTTTCTTTCTTTTTTTAAAAATTGCTGCAGGTTCCTGGATGTTAGTGGCTGTAAAGAGGTCACTGACATTGGAGTTCAAGCTTTGGCGGGGAGCTGCCGGAAGCTTTCTTTCCTTGATTTAAGTTCCACTGCAACAAGCAAGAGAGGGTAGGGTGTTTGAGGACATTTTGCAAGTGACGTGTTCAAGGAAATATGCAATAAAAATGTAATCTGACCTTCAAACAGTAGCAGCCAGTAATGGTACGGTGGAGCTGCCCTCCTGATACTCATGTTTCTGCAGCCTGCCTGGAGAATGAGGCAGGGCGGAACAGTTCAGCTCCAAATTTGTGGTTTGAACTGATTTATTTTCAGGCAAAATTTGGAGTTTCACTATCTCCCTTTCAGGCTACATACTTTGTGCTACTGACACAGGCTATCATATGGCTGTTGTGTGGCATAAAGACTATTTCTGATTAGTTTGTTATCTACATTTAAAAAGGAGAGCGGTTTTTGTGGTTGCTAAAGTAACCTGGTGTGCATCAGCAGCTACTAAGCTCCAGTTGTTACCAGTAGGTGCAATTTGTAATCTCCCTTTTCATCATGACTGGATTTTCACCCCCAGAAGCTGAGGATCTGCTAATTAAGATCCAGAGTGGAGAGTAGACAAAATAACCTAAGAGCTTTTCCCCGAACCCTTCAATTTCCCATTCTGATTTGCAGAGCATTAAGACTGTTTCCTAGGTAGCTATGGCAACAGCTATATAATTGTAAGTGCGTTATGTTCTTTAGATGCATTCTAGCACTGCTGGACAATCCGGGCTTCATCTGATTGGTCTGCTCTGTTTAACTTTTTGATTCCATTATTATCAGAAATGTTTCCAGCTGCTTCTCATGTAGCTATTTTTCTTCTATGAACTAAGTGGATTTAAATGTCACAGCACTGGGACATGTCCTCCTTGCAGTTATTCAGACTGCAGCACATTCAGCTAAATTGCTGTAATAATATTGATGGACTTTCTTGATTGCATTGCCCTCCACTCCCACTGGCTGCAAGCAGATCATTATCTTGTAGCAACAGGCTCTGAAATACTTGAATAATATTATTTTTATTAATTTATTAAATCTCATCTGTAAATCTCAGGATACAAAACCACACAAAATGCATAATAATAAAAAAAAAACAAAAATAAACCAACAACCCCCTCTCCCCACCCAAGCTGCATCCTTGTTAAGTGTATTGAAGCTGATGGTTAATGAATGTTTTGGACATTTCATCCAGAGATTGCCATGACACCTATGAAGGCCTTCGTTGGGGCCCCTAGGCTAAGGCTCTCAGACTCTAAACTAGCCCTCCTGGAAAGAAAGCTATGAGGTGAAATGTGCAGGTGCCCTTCTAAACAATTTCTAAGCAATTTAGGTAAAATGAGCTGGTCTGGCTGTTCCCGTCTGTCAGTGTTTTTAAGCAAATGAGTGGAGTCAGAGCTAAGTGAGTTGTTTGGATACCAAACAGTAGAAATCCCTGGGGTCATAAGAGCTTCTATTTTCCTGTCCCCATTAGTATGCTTTCCCTGCTTCCATCTTATTTTTTTAGCAGACCTTGGAATCTCCATGATTTCCCTTCCCTTTTTCCTGGCAACCAGGATGTACTTTTCCTGTGGTGGTTTTGACTGAGATCAGGTACTCCTTGGAAGTTTTTGCAAATACTAGTACACAGTCAGTAAGTATGGGTGGATGTTAAAAGAGGACTTTCCCCAAATGGCAAGTGCAAAATGTGAAAACTTTGCAACAAGACTCAGGGATATCTCCTACTGTACATGAAATGATGTCCCTGCACTCCTTAAGAAGTCACTGTAAGTTACAGTACAATGGTATGCATTGTTTACTTCAGAAATAAATCTCCTTAGGTTTAATGGGGAATAGTCCCTTGGAAACTGGGCACAAGAGGGCAGCTGAGCTTTTGGTTTAGGATTGGCATTAGGGAAAGCAGAGCAGTTGTGACTTTGTATGTCTACAATCAGCACCAGCAGGCTATAACTGACTTCCCATGATAAGCATGAGGTTCTTGAGGTGGTAGAAGCAGCAATGACTATGCTCTCTAATTCTGTGTTATACCATGCCCCCCATGGAAACTATTTTGTGACTGGCACCCACAACACTCTCCCAGAATTCAAAATGTACCAACTGGTCCGTAAAGGTTGGTAACCCTGGTGTAGAAGCTAACCTCTTGTATGTAACCTTCAGAAATGAACGACAAAATAAATACTTTATGGAGAAGCATGAAACAAAGTTAAGAAAATGTGAAATGTGGCTTCTGCTACAGCAAAGCCTTTCATTGCTGATTTAAGGAGTGCAAACGCATCACATCCTGTAGAATACATATACCCCAAAAATGTCTGAATCATCTTGCAAATAAGTAGCTGGTCTTGAAAGCATGAAATAGCTTTTCACCTAGTGCTGTGTCCATCAGGAATAGGTGACCTTTGATGGTTTAGAATGTGCTGTGTGCTTAATCCGAGAAGTGACTTCCTAGAGCAAAATTCCTTTTCAAATCTTACTTCAAAAGCAGAACTTAACTTGTAGCTTGTGTCTTGTTTATGGGCTTCAGGGTTTGCCTGTTGGCTAGCTTCTGCTTCAGGACTTTGGAATGTGTGAAGCTGAGTTTCTGCAAGAATATCTCCCTGGATGCAGTTGTGAAATTATGCAAAAATTGCAAAAGGTGAGTGTGACTTCCTCTAATACAATCCAGGTATTGATGATTTCATTGACTTAATAGTAAAGGGATCAACAATAGGACCCTGCTGGAACTAAATTACGAGGAAAGGTTTCAGTATTTGGAGAGTAGGATGGAGTATCCTGGAGGAGGGCATGGCTTGAATGGAGCAGAAAACCATTGCACTGTTTTATTATAGGTTCCATTTGTTTGCCATAATGGCTAAATGGAGCCTCCATGTGCAGAGGCAGAATGAATACCAGTTGATGTGGGGCAGCAGTAGTGCTATCAGATTCATGCCCCACTGGTCACCAGAAATTGCTGTCAGAAACAGAATGCTAGATTTGATGATCTTTTGATCCATCTTTAGCTGTCATTTTCAATGACAGTATGAGCAGGCGGTGGAGATGTAATCCACCCCTAGGGCTTTGTGCCCCTTGATGTTCATGTAAGCAGGAACTCCATGCAACTGGACTTCCCAGGCTGTGTATGGCTATATGCATGTAGGGGCCCATTTCTTGCATTCAAAGGAATGTGAAGTTGCTGAGGGAGAGGCAAGGATCCAAAACAATGTTCAGTTTATTCAAACCTGCATTAGGAAGAATTCATGTGTGTGTGAAGATTTTAATGCCCTGTAGTTAAGATTAAAGGCAGTGAGTGTGGTGTCATATTGCATTCCAGAGCAATTTGCATTCCAGACCTTTATTGTTTGTTTTATTTTGTAGTGTGAGTAACCTTAGTCTCCTTTGAGGTAAATGAATGGTGAAACCTCCATTAAACATTTCCTCATTTAACAAATTCTTTAGAGATACCGTAATGCTATCCTGCCTTTTTATTTTTCACTTGTTGCTGTTGTTTGGCTATTTGCTGGCTGGCTGGGGATCAGGACAATGTAGGTGGTTTTGATATTATTCAGTCGTAGAAATACCTCTTACTTTTTGCAGTGCTTCAAGTAAGTTTTTATTACCAGCGGAAGAAGAGCTGTTAGTACAGAAGGAGACCTGGCAACAAGAATCAAGAATGACAATCAAATTTTAGTTTTCTTGTGGATAGAGTTTGACATCTCTCAAGGTGATAGCTTGAGAATTCCAAAAAGTGCTGGCAGCCTTCAAGCAGGAATAGTTCAGGCTCCTGTCACTGGATTTGCAAGGAATTAGCACATTTGTTTCTCCAGAGATAGTGGGCTCGCTCTGTGAAGTAGGAAGCACCTTTTAAACATTTATGTTGTTAGGGAAGAAAGAGACCTTGCCTCCCCGCCCCCCTGCTTCCCTTTAGTTTTCTCTTTCCAAATTAATAACTGCCAACCTGGCTTCAAACTGTCTCTCCCAGCTCTTGTCAGTTATTACCCAGTGAAGGCAGAATCCTAGTCCATCAGAAAAATATGCCTAGCTGTTAAGAACTTAGAATGCTGCCTTATTGGCCATGTTATTGGTTGATGCAGAAAAAGCTTTTGATAGAGTATCATGGAATTTCCTATTGGAAACTTTCAAAGGTCTGGACATAGGGCAGAAAATAATTAATGGAATTAGGGCGATATATGATAACCAAAAAGCAAAATTGCTAATAAATAACGAGATCACCGAAGAGTGATCTCAAAAGGGGGTGATCAAAAGGGGGACAAGACAGGGGTGCCCTCTCTCCCCACTTCTTTTTATTGCCACCTTGGAACCACTTTTAATAGCAATAAGAAAGGATAAAAATATAAGAGGAATTAACCTAGGAACTCGATACTACAAAATTAAAGCCTTTGCCGATGATGTAATTGTAACCACTGAAAATCCAGTGGAAAGTATCCAAGAAACGCTTGCACAATTGGAAGAATTTGGGAAGGTCTCAGGGTTCAAACTCAATAAAGGAAAATCCAAATTATTAACGAAAAATTTACGTACGTTGTAACAAGAGGAACTGGAAAATACAACAGGTTTAAAGGTAGCCAATAAGGTAAATTATTTGGGGGTTTGGATCACCAATAAGAATATAAACCTATATAAGGACAATTATGAGAAGAAGTGGAAGGAAATAAAAAAAAGAATTAGAGACTTGGGGAAAATTGAATTTGTCCCTGTGGGGGAGAATATCCACAGTTAAAATGATGGTATTGCCAAAGATGATTTTTATGTTCCAAACAATACCTATAATTAGAGGCGTAAAGTGTTTAAAGGATTGGCAGAAAGACCTTGCCAAGTTTATTTGGCAAGGAGAAAAACCACGCATAAAATTTAAGCTACTAACAGAGTTGAAGGAAAAAGGAGGCTTCGCGGTCCCTGACCTTAAATTGTACTTTGAGGCAGCGTGCTGGACATGGATTAAGGACTGGATATTAATTAAAAACACGGAAGCCCTAGATCTGGAGGGATGGGATATTGTGTACGGGTGGCATGGCTACATAGGCTATGACAAGGTTAAATCCCACAAAGGATTTTTAAATCATATTGTGAGACGGGCATTATATGAAGTATGGGAGAGGAGTAAAAAATCAGTAGTAACCAAAACACCATGGTGGCTGTCACCAATGGAATCTATGTCGGTTCACAGGATGAATATGAACAGCGATTGGCTAACATATAAGGATTTAGTAGAGGAAACAAGTAGTGATCCGAAAATAAAGGACCTAAGTGAATTGAAACAGAAGGGAATAACCTGGCTGGAGTATTATCAATTAAAAGCCGCCCTTGAAAAGGATAAAAGAACCAAAGGATTTGACAAAAAAATATCCTATCTGGAGAAGGATATTTTATATAATAATCAAAAGACACTTTCTAAAATGTACAAACTACTTTTGAATTGGCAAAGAAAGGAGGAAGACATAAAAGAAATTACAGTAAAATGGGAGAGGGACCTGGGACATACGATTAAACCCAATATTTGGAACGAATTATGGACTAAAAATATAAAATTCACGGCTTGTTTCCTTATAAGGGAAAATCTTATGAAAATGTACTATAGGTGGTACCTGACCCCTGTAAAACTTGCAAAAATAAATAAATCAAACAACAACAAGTGCTGGCGATGTAAGGAACAGATAGGAACATACTACCATATGTGGTGGTCCTGTCTAGAGATACAAAGATTTTGGAATATGATTTATGAAGAGATAAAGAGATTGATAAAAACTACATTTAGCAAGAAACCGGAAGAATTTTTACTAGGAATGGTTTCAGATAATATCCCCAAAAACAAAACTAGGCTATTTATGTATGCAACGTCAGCAGCAAGGGTTATAGTGGCAAAACACTGGAAAGATAAAAATATACCCACTAAAGAGGAATGGGTAGTCAAATTGTGCGAGTACTTGGAGCTCGCAAAGCTGACAGATGCAATAAGAGATAAACCTACAAAGTTGGTGAAAGAAGAATGGGAATGTTTAAATAATTAGTTAGGGGACAAGGGCTCAGCAAGAAAGATCTGGCTATGTTTAGAATGATACTGCATAGAGAAATGCTCCCTGATACCAAGATGAGGGATTCCTTTGGAATGCAGATAGAGTTAATTGATAAGAATAATGATCTGTTGTGAGCTTGACGGAAGTGTACAGTTGATGAGCTTTCCTGCTTTGGCTCATCTTCCTTTCTTTTTCTTTTTCTTTTTCTTTCCTTTTCCCCCCTTTTCTTTTATATTTCCCATAGTTGCTTATGTTCTGTGTCATGTACTTCGATATTTTTTGTAGTTTTTGTAGTTTTTTCCCATTACTATTAAGGAATTTTCCTTTGTAATTTTTGGTTGTTTATATTTATATGTACCTGTTTAAGCAAAATAAAAGCTATTAAAAAGAAAAGAAAAAAGAATGCTGCCTTATATCAAATCAGATCGTGCTCTCTAGATGTTTTGGGTACAAGCTCCATCAGCTCCAGCCAGTGTAGCCAGTGATCAGGGATGATGGGAGTTGTAGTACAAAACATCTAGAGGGCATCAGATTGGAGAAAGGACATGTACACTGACCGGCCGCAGCTTTTCATGGGTCTTTTTCAGCTGTACCTAGAGATGCTGAGGATTGAACCTGGACCTTTGGCATGAAAAGCCTGTGGTCTACTCATTCTGTCACCACCCCAACTAAAATAACCCCATTAACAGATGATAAAACTCTATAAACTCCCAGAAAGTCAACAGCTACTTGGTAGAGGCTTCGGTGGCGCACGTAATGCACGTTCATCCTACTATCTGCAGAGCATCTTACAGGAAAGGCCCTCTGGCGTTTTTTAAAAGGAAGCAACATATTTTCAGGGACTTATTCTGTGGCTGCCAGATGACTAGTAAAATAAATTAATGAACTATCTACAAATGTTGTTTTTTTCCCCCCAGACTGAAGATACTTCATTTATATGGTTGCCACTTTGTGCCTGATCTGGACTCCATTAAAAGAATCAATAAAAACGTTGAAGTACTGCATGACCTGGCAGGTACTAAATTGTCATCTGAATGAGGAACTTCACAAAAAACAATTTTGATTCAGCAAAGACATGTTACATTAGTTTTTCCTGCTCAGAGTTTTATTAAGAAGACTTGTACAAATTTATACTTGGGCAAGGTATAGAACCTACCTCTAATTTAGCTTTAATCCAGATACAATCTCTGCTGCTACTGTATCTTTAATATCCGTGAAATAAGAGAGGAGAAACGTGTTGCAAGGGATACAGTTTAACATAATTTGAAAAAGTACAATAAACATAAATTGTGATTAAAGTGTTTGACTTAATTCATATTTTATTCTTTATTTAAAAGTATGTGTAGAAGAAATATGAGGAATGGAAAAGCTATCTAGACACATATGAGCCTGCCACATACTACAGAGGTCCTACTTTCTTCCAAACCGACATTTGGCTTCAACAAAGGAAAAGGCTTTCTCTGTTGATGCACTCAGATTTATATTAATTATATTATATTATATTATATTATATTATATTATATTATATTATATTATATTATATTATTATATTATATTATATTATATTATATTATAATATTTACACACACACACACCCTCTGACTTACCCTGGTTAATTTTTCAAAAAATAAATAAATAATTATTTTCACATTAGCTGCATTTCTTTCTGTGCAAAGAAAAGTGTGATAGAACTATTTTAAGTTGTTGTTGTTGTTTAGTCGTTTAGTCGTGTCCGACTCTTCGTGACCCCATGGACCAGAGCACGCCAGGCACTTCTGTCTTCCACTGCCTCCCGCAGTTTGGTCAGACTCATGTTTGTAGCTTCGAGAACACTGTCCAACCATCTCGTCCTCTGTCGTCCCCTTTTCCTTGTGCCCTCCATCTTTCCCAACATCAGGGTCTTTTCCAGGGAGTCTTCTCTTCTCATGAAGTGGCCAAAGTATGGGAGCCTCAGCTTCACGATCTGTCCTTCCAGTGAGCACTCAGGGCTGATTTCCTTAAGAATGGATAGGTTTGATCTTCTTGCAGTCCATGGGACTCTCAAGAGTCTCCTCCAGCACCATAATTCAAAAGCATCAATTCTTCGGCGATCAGCCTTCTTTATGGTCCAGCTCTCACTTCCATACATCACTACTGGGAAAACCATGGCTTTAACTATGGCTTTAACTATACGGACCTTTGTTGGCAATTTTAAATACATACATAAATAAATACATAAACAGGACAATCCAGTTACGTAGGTAAAACTCAGCTAAGGAGCTGAAGTGGATCTACTTTTTTGTATGTGCTTAAGATGTGTGCAGGAAAACATGGTGAATATAGCCAGAAACACATATTTTTGAATTGTGAATCACTAGTAGTGGACCACATTTAAGTCCTGATGATTGCAATGAGTGAGGCAAGAGAGGATAAAATAAGAACTTTAATATATATGTTAAGAGTTATTTATTTATTTGTCGACTTTTTCTGGATTGGGCTTACTGATCATAATTCCCAACCTCACAAAACTGGTGCTAGAATCATCCAGTACTTGGAAATTCTAATGTTGAACATTGGGATGCCTAAATATAGTAAATATGGAGTAAAAACGGCAATGAGTCCACAGGAAGTTCGCTAATGGTTACATGTCTTATTTGACATCACAAAATTGGTGCCATGATTGCCTGCATGAAAAATTTTGAGAGATTTCTGAAAGCTTCATTATAGTTTTAGGCAGTGCTTTTTCCCTTTAAAAAATGTTTAGGGGTACTCTCATTTTGACTCACGGAAATCACCATTTTATAGTTCAAATTGGGAAAAATAAATACAGTAAATGGACAAAAGTACAAAGATTCACAAAATGTTTAGGGGTATGTGTCCCCCCAGAAAAAAGCACTGCTTTTAGGTTCTAAAGCTAGTTGAGTTTTGAAACTGGAATTTTATTTTACAGTGAAATAGGATAGAAAAACGTCTTACCTCAATGAATGGTTGCTTTGATATCTATGCTCTAAGTAATTAAGCTGCTCCTTTCCCCTTATGGGGTACCCAAGAGCCTATATAGAGTCCTTTTGTAGGTTCTCTATTGGTAGGAGAAAATAACAGAGACCAACCAGAGAATATTGAGAAGCAAAGCAGCTAGTAAGTCTGATCTTTATTAACTGTTGCAACAGGGTGCTCCCCCACACACAGGAGAGAGTAGGAGGAGGACCCAGAACAAAGGTGTGCCTGCCCTTATATAGACATTTTAAATTGCCCGCCCTGGAATCCAAGACCACCCCCAGAAACACCATGCATACATCACAGAAGGGGTGTAGCCCAAGACCACCCCCCAGATACAACAGACCTACATCACAGAAAAGGCGGTCTACAACAGAAATCTGAGTGCGTTGTTTTTACCCTGTCTGCCAGATTACCTGTTAATGGTCACTTGACTGGATTACCTGGAGAGTCTGGCCATTATTTTTAATGATAATACTTAATTCCTGAGCCAGGTCACAGGCTCACCCTATTTACACCTTAAATGTGCCCTTAAGGCAGGATTTGTGAGGACAGAGACAATGGGGAGGTTTCTGCATTTCCTTCGACCTTGTAGAGAAATATTTGAGGTGACTGAAAGAGTCAAAATGGCTTTAGGACTTTTCCTATGGGTTTCAGAAGGGACGCGGGTGGCGCGGTCCCTGCTCCTGCCAACCCAGCAGTTTGAAAGCACGTCAAAGTGCAAGTAGTTAAATAGGTACCACTCCAGCAGGAAGGTAAACGGCGTTTCCGTGCGCTGCTCTGGTTTGCCAGAAGTGGCTTAGTCATGCTGGCCACATGACCCAGAAGCTGTACGCCAGCTCCCTCGGCCAATAAAGCGAGATGAACGCTGCAACCCCAGAGTCAGTCACGACTGGAACCTAATGGTCAGGGGTCCTTTTACCTTATGGGTTTCAGACATGTGGTTTATATATGTGTTTGCTTGGTACATTTATGAACATTCGTTATATATTTATAAGACCTAAAAATTCTTATAACATCTACCTACCAGAATTACTCAGTCATTGAATTCAAAGAGGGCACTATGTAGACTAGAGATCAAATCTGACACATTTTTAACATTTAAATTAAATTGGGGTTGCATTCAAACTGCTATCTCTTGTCCTCCCCGCCCCCCCAATGTATAAGACATATCGGAACAAAGCTTTGTTTTCTCTTTTTATGCTGAGAGCTGCGTCTCCCAACGCCCACTCTTACTGCTCATAAAAATAAATCATCTTTTGTTGGGTGGCTTTTCTGCCAGTTGCTTGAATAGGCTGGGTGGTGCCAAGCCTTCATAGGTGGAATTTGGCAGCCTGAATAAATACAACCAGTGCCATCCATTTTATAGGTTACATCCCTGTGACAGTGCTCAATGACGTCATATTTGATCTTAAGAAGAGAGCCAAGGGAAAGGGCCTGAATGGTTGGGACAGAATGTATTCAACCTGTTTGTAACTCTCTTTCAGCCCATTCCTGAAACTTGGTTGGAGTGTGCCAAAAGATGTGTCACCAGGGGCGTCTTACCCATAGAGGCTAGTGGCACGGGGCGCCAGGCCGCCAAGTTCTGGAGGGTGCCAGGGAAGAGGCAGAGGCTGGACGCGGCACCTGCCGGCATCAGCTTGCCGCCCTTGCCCGCCTCCGCCATGCCGCGCTGAAGCAGCGCCACGCCCAGAGCCTCTCTGCTGTGGCCACCGCAGCACAAATGGCCAGCTGAGCCGGGAGGCGCCACGTCCAGCCTCCGCCTCTTCCCTGCCAGAGGAGCTGCCCTCCAGCTGCTGCCCATCTCTTCCAGCCCCGCCAGCAGTGCCGTCCTCCCTAAAAAATTCTGGAAAATGGGGGGGGGCGGGCGCCGGAGGGAGCTTTGCACAAGGGCGCCTGATATGCTTAAGACTGCCCTGTATGTCACCACACCACCTCACATTTTGCACATGCAGTATGTTGGTCTGGGTGGTTGGGGGACTGTTCATCTAGCTATTGAACACACCTCCCCATGTCTCTCAAGTTCCATTTTTGAATCCAAGACTCACTCTTAGAGGGCATGCACAGCTGCCCTCACCAGCCCATCTAGTGTTGATGTAAGTCTGCGGGTTTAAGACCTTTATTTTGCCTGTTCCTTGAAGCAAAAAAATCACAATTGTTCTATAGGTGAATAGAAACCAAAATCACAGGGAGCAGCAGCATTATGTGAAGATAATAGTCAGTTATGAATCTATTTTGATTAAGGACTCATAATCCAGAAAATACATTGGCACACTTTCTGTTTCAACAGACAGCTAGTCTGTTTCTGTCCTTGTAATATATGCAGGCAATACAATCTAAGTGATATCTGTTAACTGTAGTTAGAGCAAAGAAACCTGTTCAGCAAGTGAGCCCTTTCTTAGCGAATCCCAACCTCGCAAAACCAGTGTTGCAACTCTATGCCACTTCCTTTCTCTGGTTCTCAGGTAATCTATTTTGAGCACACTGTTCTGCAAGCAGAAAGGTCAGTGTGTTTAATGTTTAGAAGCCACACACTTGTAAAGTCTAGACTTGTTAGTCTTCGAAAGGACCCCTTATATTAAAGAAAAGAGATTGGGTTACTTTCAGTTTTTCCCTTATATTCAGCAATAATCCATACAAGATCAGAATTTAGTGGCACAACACATGGAAAGGTCTACTAGGTCCTTTGACCAAGTTTTTGACCAATGCAACTAAAAGATTTCAAGACTACAGGAGCACAGGGGAATACCGTATTTTTTGCACCATAACACTCACTTTTTTCCTCCTAGAAAGTAAGGGGAAATGTCTGTGCGTGTTATGGAGCGAGTGCCTGCGGGTGGCGGGGGGATCTGCTGCAGTCGTGAGCAGAGGATCCATGGTTCCCCTTCCTTCCCTCCTCCGTGGTTACAAAGCATGGATCCACATGGATCCTCAGGATTTTTGCATTGGACTACTCCAAACTCACTGTCAGATCACATGTCTGTGGCCACAGCATGAACCACAAAAATCATATATCCACTATTTCGTTTAGAATAATTTTTTTTCTTGTTTTCCTCCTCTAAAAACTACGTGCGTGTTATGGCCTGGTGCGTGTTATAGAGTGAAAAATACGGTATATATGAGAACTTACAAACTGTGGCTAGTTAGACCAATGGTCAGCCACAGAATTAAAAGGCAGCTCCTTGAGCATTTTGCTTGTAGCCTTCCATGCGTTTTTGGCCCCCAGGATGCACACACTCCATTTTAAAACACATGACTTCCCCCAAAGACTCCTGGGAACTGTAGTTTGTTAAGGGTGCTGGGAACTGTAGCTCTGGAGGGGGTAAACTACAGTGTCCTGGATTCTTTGGGGAAGTCATGTGCTTTAAATGTATGGTGTACGCAGAAACTCCCAGCAGTGGCACTCAGTCAGGAATTATGGGAGTTGTAGTCCAGTAGCAGCAGCACGACCACAGGTCCTTTTTTTTTATAAGAAGGTAATTCTATTTCACATAAACCTATTTAGATAGACTCTCCACATACATATCTATAAGGAAACTGTCTCTTAACAAATACAAAATGCTGAAATGCAAGTGAGATAAGGGAGGAAAAAGAATGTCTCCATGGAAAAGATGCATCATGGTGAAAATTCCATGTAATTTTAACACACTCCCAGTATGTTTAATGGGACTTAGTTCTGAGTAAGTGATTTTAAGTAGAAGAAGCCTGAGTAGGCTGCAGTCCTATGTATTTGGGTATGAGCAAGCCACACTTGCAATATAATCCTAAATGTGTTTACTCAGAAGTAAGTTCAACTTGCTTAGGATTGCTGCAAACAAAAACATGTCTGCTGCCTTAGCTAAGCAACTGAAATAACTTACAGCACATCCCTATGGGAGTTTATTTGGAAGCGAGTCTCATATGCAGTTGGACTTACTCCTGGGTAAGTGAGCGCAGAACGGCAGCCTCAGGGATGCAAGAGAAATAACGCCCATTGTGTATTTGCGCCATTGAAGGGGTTTTCCACGGGTGGCTTTATAGGAAGCAGTGAACAGGTAAGTGATTTTTGTCCAAGATAAAGAGATTCTCAAAGCAACCATCTCTATATAGGCAGAAAAACCTCCCTGGGCAAGAAAAGTTTCGGATAGAATCCTTATAAATTAAGCTGGAGTGATAAAGCTCAAGGTCCCACGTTTAACTCCTGGTACTTTCAGCTAAGAACATGCAGGGGTAGGCAACCTAAGGCCTGGGGGCCAGATCCGTCCCAATTACCTTCTAAATCTGGCCTGCAGACGGTCCAGGAATCAGCGTGTTTTTGCATGAGTAAAATGTGTCCTTTTATTTCAAATGCATCTCTGGGTTATTTCTGCGGCATAGGAATTCGTTCATTTCCCCCCTCCAAAATATAGTCCGGCCCCCTACAAGGTCTTAGGGGCAGTGGACCGGCCCCCTGCAGAAAAAGTTTCCTGACCCCTGGCTAAGAGGAACGAGGTAGCGGTGCTTTAAGAGACCAACCGTGGTTGTGCTATTAGGCGGGCTACTTCTTATATTCCCTACGGACTACATCTATGGCCACTGGCTGGGGGCCGCAGGCTGCCTAGTCCGGATTAAGCGGTTTCAGCAAACCCTGAAATCCACGCCTTGGCGTCTAGTCCCCGCCGTGTGCTCTGCACCCTTGACTAGTCCTAAAATCGAGAGGAAAGGAAAAAGAGAGAGTCGGAGGCGTGCGCTCCGACGGAATAGCCTCGGGCGCGCCGCTCCCTCCTGCTGGCCCCGCGCTGCTCTTGGGAGGCGTCGACGGCGCGGCCGCCTCTCCACGGCCAAACGCAGCGCTCCAGGTGGCCGCCGGGCGGGACGGGGCGGGCGCGCCGAACGGCGCTGGGCTCTGGGAAGAAACTTTCTCGGCCGAGGGGGTGGAGCGCCGAAGGGGCGGCGCCGAAGGGAACCGGCCCCCGCGGCGCCTGGGCGCGGGCAGGGTGGCTGGGCTGGGTGGCGGGTGCTGCTCGTCCCGCTTGCGATCGCCCTTCCGAGCCGGATCCAGCCTCCGGGTGCCCGATGGGCTCCCCCGGGGGAGAGCAGGGGCCCCTGGACGACGTGTCCTGGCTCCGCTCGCTCTTCGTGGCCTGCGACGTGAACGGCTCGGGCCGGATCGAGCGCGACGACTTCGGCGCGCTGTGCGCCGAGCTGCGGGTCCGGCCGGCCGAGGCCGAGGCCATCTTCCAGCGCCTCGACACCGACCGCGACGGCGCCATCACCTTCGCCGAGTTTGCCCGCGGCTTCCGCGGCTTCCGCGGCGCCACGCAGCGCTGGAGGCGGCAGCATCAGCGGCGGCGGGACAGCGCGCAGGAGGCGTCCGAGGACGGGGCGAACGAGCCGGGGCTGGCAGATGCCCGCGACGTCTTGAGCCAGGCGGCGGCGGCGATGGAGCCGAGCCAGGCTTGGCGGGAGTTCGAGCAGCGGCTCGGGGACGAGGCCGGCTTCATCCCCAGGTAACCCCCGCCGTCGTCCCCTGCCGGACTGGGGGGCGAGCGAGGAGTAAACCGCGGGGAGGAAGGCAGGCAGGCAGGCGCCCGAAATGCCAGAACATCGGGGGTGTGCAGGGTCTTATTAGTGGTAAAAGGGCTTCTGAGCATGTGCCGAGTAGCGTTGCTGGCCTTTTCCTCTCTGCCGGCGACTCATTACCAAGTAGAATTCCTATGCACCTTTCCGCCTGGAAAACTTGTCCGCCTTTCAGGAATGATGGAGTGATGGGGAGCCTGTGGTCCTCCAGAAACTGTTGGACTCCCGACGCCTCTCAGCCTCTGTCAGCAGGGCTAGTGCTCAGGGATACAGAGGGCTGTAGCCCAACAACATCTGGAGGGCTGTAGATTCCCCCATCCTAAAGTGTGCACAGGGACATCCTGCTTGGAGCAAGGCAACCTCCCTAAAGGCAGTTTACCTTTTCTCATGGATCAGCTTGTGAGGTACCATATTTTTCCATGTATAACATGCCCCACCCCCACCCCCGTGTATAAGACATCTCCTGTTTTGGGGGACTCAAAATTAAGAAAATGGGGGGATTGCCCCCGTGTATAAGACTGCCCCCCTTTTTAAACATTATTTTTAGTAAAAAAAACCCTAGTCTTATACACAGAAAAGTATGGTATTACTTAGTTCTTTATTTGTGTGTCCTCCCCCACTTCACTTCCTCTGAGGAGCTCAAGGTAACAGTCAGGGTCTCCCTCTCTGCCCCTCCTTTATCCTCATCAACTCAGTGGGGAGAAAGAGTGTGACTGACCCAAGTTAGTTATTCTAGTGGACCTTTCAAGCTGGAATTCCTCATTTGGCACTAGCCACTGAACAACACTGTCTCTAAGATAGAGGGATAAAGAGACAAAGCTTGTAAGTCAAAGCATTTAGTTTCTAGGCATCCTCTTGCAATTTTAGAAATTAACTGGTGGCAACGACACACTCCAGATGCATTTTCTGTCCACATAAACATTTTTATGTGTGCGTTTTTTAAAAGAAAAGAAAACACACACACACATACACAACACACACACACATACACACACACACAGCCTTTTCTCTGCCCCCCCATTGTTTGAGATAAAACATTAGGCAGTGGCAATCCAGTCAGGCTGCAATAGGACTTTGGGATGGGAGAGGGGGGACCAATAATGAAAGAGGCCCTTAAGAGAATATTTTATGATGCAATCCATATCTTTGAAATATCCTGTGCTACAAGTCTGCAAGGTGCCACGTCGCTTCTGGACTCCTTTTTGTCCATTACTGCGGGCAGACGGTGCTACTCTCTTTGTGGGTTTCAGGTATTTTCTCTTACTGCTTTAGAAACCCCAAAGCAAGCAGCAATGCTTATCTGAAGGCATCCCAGTTCTGTAAAAGTTTGCAGAACACATTGCGAAGAAGAAGAAAGTGTACCTTGCCACTCCCTCCCTATTTTTGGAGTGGACAGTTGCTGCCCAGCTTACAAGGAAAATATTGAACAGAAACAAATGAACAAATAAATCGTTATCTTTTATTACATCTGTTCCTGTTTAGTGTTGGGGCTCTATTTACAGCTGGAATAGCAAGGGTAGTTGTGTGGCTATTTAAGGCGGGGCAGGAAGTTCACCCTTGTGCTGCTTTGGCTCTTGTGAAAATACTGCCCCTTCCCCATCTGTAGATGATCCATCTGCTATAGCAGCCCTGTCCAAATGGCAGCCCTCTACACTGAGGTAGGAGCAGTTTTGGAACAGACTCTTCTCACGCCACACTCCGCGTCTTTTTTTGAGACTGGATATGCCACTTCCTACGACTTCAAAGCAGAGGCTGAAAAGCAGTCAGAAAGAAAGGGTCGAATTTGGTATAAAGAAGTGTTTGAAACTCCTATTGTTCTAGGTACATTTTGTGACAGAGAGTTTCATTAGCGTGAGAAGTTTATGAACTCTGTGCGCAGTACTGCACTGTCCCTCAGACCTTGTGGGGGGGACTATATTTTTTTGGGGGGAATGAACGAATTCCTATGCCCCACAAATCACCCAGAGATGCATTTTAAATAAAAGGGCACATTCTACTCATGTAAAAACACGCTGATTCCTGGACCTCTGCGGGCCGGATTTAGAAGGCGATTGGGCTGGATCTGGGCCCCCAGGCTTTAGTTTGCCTACCCATGGCCTAAGATTTCACATCAAAACGGCAGAGTGGAAGGAAAGAGGTCCTTTTTCTGCCTCTCCACTTCCAGCTACTCTCTGAAGTCTGGAGAAGAGACCCTCTTAAGAATATTAGGGGGTGGGCAGGGGAAGGACTGGACCGTGTGAAAAATGAACACAATATTTTAGCTGTAGTTCATTCATTTTCAGCTTTGTATTCTTGCTATAAAAAAAGTGTGCCTAGACATTCCATTGTTGCGACCATAACCTCGGTTTAAGGTGCCATTTAGCTCCTAGCTTTCATATCTCAAGTTTCTAACACTGGTATAAAGGCAGATTTGTTCACTCTGCAGAGCAGTGAAATCAGAATTTTGTAACTGTTTTAATGCACACGTGTACAGGTTATTGGCCAGAAATAACTTCCGTATGTGAAATGATCAAAGCATCCAAAGATTTCTCCCTATCTCATGGATGGTTTAAATTGGAGGCAGTCAGGCTACTGAATACCAGTTTCTAGAAGCCACAGGAGGGAAATGTGCTTTTGTTCTTGGGTCCTACAAGTAGTTTCCCACAGACTTTTAGTTGGCTACTGTGGATGTAGCCTACCTTGATTTCAGCAAGGCATTTGACAAGGTGCCCCATGATATTCTTGTAAAGAAGCTGGTAAAATGCGGTCTTGACTATGCTACCACTCAGTGGATTTGTAACTGGCTGACTGACCGAACCCAAAGGGTGCTCATCAATGGTTCCTCTTCATCCTGCAGAAGAGTGACTAGTGGGGTGCCACAGGGTTCTGTCTTGGGCCCGGTCTTATTCAACATCTTTATCAACGACTTGGATGATGGACTCAAGGGCATCCTGATCAAATCTGCAGATGACACCAAACTGGGAGGGGTGGCTAACACCCCAGAGGACAGGATCACACTTCAAAACGACCTTGACAGATTAGAGAACTGGGCCAAAACAAACAAGATGAATTTTAACAGGGAGAAATGTAAAGTATTGCACTTGGGCAAAAGAAATGAGAGGCACAAATACAAGATGGGTGACACCTGGCTTGAGAGCAGTACATGTGAAAAGGATCTAGGAGTCTTGGTTGACCACAAACTTGACATGAGCCAACAGTGTGATGCGGCAGCTAAAAAAGCCGATGCAATTCTGGGCCGCATCAATAGGAGTATATCATCTAGATCAAGGGAAGTAATAGTGCCACTGTATTCTGCTCTGGTCAGACCTCACCTGGAGTACTGTGTCCAGTTCTGGGCACCACAGTTCAAGAAGGACACTGACAAACTGGAACGTTGTCCAGAGGAGGGCAACCAAAATGGTCAAAGGCCTGGAAACGATGCCTTATGAGGAACGGCTAAGGGAGCTGGGCATGTTTAGCCTGGAGAAGAGGAGGTTAAGGGGTGATATGATAGCCATGTTCAAATATATAAAAGGATGTCACATAGAGGAGGGAGAAAGGTTGTTTTCTGCTGCTCCAGAGAAGTGGAGCAATGGATCCATACTACAAGAAAGAAGATTCCACCTAAACATTAGGAAGAACTTCCTGACAGTAAGAGCTGTTCGACAGTGGAATTGGCTGCCAAGGAGTGTGGTGGAGTCTCCTTCTTTGGAGGTCTTTAAGCAGAGGCTTGACAACCATATGTCAGGAGTGCTCTGATGGTGTTTCCTGCTTGGCAGGGGGTTGGACTCGATGGCCCTTGTGGTCTCTTCCAACTCTATGATTCTATGATTCTATGAGAACAGGATGCAATCTACACAGGCCATTGAAGATCCTGCAGGCTCTTCTTAGGTTTGTGTTCTCTCCCTCTCCCCGTATGTATGACAATAACACAGGTTTCCATTCAACTTGAATTGCAACTCAGTTTGGGGAAAGGGCATAGCTCCGTGGTAGAGCACCTGCTTTTCATGTAGAAGGTTGCAAGTTCAATCCCCGGCAGCTGCAGGTAGGGCTGGGAGACACGCTGCTACTCCATGTAAACAGTACAATGATACCTTGGGTTACAGACGCTTCAGGTTACAGACTCCACTAACCCAGAAATAGTACCTCAGGTTAAGAACTTTGCTTCAGGATGAGAACAGAAATCAGGCTCCAGTTGTGTGGCGGCAGCGAGAGGCTCCATTAGCTAAAGTGGTACCTCAGGTTAAGAACAGTTTCAGGTTAAGACCGGACCTCCAGAATGAATTAAGTTCTTAACCCGAGGTACCACTGTACTGAGATAGATGGAGCAATGGTCTGACTCACTATGAGGCAGCTTCTTATGCTTCTGTGGAATCCTGTGTATCCTATGTACCTGGGACTATTAATGCAATCCTGTTCATGTCAACTCAAGTGAGTCCTGCAGAGTTCAGCAGTGCTTACTTCCAGGTAACTATGTACAGGATTGCATCCTCAGGCCCATTGAACTTGGTGGGCTCTCCTTCTGAGTAACAAACATGCATAGGAAGTGGACTATCTGGGCCCCCAAGAGATATTGTCGAGAACGAGGATTTAGGTTTAGCATTCGTAATCCTGTGAGGTGATAAATTATCTTGTGACAAGCATATCACATTCCGTGTTTGCCTTTATGGATGGGCCCTGTGTTTGCGCAGTAAGAAGGCTCTGTTTGTGATAGCTGATCTATGATAGCCATTTCACCCAACCATGCTGTGACGTGAAAGGTGCAGTGACCAAATAGTAACGGTGACACCCTGGGATGCCAGAGGAGGGAGTGGTCATGCTAAAGAAATCCACCCTGTGCATTTCTGCATCGCAAGCTTCTTTCATCCGCAATAATTGGTTACCATCATTTTGCTTACGATGTTAACAGTTGGGCTTGCTGTTCTGAGTAGATTATTTGCTGTGAGTGGCGTAAGGTCTCTTCTGTCAGATTTCAAAGGCCATTTTGCTTCTGCTGTACTATTGAGCTTTGTATGACAGAGAACAGCAAAGATGGGCTTTCTTTCCAACTGTGTATAATAATTTATACTGCACTTCCTTCGCTATCTCCCAAAAGCTTTCCCCCTTTTTGGCAGCAGGTAAAGCTGTTTGCCTGGGCTTATGTAGGATACTATAGCTAGTATGGAGCTTCAGTTAAGGAGTCAGTGAGTGGCTCTAAGTGGTTTTATGGACCGTGATTTTAAGGATTTGTTTTACCTGCTCTTTTAATAATATTGGAATTATTTATGTATTGATCATTGTACTGTACCCTGGGATCTTAGGCTAAAGGACAGACTTAGAAGTGTTCTTAATAGATAAATAAAACACAATCAATTTAAAAAATTTAATTAGCCACATAGGAGGAGATGTTTAGATTTCAATTAAGGCTCCATCTAGGCCAGCAGTTCTCAACCTGTGGGTCCCCAGATGTTGTTGGACTACAATTCCCATCATCCCTGAGCTCTGGCCTTGCTAGCTAGAGGTGATGGGAGTTGTAGTTCAACAACATCTGGGGACCCACAGGTTGAGAAAGGCTGATCTAGGCCATGGGCAGGTAACCTGTCATATTGGATTCCACTTCCCATTATGGCCGCTGGTTGGGGAGTCCAGTAAGATCAAAAGGGCCAAAGAGTTAGCCAGTCCTGATGTGGCCCAACATCCTGCTTTGGGTAGTTGTTAGTCAGATGCCTCCTTTATTTAAGAGCCATAGCTCAGTGACAGAGCATCTTATCTGCATGCAGAGGGTCCTGAGTTCAATCCCTGGCATCTCCAGGCATCAAAGGTCAGATTTATGTGCTTTTCCAGACAGCAGCAAGAAAAAGCAGGCAGTACTTAGCTTAAAACTTAGCTTAAAAAATGGTAAGAGTTTCTAAATTATTTGTATAGAAACATAAAGATGGCTTGCTAAAGCAATGTTGTCTAAGCTTGGAAAATCCAGTTTAGACAGCCTTACTACTTGGATTCACATGGTGGAAGAGGTGAGAGGGTATGACCTAGCTAAACCTGGCAGGACAGCTGACTCTATGGTTTTAACCCCTTCATGCATTAATTTCACTTAAGCATGTTGGTTATATAAGGCTGCTGAGGGTGCAGTTGATTATGAAAAGGAACTGAGATGTCAGATTTTCAAGCAAAGGTAAAAATTATCATTGATTTTCTGGAACATACGAAAAGGTGATCATTGCATTGCTGTTGTTCACTTTGACACTTGAGGCCTGTAACTTGATCCATGTATCGATTTCCATGGTGTTCTGAGTGGGCTTAATAAGGCCCTGGCTCTTTCATACAGAATCACATTAGAACACCGTTTCCCCTAGTTCAAGATGCTCCTTTGGCATGAAGTGTGAGAGTGCAAATTATCCACCTGGAGGCTGTTGAAGGGGATGCAAAGAAAGTTATGCTTCCATCTAAAGAACACTAATCTTTAGTGGCGAACGTACAGCAAGCAATGCTCAGTGCTAGAAATGCAGTGAAGGGGACTCAAGAGTACACTGGGAATGAATCCACATGATACAACAAGAATCTAATTAGGGTTAGTATGCATTTGCCATATAAATATTTAAAACAAGTTGCTTACACTTGTCTGTCATTTCAGTAGCTTTGCGACCATTGGTTAGGACACTGGAAGACTGGTTCAGATTTCATTCTTACTGACCAATCAGCTAGAACACTGTAGCTTGTCTTTTCCTTTATATTTCTGAATAAAAAGGCTAGAGGGCTCAAGGCACTGTTTCTAGTTTGATAAGCACTGAAGTGTTGCCATGGCCTCCTTGTAGCCTGTATTGATTCTAATGTGAACTTGCAAGAGCTGCGTAATTTATATTTCTGTTTTATTGAATCAGAAACTCCTGTATTGAAAATATTAACTGAATATCGATTGCAGCTGCCCATTTGAGATATTGGGCTTATGTAGACTAATGCAGATGATCAAGAACTTTATCTATTCAGTATCTTACAAAATTGTTATAACATTATTTTTTTCAAAAAGATTGGAAATCCCTAAAGGCTTCACTTAAATATATATGTATGGTTTTTTTTAAAATATATAGATTGTGTGGGTGTGTTATCTTTAAAACAACATAACCAGAAAGGTTTGCAGAATAGGTGCTTTTTAAACTTGGAAGGGAGTCCTTGGTTTGTCCTGCTTTCTGAAAGGAAAAGTTATTCTTATTTTTGTAAGATGGTGGTTGCTAAACAAAGGCTGCTCAGGTATAGCAGACTGCTGAGTTGGTGGTGGAATGAGGCATGTGCAAAGAGAGTTTGTGTAAGCATCTGCCTCCCTTTCAGCAGCTAGTCCTTATCGCAATGCCATGGATACAATGTTTGCCATAGCACTTTGAATGCAGTCCAGCTGCTTAATAGGGTGGTAGAGTGAATTGCCATAGCTTTGTTCGGCGTGAGTGTGCTGAGTGTGTTTTGATTCTAAAGGTAAAGGGACCCCTGACCATTAGGTCCAGTCGTGACCGGCTCTGGGGTTGCGGCGCTCATCTTGCTTTACTGGCCGACGGAGCCAGCGTACAGCTTCCGGGTTATGTGGCCAGCATGACTAAGCTGCTTCTGGCGAACCAGACTAAGCTGACTAAGCTGCTTCTGGCACGGAAACGCCGTTTACCTTCCCGCTGGAGTGGTTCCTATTTATCTACTTGCACTTCGTGCTTTCGAACTGCTAGGTTGGCAGGAGCAGGGACCAAACAACGGGAGCTCATCCCGTGGCGAGGATTCGAACCGCCGACCTTCTGATTGGCAAGCCCTAGGCTTGCACCACAGCGCCACCCATTTGATTCTACTGAATGGCAATTCTCATGCATCACTTCAGACAGAGTGATGGTCAAAATGGGATAGCTGAGGTGAATCGAGACATGACAAAGTTAGGTACTTGGTGGTGCAAAGCAGTCCAATCAGGACTCAGGTTCACTATCCCATGTGAGGGGAAAGGATTGCTTGTTGTCTCCAGCCAAACATCATGCTCACCTCCTACTTCCTTGGGTGTGGGCTGTGCGCAGAGCAGTAATAATGGGGGCAGATGCACTGATGCTTAGTCATAGTTTTGAGTCCTTTTTCTGTATTAAAGTGCAGCAGGACTAATAATAATAATAATAATAATAATAATTTTTATTTATACCCCGCCCTCCCCAGCCAAGGCTGGGCTCAGGGCGGCTAACAAGCAATAATAAAAACAAGTTGAATGATTACAACTTAAAAACAAAATTAAAATACAACAAGTCCAAGACGCTTGTAGCCTGAGGTGAAGAACAAGATGACAAGCTCCCATACCATGTCCAGAAGCTGACTGAGCTGGTAGCTGGATCTTGTTTTAACTCTGGCAACGAAACTTGGTTTTCTCCTGCACTTGAGGGCAACAGACTAGCTTAGGGGCTCAGAAGTGGTCACGTGGTACACAGCTCTGTCGTTCACCATCTCAGTGCCACTCCTCACTCCACCGTGATGGCTGGGAACTTTGCTTGGGGCAGCTTTGCTCCAGCCACAAGTGGAACTCCAAATCTTAATGCACTTCTTCAAGCTTGGGTGACTCAAGCTTCAGGTTTGACTGCTGAATGTAGATTTCTCATTATCATTTCATTACCTGGAAATGTATTTGAGTGTATGTGGATCAGAAATTCCTTAAAATGATTCTGGTATTTGGATTTTGTTTCTGACTCGTCTCTGATGCAGAAGCAAAGGACAAAGTTAATGGGAATTTTGAAAACAGTATTTTGCTCCTTAATAATTCATTTTCAACAAATGGTCACAATATTTGGTGGCAGCACTGATGAACCAACTTGCACATATTGGAATATTGGACTTGGAATATTGCAGTCTTTAAGTTACCAGGGTGCCATTTCAGTCAGTTGAGCTGCAGTAAGAGGTAATGATAATCAGGGGTAGAGGTTGCTCTGAAACAATAATCTCAAGTGATCTGAAACATGGGGTTATATCCTGTCTTGGTCATACTAGCAGTAGACCCATTGAAGTTAATAGACATGATTAACTTAAGTCCCTTAATTTCCATGGTTTTACTCCGAGAAGAACTTACTTGGATACAAACTGCAGGAGGGAAGAATGATTTCCACATGCCCCTTCCTCTAAATGCCCCATGCAATTTCATGGACTAGCTAGCAGAGCAGTAGTCTTCAGCATTTTTGAGCACCTGCCTTTAATCCAGGCATAGGCAAACTCAGCTCTCCAGATGTTTTGGGACTACAACTCCCATCATCCCTAGCTAACAGGACCAGTGGTCAGGGATGATGGGAGTTGTAGTCCCAAAACAGCTGGAGGGCCAAGTTTGCCTATGCCTGCTTTAATCCAAACATGCATTTGGGAACCCAACGCTTTTCCTTTCATTCACATATTTGCTGCTGCTGCTGCTGCTGCTGCTGTGGTGACTGACCTTAGATCAGGCCACAAGCTGAAAGTGGGACCCAACCCAGTTGAAGACTGGGCTGCTTGTCAATCTATATTTCTCTATTGCTTTGTAAATCTCTATTTCTGGTACCCTGTGCCTCTGTGAAGGTGCTGTGGAGTTCCTGTTGAATGGCCCATACAATGCCGCCACCCTGCAGAAGCCTTTAACTGGTGGCATTGCCATTCACCGAAGATTAAGGATGTCTTTGCCTTCCCAGCTGACTGTAGTTAAAAAACTTCTCTGTTTCCAAAATGGCTCTGGGGCTGGTGGTAGCAGTTGCCAACGTGTGCTTTTAATTTAAAATCTCATTCAGCCTTTTTGTATAATAAGCATTCGGGTGAGTGCTCACTGTCACCTCTAATTTAAAAAGACCCCATCGCCTCCTTGTGACACCCTGCGCTTCCGGAGAGGGTTGCGCTGTTGCGCTTGCCTGTGGTGTATTTTCTCACTCCTTGCACCTGACCGGCACAGCATAAATATAGGCCGCCGGAGTCTGCTGAATCAAGCTCTTTTGACAGTTGTAATTGGGCCAGCGAGGAACAATGAAACCATATTGTGGTTTTTGAGATCAAATAAGCTGAGCAAACTCCCGCAATTGCCGCCATATGTTTGTGACAGCAGCGGCTCTTCCTAGCCGAGCTCAGCAGGCGCAGACTGAACAGCATGGCTGGGGGGGGGGGAAGGTTGAGCCTTAAGCTTTCAACCTCCCTTCTTTCAGGCTTCTTGTTTGTTTAATCTTTGAAGCTGAAAAATCTCCAAGAACAGCAGCTGTGACGCTCTTGAGAACCAGAACAAAAGGTAGCACTGTCAGAATAGGGCCACGAAGCCTGCTTCTCAGCTCCCGAAGATAGGTTTACAAGGGCTCTATGGAAAGGGAGGGGGCAGGGCTGTGGGGAGATGTGTATTGTGAAGTTGAGATGGTGGGGTGTAGAATAAATGAATAAAGTAACAAGCTCTGATGCATGCATGCCATGGGCCATTATGCAGAAACAAAACCTGTTGCTTCCCCCTGAGAAAAATCTTTAAAAGCATTTGACCCACAAAATGGCTTAAACATGCCTGACAGCAGGTGGTAAACAAACAAACAAACAAACAAACAAACAAACAAACAAAACTTTTATATGCCATCATCATTAAATTGGCCTGGTGCCTTCCAGGTGTTTTGGGCTACAGCGCACTATTGCAATTCAAAACATCTTCCGGGAACTAGGTTGGTGAAGGGGTCTCATTTCAGAGCTATGAAGTGGAAGCCTCTTTTTTGAATCTCAGCTTGGCGCTGAACCCCCTAAATGACCTTATTCAGACCCTTATCCCTCCTGAGTCTTACATACCTAATAACTTTGACTGAATCAAGGCTGTGGTGATTTTTATGCAAGTAGGTTGTTAAAAACAAAAGGAAAGCGTGGAATTAATTTTTTTAAAGTGAACCTACCTTCCTGCTTGGGACGCGGGTGGCGCTGTGGGTTAAACTACAGAGCCTAGGACTTGCCGATCAGAAGGTCGGCGGTTTGAATCCCCGCGATGGGGTGAGCTCCCATTGCTCAGTCCCTGCTCCCGCCAACCTAGCAGTTCGAAAACACGTCAAAGTGCAAGTAGATAAATAGGTACCGCTCCGGCGGGAAGGTAAACAGCGTTTCCGTGCGCTGCTCTGGTTCGCCAGAAGCGGCTTAGTCCTGCTGGCCACATGACCCGGAAGCTGTACGCCGGCTCCCTCGGCCAGTAAAGCGAGATGAGCGCCGCAACCCCAGAGTCGGCCACGGCTGGACCTAATGGTCAGGGGTCCCTTTACCTTTACCTTCCTGCTCTGCTTGTTGAAAATGATATGTCAGGATATTTGATGCCCCTTACAAGGCCAGTCCGGAAGATAGTGTCCCCAGAAAGATGCTGTGCCCAGGAGATTGCCTGTCCACCAGTGTGTGAGGGAAGCTGCCCAGACACTTCAGACGCTTTCTCTGATTATTCAGAGCATTCAGAAAGATATCAGCAGGCCCAATAACCAAGCCAAACGCCTTGGCCAGAGGCTGCTGCATCCAGCCCAGGTGCCAGTTCTTTTCACATATCTCCTCAGGCCGCACTGCTGTTCTCCTTCATAATATCAGCCATGCCATCCAGGGTCATTCCCCAACGCAGTGTGTCCTTGTCAGCATTGCTCTTCTGTGGTCAACGCAGGACAAGCAAGTCAGTCTCTGCACAAAGGAGCAAATGGGAAACGGATCTGACATAAAGAAACGGCAACATTCAAGCAACAAGTGGGCGAACATTTCAGTCTCCCAGGACACTTTGCTCACTGAGCTGGCAGTTGTCAGTCTAAAACAAAGGAACTTCAAAGGGAGACCACAGTGTGAAGCTGTTGGACTAGAATTTATCGGGGAATTTGATTCTATTTATTTAGCCTTGAATAGAGACAATGGCATCCCCTCTCACTACAGGGGTGAGTTAACGTACTGCCATAGTGAATTGCCACTTTGCTTATCTTATATACATTTGAACGTTGCATACAATTGTTTCAGACTGGGCCTCTCGCTGTTGTTTTGCGCCACTGTTTATATCCCCCCCCCCCCGTTCCCATTGTGCATACTTGCCAACTGAGGAGAACAGTTCGTGCACCTGACAAGGTTGGCCCTAGTCCACTGAATTTTATGCCATGATAAATCTGTTAGTTTTTAAGATGACGTAAGACTGTTTTTGTTTTGTTTTTGCGGCAGCCAACTAAGACAGCTACATGTCTGGACAATTTTACGGAAGGTGCACTGAAAATTTGCTTACCTTTCTGTAAAAATAAAATTGGGCACCCGCCCTGTGAAACGCCCTCCCACCAGATGTCAAAGAGAAAAACAACTACCAGACTTTTAGAAGACATCTGAAGGCAGCCCTGTTTAGGGAAGCTTTTAATGTTTAACAGACTTGTATTTTAATATTTTGTTGGAAGCCACCCAGAGTGGCTGGGGAAACACAGCCAGATGGGTGGGGCATAAATAAATTATTATTATTATTATTATTATTATTATTATTATTATTATGTTTTGCCATGAAAGTTGGCCTCCAGAACCACGTCAGTTTGCCCTGATTCATCCACCACCAATTCCAATGAGTATTTTGGTTGCAGTTCCTAGATCATATATATTGACTATCTTTAATTATCCCAACAGGAATGCCAGTGGCATCCAATGGTAGGTTATCGGTTGAGCTAAGTTAATTTTTGTTACAGCATCCTAGAAAAGCTTTTATTGTGCTGCCTTTCTTACTAACCGTGCATGGGCGTTTGCTTGCTGGTTTCTATCCACTTCTCTAAAGTTTATCCTGCATCTAAAAACTTGCACTATATATATTCTTCACACAATTATTGTGGAGCAGAGCTGGCTCCTTTGGCCCTGGCCCTCCCGAGGCGCCCATGCATTGGGGCACACATCTGAACTGCAAAGCCTGTGCTGAAGCAGCTGCTGGGTGTGTGGTCTTCCACACAAGGAGGCCACCCATGTGATCAGGAGAGCCACTTGCATGGAAGCCTATGAGCAAGCAGCTGCTCACCCAAAGGCTTCATAAAGGCAGGTATCTGGTCCCACACATGGATGCCTAGGAGGTTGGGCCAGCAACAGAGAATTGGAGAATTCTACAGTTTGAAGGGTCCACGAGTTTCATCTACTCCAGCCCCCTGCAGTGCAGGAACCTCAGGAGCCAGATGTGGCCCTCCAGGCCCTTCTGTTTGGCCCTCCAAACTCTCCCCAGGCCACACCACTCAGTGGCCCTGCTTTGCACCCGAAAGAGTGTTTGTCTGGCTGCAATTTGCCTTTGAACTCCCATTATACTTCTTGCTTGGATGGGAGATAGAGATGCGCCTGAGTAGAAACTAGCCTACGGTACAAAGGCAAAGAATTACATTTGTTGCTCCACCTACTTTTGCTTCTGACCTCACCTTCCCACTGGCATGTGACCCTCAGAAAGTTGTGCAGAAGTTGCCTCTGTCCCCACAGTAAAAGCATTAATTATTGTGCAATTACACTGTTTCCAAAACATTTTGTAATATTGTTTTGAAGATATCCAACTCTCTTCTGAGTTGATGCCATTAACCAAAGAAATGCTAACAATTTTGTAAGGGTTGAATATAATTGGTTCGTGGTACGAAAGCCTAACCCGCGAAAACTGAATAGGAGTGCTTTTTCCTTCGCCATTTCAACAGCCATCTCTGCATGAGATATAAACCGATTATTTGTGAGAAAATCTGCATATGCTTTAATTAGTAATTTTTTTCCTCTTCCAGGCAAGAACAGGTCAGTGTTCTGTATCAGAACATCAATATCGTGGAACCACGGTTAATTCAACCTTATGAGCATGTTATTAAGAACTTTATTCGAGAGATCAAGCTTCAGAGTGCAGAGATGGAAAACTTAGCCATAGCTGTAAAAAGGTAAGAGTCAAATGTTTTGTACTTCACAGTGAAACAATTACTATTTTTGTCTGCAGTACATGGTGTTGTTTAAAGTCACATGATAATGTTAATGGCAGCATTCAACTGCCAAAATTGCACTGTGAGTTGGATGAGGCTGGTGGGTGTGAGAAGTCAAAATTAGCATTGGTTGTCCTGGAGTTTCTGAGAAGCTGAATGAAGTGCTTAAGATCCAAAGGCAGACTATTAGCCTAATATCATTCTTTTTCATGCTATGTTTTTTCCTTGCAATCATGGGGTTATCTCCTCAGAGTAGACCCACTGGAATTAATGGACACAACCAACTTAAGTTCATTCATTTCAGTGAGTATAACATGGCTGGACACAACCAAAATTCCTTCCTTATGGAATCGGGATTGTAACTTTAAAAAAAATGTCCTCTCAGAAGTCTGTTTTACTTTAAAGTTATACCTTTGAACACACATATGTAAAAAGGAAATAGTTATCAATTATATACTGTTCAAGCAGTATGACATCCAGGCCGATATGACTGGTGAAATTTTGTTGCTGATGGTGTATATCCATGAGAAGCAACAGTTTTAGGTCCCAGCTGATCTACCTTTTTGTGGTAACACATCATAGGAAGTTGGCAGCAGAAAGGGAAGCGGAAAATGAAGTTGCCTTCTTTGTGCTGCCGTGAGAAGATGTTCAGAATGGTGTGTGGAAAACCAGTTCACATACAGTTCTGCACATCATTTGCAGCCACAGCTTTGGTAATTGGATGCCCTAAGCAGTTACAATGCTTGAGATATCCGTGTAGCATGTACCATCCTAAGAGAATTGGGTTGCTTTTAATGACAGTAATGAGAATCAGGTGACTTTAATTTGGAGTTGCCGATCTGCACTATACATTTAAAGCAGTATCATACCACTTTAAACAGCCACGGCTTCCTGCCTGAGAACTGCAATTCGTAAGAGGTGCTGGGAGTTGTTAGGAAACCTTCTGTTCCTCCCAAAGTGCTGCGATTCCCAGAATTTCCTGGGAAGAGGGACTGTTTGATGAACTACTCTGTAGATCAGGCATGTCCAAAGTCCATTTCGGCGGCCTAATCAGGTCCACCAGTCAGTTTATTTCCTGGGGTAAAATCCAAAAAAACCCTCAACAACTTCAACCCTAAAAAAGCTCAACAACTTTGGTTATCCCTTTGGTCAGCCCTCATGGCCCTTCACTTCATCAAATCTGGCCCTCTTTGAAAAAAGTTTGAACTCCACTGTTGTAGATTGTAGCTCTACTACTGGCATAGGGACCTCAAACTTCAAGCACTCTTTACGAACTACAGTTCCCAGAATTCATTGGGGGGAGCCGTTATTATTTAAAGTGGAATGATGCTGCTTTGCAGATCAGACCAAGGTCTTTGTTCACCTTTCCCCAGATGCCTGACTTGCAACATCTTGAGCCACCGATTCAGGTTAGGGATGGAACAAACCATGTATTCTCAGTTTTATTTGAAGTTTCTCAAGATGGCCTTGTGTGAATGCTTACATTTTAGAGCACAAGATAAAGCAGCAATGCAGCTGGGTGAACTGGAAGAGGAGATGGACCAGAGAATACAGGCTGCAGAGCATAAAATCAAGAAGGAGGTGAATAGTTGATGTTTATAGCCCTAATATTTCTTTTAGAACTGGCTTCTCTGCTTAAGAAAACTAGTGAAGAGATTCTGGCTTCTCTGCCTGAGGCTTCATACATGAAACCTTTCTCTGCATTCTTTCTCCTCCCAATTTGCCATGGATGTGAAAGGTATGAAGGTCAGAGCTTTCTCCACCTCAGTTTTTGGGTGGGGAGCATTAATACGGAAAGGGTGACTGGGTTGGTGCTGTTTTCAGTGCCTGTGAGAAACTTTTTTTAGGCCAGATAGAGGCTGATGTGCCTTTTAATTGGAACTTTTCTTTTCTTAAATGTACATTTTAAACTACTGGTTGTATCTATACCAGGGGTTTTCTTTTAGCTCAGCTTTTGTGTGTGTGACTTTTTTGAGAAATTGCCTGATCCACATGATGGGCAAGCAACTTGCCTGCTGTATAGCAGCAGTCAGCATACAGTTCCCTTGAACGTGGTGGCTCTAAAACTGGCCCTAATAGAAGAATTAGAACTAGTTGTTTACTGACTAGTAGTAATATAGAGGTTTTAAGCTGCTGCATTTCTGTGTTTCATTCCTAAGTACCATATTTTTCGCTCTATAAGATGCACCAGACCATAAGACACATCTAGTTTTTGGAGGAGGAAAACAAGAAAAAAAATATTCTGAATCCCAGAAGCCAGAACAGCAAGAGGGATTGCTGCGCAGTGAAAGCAGCGATCCCTCTTGCTGTTCTGGCTTCTGGGATAGCTGCGCAGCCTGCATTCGCTCCATAAGACGCACACACAGTTCCCCTTACTTTTTAGGAGGGGAAAAGTGCATCTTATAGAGCGAAAAATACGGTACCTCCAGCCTGCACATTCAACAGAGCACAGGTTCTTTAAATTGCATGCAAACGACTCTTCCTCCCACCTCTTTCGATTGCTTAGTTACTCATTGAAGGAGCCTCTGAGTTGTCAAAGGTTGTGTCCACAATTGAGAGGGCTTTCTCAGTTGCGCCTAAGGCGCAGGTGATGAACATTGGGCTCTTCAGTTAATGCTGGACTCCAGTTCCCATCTGCATGACCAGTAGTCAGGGATGAGGGGTGTTGAAGTCCAGCAACATATGGTGGGCCACAGGTTCTCTACCCCAAGCCTAAGGCAAGCTGGCCCAAGCTGTGACTCGCTTAGGCAATTGACCCCACCAGCCATGCATACCTAGGTGTTGATAAACCTCCTCTTTTTGCTGTCTTCCTGGAACTTCACATGGGGGGCTTGTTAAGCATCTAGTTAGGGCCCACTACCTGAGTAGCAGACTACCTTTCTCTTGTGATGTGTGTAGTGTAGAAGACATCGCAGGTTGTGCAGGCCTGCCTTAAGAGCTTGTGTGTGCGCAGCGATGGAATGGCGGGCTGCACACCTGACCACATGTGACTTCTAAAACGTCCCTGAGGCTCTGAAGCATTTGAATTAGTAGGGGGGCAGTGGGGTGGAGGCTGTTCTTTGTGAAGTCCAAACCGCAGCTGGTAATTCACAGCTGATCCCACAGATCTCTGAGCACTGGCCTTACCATGGACTTTGAACCCACCTTATAAATGTATCAGTATTTCCCTAAGCACACACACACACAATGGAATGTCTGAGTTGATAAGCATCTTGCCAAGTATCAGTCAATTTACCACCTAGATAGAAATAGCAGGGCTGGCCTGGTGATGACTTATTTCACTTATCATTCTTTACTCTGTCCTTCATTCAGTCCTGCTCGCAATTTTGAGAAGTATGACACCCCAAATGTAAATGCACTCCTTCGGTGATATTTACTTTGTGGGTTAGTACCGAACTATAAATTTTAATGGTAACCATGTACACAGTTATTACTGATGCAGGGCTGACTTACGACACAGTCACCTTGTATTTTGTGTTCTTGCTTGTCAATGCCATGGGATTTCCCTGCACTTCTTTTCATATTGTGGGTTGCACAACATGTATCCATAAGCATATGCCCAACTCTCACACATGCATAGCCACGTGTAGAAACATTAAGGGTAGCCCAAAATATTTTTGTTGCACTGTAATGGGAAGAGATGCCTCCCAGACATGTGATGGTGTAAAAGTACATTGCTTAAGCAATGTAATTTAACAAATATATCATGCCTGTAGGAGAAGCGGAAAACAGAAGAGGCTCTGAATGACCTCAAGCGCCAATACGAGGCTGAAGTGGATGAGCTCCAAGTGACGATAAAAAAACTTAAAATGGTAAGTTGTGCTGACTTTTGCGGTGGTCTGGCGTTTGCGACAAATTTATTGGGAGTCAATCCTCTGATACATTTGCTGCTATCTTTGAAGTAATTAAGGGTATATCACACTTCAGAGGATGAGCCTGGAACTTCATCTTGCTGGAAGGTTGTTTGTAAGATTGAAGTCTATGAGTTGAAGGAGAAGAAGTGCTGCAAAGCCATTCTTTCTGAGAAAGGAAGGAAGCAGTTGCTTTCAGAGTGCTTTCATAAACGATGATGTCAGGTCTCAGTAAGGGTTTCACTTCACTCAAGGCTGCATCTGTGGCACTGTGTGTGTAGAACTGTTTGAGAATTACTGTTTTATATTATCCAAATAAATACATAAAATTATTAATGTTCACAGTTACAAAAGCAGACTTTAAATAGCCACCCACCTATTGCTTGTGATGGGTGTGAATCCTCTTTAGCTAATCAGATGGGGAGACGTTCCTTTCATAAATGGAAAAGCAGTCAGTTCCTTGCCTTTGTAGGTTATTGGCACACCACTGTAGCTCAGAGGCAGAGTATCAGTTTCGCATGCAGAAGATTCCAGGTTCATTCCCCAGTATCTCCAGGTAGTTCTGGGAATGTCCCCTGTCCTGAAACTTTGGGGAACAGCTGCCAGTCTGTGTAGACACTAAAGAGGTAGGTAGGCCAGTGGTTTGACTCAGTAGAAGGCAGCTTCCCATGTTCCACAGTTGGGCCAAAGTTGCTAAGAGCAGGCAAGGAACTGTTTTTGTGATAGTCGTTTTTGTCTTATTTTCAAGGCTGTACTGAAATGCTTTGTAGTTTGTCTGTTTTTGTTTTTTTAAAACTCCCCACTGTACTGCTTGATCTCTTTCTACTGCTCTTCATGCATTCTAATGTGTCCATCAAAGTTATTTTGTTACATCAATCACACTGTCTTTACTGTTTCAGCTTGAAGAGCAATCTAAAAACATTCATCACAAAGAAGATTTGGTGGCATTAAAGAACAGGATACATGATCTGACCTTGGTATGAGCTGCATTATAATTTTCCTACTCGGGGTGATCATTGTGCCTGTCGCGCTTCGATATGATCGGTATCTTTACCACCCATCATATTTAAGTAGCTTGTTGGGCGATGGCATTTTCTTGAAAATTGTTGAGGTTGTAAAGGAGGATGACTGGCATTTCAGAGGGAGAAGAAATTATACTGTTTAAGCTGCGTATATCATGCTTGGGTGTCATTTTCACACATTAGCAATGGAGAATGTATAGGTATTACAGGACACTGGCTTTTCAAAGTAAGAATAACTTTCTCATTTCCTTCTCACAGAAAATAGTTTTGGCCAGTTCTCTTCTGTGGACCCAGTTTCTTAACAAATGTTGCCTCAAGCTCTTTAAGTGAGGTTGGGTTAATATTAACTGATCTGGGGCCGGCTAGAATAACTTCTGTGTAGTCACCTCTTCATATTGGAAACCTAATTGGAAAGTACATGTTGTGTTTACTTTTCATTTCATGAAATTTCCATGCTGCCATCACCATTAGCAGACATGGGAACTTACAGCTGTGACTGAAGACATTTTCATGTCTTAGTGGCATTATATGGTATTGTCTTCTCTACAGATGTTTGTGGAGGAGTCTCCATGTAGGACTGTAACATGTAGACTGGCCTTGAGGCATTTATGCACTTTAAATGGGCTATGAGTTTGCACATCAAGCATTTTCATATTATCATTTCGTAGTTAGTAGCAGTGAATATTTTATTCTTAGGTATTTTTGAACATGCATTACATATGTAACAAGTGATTTTTAATCAGTAATATTGTTTTTCCCTGGTTTATTTTCAGGAAAACCAGAAACTTAAGAAAGATCTTATGGAAGCACAGACAAATATCGCTTTCCTTCAGAGCGAGTTAGATACTTTGAAAAGCGATCTTGCAGATCAGAGCTTGAGTTCAGAAAGGTAAGAGTCTTCAGTAGTCATATTTGTAGAAAATTGGTTATTTAGTTCCCTGTGTATACTCTGGTCAGTAAAGAAAACTAATTGTGCAAATTTTTGTTTTGTAGAGAACTAGAAATGATCAGAGAATACACGGAAGACAGAGATAGTCTGGAGAGGCAGATAGACATTCTACAGTAAGCTGCCAATAAATCACTTTTTATTTATGGACTTTTATACTTAAAGCTTGGGCACCTATAATAAAATGAGAGAAAAGCAGATGTACTTGGCTGTAATGAAAAGTTTTGCTGGTTCCCTAACCTGCATTTCTGCCCCCCCCATTTGATATATTAAATATTATGGCCAGACAGGTAAGCCTTTAGACTGCATTCCTTGAAGGCTGTTTGTTCACATATCAAGAAAGCATTGAATCAGTGAGTTATTTAGTGGGTTTTTTTACATTTATGGGGTCTTTCAGACCTGAGTTTCTTAATTATGCCTTTTTGCTTTCAACTCGAAATCAGCTTTGGCTTTGAATTTAGCGAATTGCTGACAGGTTAATGCCTTTATATCAGCTGCTGCATCACCTGTCAAAGGAACTTGCAAAGTTAAAAAGAACAAGCTAGACCCAGAAAAATAACAGAACAGTCAAACCCCCGCCCCTATTGTAGGACCTTTCAGGGAGCATCACGTGATAGATGAGAATCTCCTCCCCTACTTTGGGGTTACTGTAAGAGTCTAAATGGCATTAATGTGATTCCTTATGCTGTCTTTGATGCAATGATTTATACTGATCCATTGTGCCACTATCACAAAAGTCAAGGTCACCTTATTAAACACCCTTCTATCTGTTGGCTTTCAAAATGCCAGATGATTGAAACTCTACAATCTAATTCTGATACCTTCTGAATATGAATAATTTTGTTTGTCCTGGCTTGTTTTTTAGGTCAGCCAACAGGAAACTTCACGACAGCAATGATGGCTTAAGAAGCGCATTAGAGAATAGCTGGAGCATGTACAACAGATCGCTGGTAGGCAGCAACCTTGCATAAGCAATATGTTTAAATAATTGTGCAGTAATATAAATATTTGCTCTTGGTTATACCAATATAAGCCGTAAGATAGTGATGGAAATAATGTAGTCATTCTGGTTTGATGCCAAAGTAACTCACAGCGTGATCTTGTGGACTTTTACTCAAAAGCAAGCCCCGTCAAGTTAAATGAAGCTTACTCCCTGGTAAATTAGGAATTATAGTTGCCACCAGAGAGTATATGTTGTTCTCTTCTGCAAAGCTAATGTACTGGAACTTTTCTCTATATAGGTTAAATTATGTTTTAGTCACATAAGGAAAAACAGGTGGGCAACAAACAAACAAAAAACCCTCACATGGAAATCCTTCATTTACACTATTTTGCCCCTGATTGGACCACAGAAAAGGGGCTGAATGCTGTTATGCTAGTGTAGCTCTTGCTTTGCGTTTTATCTAGTGCTGTCTGTGTCAAAGTCGACCAGACTTCTGCTTGCAAAGCAGGACGTTACCTTCTCCTCACCCCACAGCCCTCTGTGCAGCCTCAAAATCAGTTTCGGGGTGGGGGAGATTGTTGCCCTACCTGCCCAATGTTGAATACTACCCTTTGGCTTTGAACATTCCAAAATAACAAAAAAAAAATGTCCAGAATCAAGACTACCTAAAGAGTACAGTTAGCTAAAGAGTACAGTGGTACCTTGGTTTGTGAACTTAATCCGTTCCAGAAGTCTGTTCTTAAACCAAAGCCTTCTTAAACCAAGGCGTGCTTTCCCACAGCAGCGGGGGACTCAATTTACAAATGGAACACACTCAACAGGAAGCAAAACATGTTCTTATTCCAAGGCAAAGTTTACAAACCAAAACACCTACTTCCGGGTTTGCTGCGTTAATCCAAGTTGTTCATAAACTAAGCTGTTCTTAAACCAACGTACCACTGTATGTTACAAGCCAGGTGTTCTGAAAAGCTTTCTTTACCTATGTTTTCCAGCGTCTGACAAACACTTCTCCAGGGAATACTCTCGCCAGAAGCAGTCCCAAATGCAGCGGCGGCCAGTCTCCCCAAAATCCACGATATGACAGGTAGAACTGATACAGGTGTTACTTTATTTTTTCCAGATCTTAGCAATTTAAAAGAGACCTTTCAGGCAGTGATCCTTTAAACACAAGCACTTTCTGAAAATACTTTTCGCTGAAATTGATGAGACTTGGTTCTAAGCTACTGCGTTTCGAGGCCTGCAATGCCAGCAAAGCATCACAGTTGGAAAAAAGTTAGAGCTAAGCGTCTTCCCTCTGTATCAAGTCTGTGTTTGTGTGTGATGGGGGAAGCCACTATTCATTGGAACTTGCCCTATTTAAATCTAGGAGGACTGGGAATGCTTAATGCCTTTCTGAGACATGTAAAGAGCACAGACTCACATCCCTAATCTTCTGTTTTAAGTGATTAAAGTTGCTGGTAGATCCAGACGCATTGATTGGCTGCCTTACCCCATGCTGCTCTCTAGTGGAGTTAATGATCAGCGAGCAGCAAGGGACATGCTGCTGCCAGCTGACTATTAGGAACAACCCGTTTGGATTCCATCCAGAGTAAAGTTAGCACTTCTCATACACTAACTGTTCTCGGCATTTCTACCCGGATGAATAATTTTGCAAACTTGGGGTTGGCACTGCAAGCGTTTCTAGAATATCAAGGACAGTAAATGTTCATTGAACTTCAGAGCAAGGTCCTTGCAACCTTCTTTTCTTGAACGTGCATTGTTCCCTGTTCAGTGAAGAACTGGAATAACTCTTTCATATCTGCAGAAAGCCAAAACATTAATCAGTCCTCCAGTGGTTTACCATTATGCTTTCTTTAATGTTTCCTTAGCAAAGTGTATCTCAGGGAATTTGGAAACGATCTTCCAACTCTACAATTCTGTGATTCAAAATTAGGAGACGATTAACCATGTGCCTTAGATTTGAACTAAGAGGTGATGAGGAAAGGAAAATGAGAGGGTGGTGGAAGGAGAGACTCCAAGGTAGCAGACTGAGAACTTGAAACAGTGGCCCAGCTTCAGTGATCGTGTGTGTGTGTGTGTGTGTGTGTGTGTCTGAGTACGATTAGTGGGGGAAATGGAAGCAGGACTCGCAGTTGGGCTGTTCTGGAAAGGCAGAAAAATGGCATGCAGTGTGTGTCTTGTGGCTCTTGCGCACACCAGTATTATTTGGCTGTAGATAAGGAACTTTGTCAGCCAATGTTATGGAATGTTGTTTCTCCATTCAGGTCATACCATTCGTCCTATATGGATGAAGACTACGATTCTCTGGCCCTTTGTGACCCTATGCAGAGGACAAACTGTGAGGTTGACAGCCTGCCCGAAAGCTGCTTTGACAGTGGCTTGTCTACCTTGAGAGATTCAAATGATTATGATTCAGAAGTGGACTCTAAACACCAAAGGATTTCTCAGAGGCCACAGGGTCTGCGTGAAAGCTTTACGGGTGACGCTTCTGATACAGATGTAAGCTCCAGACTTAGCTGCATTTTAAAAAGAGACAAAATTACTACTTGCTATCTATTGAGAGAACCCAACAGTTTCATATAAGTAAGAAATAAAGTACTGGGTCTGAGTTATTACTGTGTATGCACAGACCAAAAGGGGGAGGAATCAATATGTATAAGGTGGCTGTGAGGTTTATTTTGTGGAATGTTTGCTCACACATGTCTGATTTGTGAGCACACAGAATGGTTTTTGTAGAGACCTGATTAAAATAAAATGAAATTCATGAATGAAATGTATGCTAATCCACAAAGGACAGCATGTTTGATATGGCAGTGATCTACTTAAGGCCCGCATATCGGAGAGAATGATAACCATCTATGGTCATTCGCAAGCCTCCAAAAATCAAGATTGTGGAAGCCACTTCTTAGGTATTATGCAAGCCTTCTTCATATGTTTGAAGGATACACCATATGGAAAGGGAAGGGGGATGTACTGTACCCCATCCCATAGATCATGTAGCTCCTTGGCTCTGTGTCTCTTGCCCTCCCCTCATCTCCATTCATTGAGTATGGTTGTTTGACCAGTACTTTTCAGTACTGGCCCAGACTTGGTGGAACGCTCCGACACAAGAGACTAGGGCCCTGCGGGACTTGACATCTTTCCGCAGGGCCTGCAAGACAGAGCTGTTCCGCCTGGCCTTTGGTTCGGAATCAGTCTGACCCTTATGTTTCCCTCCCCTTATGGGTTTCTATTAAAATGAGGCTGCATTTTAAATTGTATTTTAACAAGTATTTTAACAAACTGGTTTTTGTTTGTTTGTTTTCCCCCTATTTTGTTTTATTGTAATTTTATTGGTGTTAGCTGCCCTGAGCCCGGCTCTGGCCAGGAAGGATGGGGTATAAATAAAAAATTATTTTATTATTATTATTATTATTATTATTATTATTATTATAATATATTGAGCAGAAAAGGCCATGCATAAGTTGCAAGCCCTGGACATCAGAGGGCAGGGAGAAAATAGCCTTCCCTGCTCTGCTAATATTTTACCTCTGTGTCAGTGTTTCTCAGTCTTTTTTTAACCCTTGCCCCCTTTTAGCCAACAAAAATTCCATGACCCCTTAGAACCTGGCTCCCCTAATTGTTTCATTTGGATTTTCAAAATGATTGAAACAGTGTGACTTTTAATTATTGCTACTTCCATTGTACATATTTTGGGGGAAACCCTCTCTCACACACCACCCCCTGCCTGAAATTTTGCTATGCTTCCCCTGGTGCGGCTTGCTCCACTGGTTTCAAAATGCTGCAATGTTTATATCCTGTCTTTGTTGAAAATGCAGTGTGACGTTATTTCCAAAAAAGAGACACTGCTGTATGCTTTGATCCACTTCTGTCCTTCCTAAGGCTAATTTGAGGTCATTGTGGAAGCTGGTAACACTTGCTGGTCTCTGCAGGTCCCAGATATCCGAGATGAAGAGGTATATAGTCCTGATGACGTCGGCACCGTCTTGGACTGGAAGCCCACCCACCCAGTCAGTCGAAGCAGCTCTGGAGCTTCAATAAGGAAATGTCTCCCTGTCATGTCTCCACAGGTATGTCTCCACAGGTTTCACCTGAAAGCCGTATTGACTGGGATCCAACAGATACTTTCCACCTGGGGTGGAGAAATTTTTAGCCTGAGGACCCCCCTTTCAGCTTTAGACATATCTAAGGGCTTGATCAGTGTAATATTTGACTAGTATTCCTTTAAATGGCAGGTTTCCTTCCTGTCACGCTGCTACCTCACGAAATTTAAAAACTCATGCTCGGTTTTTAAAGACATTTGCCAGGTGACATGAAGGGCAGCTGTTTAAGAAAGACAAGTCCGACACTCCATTGGATGGTTTGGAATAGACATGTGCTTCTGTCTATTGAGGATGCAAGCTGCCGTAGGAATGAGATTGTTGACTGTAGACGAGAGGCGGTTTGTACACTTCATGAATGTCAATCTTACGTGTGTTTGTTTGCCCTTAGTCGGACTCTCCAGACTGCAGCTCCAGATACCCAAGCTCAGAGAAAGCTTACAAGATAGTTCTTGCTGGGGATGCAGCTGTTGGAAAATCTAGCTTCCTTATGAGGCTTTGCAAAAACGAATTTCGAGGGAACACCAGCGCAACTCTAGGTATGTTCGTCGGACTTTCCCCTTCTGGGGTGTCAGCAGCCTGGTCACAACAGATTGGAGTGATATTGTATCACTTTTGAAGGAGGCTTGAGCCAAAACCCTAGGTTTAAAATATAAGCAGCAGTGGGTGTGTTCTGCTCCCAATGGACACAGTAGATATGTGTGTAATATGTAGCAGGCAGCTCCCTATCTTAGAATGGCAACCTCCATTCTAATCACTGGCAGGGGGTTCGACTCAGTAAATAATTTCCCTTCCTGACATGCTGCCTTTATAGTGAAAATTGGGCTCCCTGTCCCTGCAGTTAGTTAAGAAAAAACAAGGTACAACGTAACTGCCTGCTACATATGTTAGGGAATAAGAATCAGGCTCTCCTTCACCAGTTAACGAAGAACAATGTACACCAGGCATAGGCAAACTCGGCCCTCCAGATGTTTTGGGACTACAACTCCCATCATCCCTGACCACTGGTCCTGTTAGCTAGGGATGATGGGAGTTGTAGTCCCAAAACATCTGGAGGGCCGAGTTTGCCTATTTCTGGTGTACACAGCTGCCTGCTATGTATATCTGAAGAATTGTGCATGCACACGAAACCTTATACCAGAACAAACTTAGCTGGTCTGTAAGGTGCTACTGGACAATTTTTTAATCTTTATTTCACCTGCTATACAGTGAGGGTGTCTAATTTGACCTGGCTGCCATTATTGTGAAAGGAAGAGGCACAGTTTGGACACTTGGTCCTATAGCAGAGATAGAGGAGGAAAATGGCAGCCATCCAGGAGGCAACAAAAACTTGAAGAAACCATGGTTAGAATGGGGATGGGGAATGAAGCCTCCCAGGAACTTGCCATTAGCCAAGTATTGTGAGACTTCTGCATGAATAAAGGCTTCCACACTCTCAGCCCTGTGGGCTAATTGTATTGTGAAGGCAAAAGGCACCATTTATATACAGTGGTACCTCGGCTAACAGACGCTTCAGGTTACAGACACTTGGTTAGAGACTCCGCTAACCCAGAATTAGTACCTCGGGTTAAGAACTTTGCTTCAGGATGAGAACAGAAATCGGGCGGTGGCGGTGTGGCAGCAGGAGTCCCCATTAGCTAAAGTGGTACCTCAGGTTAAAAACAGTTTCAGGTTAAGAACAGACCTCCAGAACGAATTAAGTTCTTAACCAGAGGTACCACTGTACTCCAGTCCTTCTTTAACTGCTGCAAGTGGTGTGCATTTTTACTCTGTTATCTGTATTCTGTGCATGTGGATTTTGTAAAGATGATAAAATGTGCAATGATCAAATGCACTTACGGTCTGTTAATGGAGAATCTCATTTGAGTCACTGTTGGAAGACAGTGTCAACCTGTCAACCAGTAAGTGTCTGGGCGGGGCACGTAACATTGACTTTGCTAAAACCACCTTACTATTATTCACCTTACTATTATTCATTCATCAGTGATGCAGTTTTTAATCTATGCTAGGCATGTCCAACTGGTCGATCGCAGCCTACTGGTCGATCGTGGGGTGCCCCTGGTCAATCTTTGGAGCAAAACAAACAAACAAACAAACAAATAATAGGTAGATCACTGCAGTCTTTTTATACTGTGAGTAGATCGCAGTCTCTTGGGAGTTGGACATGCCTGATCTATGCAATCTAAAAATGCCAGTGGCTTTTTGTATGTTTCTTTCTCTTAAAAGTTCTATTAAATATAAGTACCATCAATATATGGAAATGGTGTCATACCTGTGCCAAGTCCAGCAATATTTGGAGGTTGGGGAAAGCTGCACTAAGTTATTCCTCTGCCTTTGTTTACTTCTACTCTGTTAAAGGATATAATAGATTCTGCATTTTTTTTAAGGTGTTGACTTTCAAATGAAGAGGCTCATTGTTGATGGGGAACCTACAGTGCTGCAGCTGTGGGACACGGCAGGACAAGAGAGGTTAGTATGACCTGGGCTTGTACCTTGGGGTTAGATCTCATACCAAATTTCAAAGGGAGAAGCAATAATTAAGCTCAAATCTGTGAAAATGCAAGCCTCAGTCTTGACCTGTACTTGCATAAAAGTGGATTGAGTTTGCTGCTGTGCAGTGAATCTGGTTGAAGATATCCATGCGATATGAAAAATGCATTAGTAGGTAAGCTGTAATGAATTGGGATTGTTATTAATTTAGCAGTATGGTCAGGGAGATTGCAACTTTTCTATAAACATTTTCCCACTTGTGTATTACTATGAGGATCTGGGGGTGGGAAACCAATAAGATCAGTATAATTCATTATATTTTTTGCAAATTTCCTTTTTCCTTTTTTTGCCACTCCTACCATATTTCTCGAAGGTTATGTACAGTAAGGCTTCCTAGTTCATCATAGTACATTTATATTGAAATCCTTCAGCCTTGGATGCTGAATGCCTTGAGGCAACATACCGTGGTTTTCATCAATTTTCCTTTTCCATTATATTAAAACTATTTTGTACAACGCAGGATATTCATTCAATGCAATACATTTATACATAAAACATGAGTGGTGGCATGTTTCAGGGAGGGAAAGAGACCCCCAAATTAATCACACATACGACTCTGTGGATGTGTATTAATAACTAAGTCATCTTTAGACAGGATGGCATCTCTGCACCAACTCAGAGAAGCTTTCAGTATAGCCTTAACTATAGAACAATATAAATGGGCACATATATTTCCCATTCAGGTTTTTCATCTGTACGATTTAAGGATAATTCTGGCACGTTAGCCTTTGAAGTCCAGTCTGGTCCTGGGCTCCCCATCAACAATGTTTGAATCGTGCCATTACTTTCAATGCCTAATGACTGCAGCTTATACAATCTGCATTTTTTAAAAAAATGAGGTGCCACCTTCCTTAAGTTCAAAAGTTAGCACAAAAGTTTGTACATCTTGCACTAGGTCAGTAATGGTGATGCTAATAGTATCCAAACTGAATTCTTGCTACCCATCAGCATTCAGGGGTCCAGACACTGGGATGCTTTGCTTTCTGTTTCCTTGGAGGCAGGTTCTTATCTTAGAAGACTGCCTGCACGACAAATGGATTCAGGTCTCTGGGTCTGGTCTACTGAGTTCATTGAACTTGTGTACAGATCAGACTGGAAAAAATAACAACAGAAGAGTTGTTATTAGTGTGGTAAAACCTGGTGTGGTTTTAAATGTAACTTTCTCTTAAAAGGTTCCGAAGTATTGCGAAATCGTACTTCAGAAGAGCAGATGGGGTACTTCTTCTATATGACGTTACCTGTGAGAAGAGTTTCCTGAATGTACGAGAATGGGTGGATATGATTGCGGTAAGGATTTTGGCCGTGTGAAACCTATGGAGTATGCTTCCAACTCAGTGTACATAAGATTCCCACTTAAATCCAGTGAGCTTATTCTGGAGTGCTGTATTTATTTGTGAGACTGGCCAAATTCAAAGGAGGTCACTGTAACAGCCAATAAGCTGATTGGCAATTTCAGGGAGCCCCTTTGAAGTCTGGAAGAAGTAGCTATGATTCCAACTACTTTCTCCAGATGCAACATTTTCTCCTCCGCAGATGTCTGCAGAGGGGGGAAAAGCTCCATTGTAGAGCAAGTGATTGGGATTCAAACTGCTTCTCCCAAATGGAGAAAGCAAACATGCTCAACTGACCCCAGTGGGGATCCCTGTCAGTGCCATCAGTTCCTTCACAGCTGTGGCTACACCTGCTCCCACCTCAAATCACACCTGACATCAGAAGTGGAATAAGTGGGCATGGTTCCTCACCACTGGTTTAGGTTGTAAGAGGGATTTGGTACACAGATAACTGCAAGCATTGCTCTGAGCCATTGTGAGTCACAGGAAATGTCTTTTGCTTCCGTGGATAAACAGCCAATTCATGTATTGACTTGACCAATGCAGGGCAAACATTTGCTTTCATTAATAAAGGCTAAATAAAACATTGACCTGGAGGGTTCAAGGTGGGATGTTCTTTTCTGTTTTTTTAAAATGGAAACTCCCTTTGTTTTTAAATGTTATAATCAGATAATTCTGTTTCAGTGTGGTTACCGTATTCAGTATAGCTTGATAAATGTGCCTGTATAATCTAACTGACGTCCATTGAAATTTGACCTTGTACTTTTTGACAGCAGAAGTTTAAATGTTTAATTGGAGCTTAGTGTCTCAAGCTCCAGCAACCCCTAAAACCGAAAACAAACTGTGTTCTTGCAGGATGCAACTCATGAAAACATTCCAATCATGATGGTAGGAAACAAAGCCGATCTTCGCCAGGTGCTTGCTGAGCAAGGACAGAAATGTGTGCCGATAAACTATGGAGAGAAGCTGGCCATGGTAAGAACCACAGAACTCATCGCTCACAATCAAGAAAGGAAGTGGAGGATTGGATGAATGTATTAAAATGATAGTGTCAGATCTTGGATTTATGAGAGTCAAGTCATAAAGAACTGAGATTGTAATTCACTTAAAAACATTGGTATTGGATGACACTTAATAAGTGCTTAGTTTGAAACTTGCTGAAAATTTATGGTTTGTCGCTGGCTGATGTTTTGGCAACCTTTATTCAGATAGGTACCTCAAAGCACGCAGAAACAACGGTGGCTAGTGAACTGTACCTCCTGTAGGTTAGCTTCTTCCCCGGTGTTCTCATATCTTTTAATTAATTTATTGGAAGGAAAACTTCCATGCATATGTGCATAAGCATCTTCTGCTTTTGTTTTTCCACCTAGACCTACAGTGCATTGTTCTGTGAAACAAGTGCTAAAGATGGCTCTAATATTGTGGAGGCAGTACTTCATCTTGCTCGGTAGGTTGAAAGATATGAATTACTTTTTCTTAACCCCATTTACACTGTTTCTCTTTTTTGGCGAGGGGAGTCAGATCTGCTAAATGGCATTTCACGTCTTAAAAACATAAAAGTCTGCACAGATGTTCTTTCTGTGTAAAATGAACATGAACCTTGCATTACATGCGATGGCGTCTCCCAGAGAGCTGCTTCCCAGGAGGACGTCAAGTGCGAAATACCTGTGTGCTCTTGTTTCATGTGCTGAGTGATACACTGTTTTCTCATGCATTCCTGTGTGGAATTGCTTTCTGTGCAGGAACTTTGTAACTTAGGAAGCAGCCTCAAAGGGCTTTTGAAACCTTAAGCAAAGGAACACACTGTACCCTAAGCCTCTTAATAATTGTCTTCCAAATGGTAACAAATGCTGTTTGTTTCAGTACCCAAACATAAATTATTTGTCCCTATGCTGCTTGAAATATATGGCCTTTCATATGAAAAAATTAGGGGATTTCTGGAATCATTTTTCTACATTTTATGGCAAGCTGTTTTGTTTTCAAAAGCCCTTCTTGAATAAATAAAAATAAGTATGGGATTCCTGGAAAGAGGCAAAGCTGCTTGTTAATTCGGAGCACAGCGAAAAACCCTTATCTTCCCATGGCAACAGGTGCAGCAGAGGTGTAACAATCCACTTATCTGGAAGTATCAATTCAAAGTTAATTGTTGCCTTGTGGTATGATTCATTTCCAGGAATTTTCAGGCGCTACCCTTTAAATAGCGCAGTGCATTAGAGATTTCCAGGGAGCAAGTACAGAGCAATTATATAACCCAAACAGTTGATGGAAAACAGACCTCTTAGTTCTAATTTTCAGACTACTAAATGAATTATTCGAGACCTGAAATGTTCTCCTCTTTATGACAAAATGGAGATTTTAACCATTTTGTTCATCCTAGAGTGGGAAACCTGTTTTCTGGGGGTTATATTTGAGAGAAGTTGCGGACCATGAACAAACATACTCCAAAACTCTAGAGGTGCTTTAGTGGTGATCTTTCCTGACTGCTTCCAGACTGAAGAAAATCATTTGCTTGCTCCAATAATGTTTCCAGGGGAAGCCGAGGAGGACTCCTCTAGGTAATGTTGGACCAACTCCCATCGGCTCCCGTCAGCATGGCCAATGTCAGCCATGATTAGAATTGGAATACCAGCAAGATCTGTGAGGCACAATATTGGTTACCTCTGCCACAGGCTCTTGAGCATGTAGATTATAACACTGCATTTTAATTTCTCTACTTTTACATGGTGAAGGACCATAGATCTGTGGCAAGGGCCATTGTGCATGTAATGTCCCAGATTCAATCTTTTGAGTTCTCTTGCTGAAAGTATCTCAGGTAGCAGGTATTGAGAGAGGCTCATTTCTCTCTGAGACCGTGAGAGCTGAACAGGGAATGAATGGGGCATTTGTGGTTCCTCCAGATGTTGCTGGACATGGCCAGTGGTCAGGGGTAAAGGGTTTCCCTATCCCTGGAGCAAACATTGCCAGGCTAGATGGATAAATAGTCTGACCTGGTGTAAGCCTGCTTCCTATATTACCAAGAGCAAGTAGACCCAATATAGCAAGCCATTCACAGGACTGCAGAAAGTAAAGGTAACCCAACTACATGTTAGAGCAGTACCTTGTATTAGGCCAACCAGAATGTCACAAAATAGTGTGCAAGTGTTGGAGAACTTTTTATGAGGCTAGATAGTAAACAACAAGGGGAGAGAGAGGAAGAGAAAATCCTGGCTGATAGTGAATCCATGGCATGTGAAAGGCAGCTAGCAGACTCAAACTTGGCTCAGTTGAATATGCAGGTTTTGGGTTGTAGTCAGGTCTGCTAGTAATCATACCAAACTATTATTTTTCAGAGAAGTGCGAAAAAGGAGTGACAAAGAGGAGGACAAGTCTGTGACAAACCTGACTGGGACATCATTAAAGAAGCCGTCTCTCACCAAAAACTGCTGTGGTGTTTAGAGACAATCCAGCCCTCTTTTTGCTCCAAAGAAACCGATTCCTGTGGCTGGGGCAGAAAAGGAGTAATGAAGGATTTAGGCATAGAGTGTTCTGTAGAGAAGAACCTGAGAACCATTACTCTTGAGTTGCCACATCCATTCAGCAGCTTCAGGTGCTTTGGAACCCTGTTGAGCAAAACCAGGCCAGGGAGTCTGGGACCTTCAGTCCAGAAGCAGAGCCAGACATTCCTGAGACATCGTTTCCTGTGTGCAAGAACCAGCTGCAAACCGCCTGTGCCTTTTAAAGACAACCTGCCCAAGAAATGTTGAAGCAAGGCGTCCTCCTTACTCGAAATATACATGTAAATAGTAAGCCCATTCTCTGACCTCCTGGGAGACATTTGCTGCTGTTCGTGCAATTTCATCCCCGACCTGAAACTTGCCCCATGTCTATTTTGAGTGGAGTTCTGCAGTTCTTAACTTCCCCCTGCATTCTGTGCTGCATCGGGTTCCCAAGGAAACATGGCGGCAGTCAACCTCTAGGCAAATGAACCTGCATTGGAAAGGAAACCGTGGCTGTGTCAAAAGCTAAACTAATCATGCATCCCTGACGTCATGTAGGAACTTTGGGGAAGAATTAACCATTCAAGCTTGCTTCTCCTTTTAGAAGCCATACATGTCAGTTGACCAGGTTAAATGAAATGTGTCTTAGCTGTCACTGTGGTGATAAACCCGTGTCTGGGCTCTACAGCTTTGGAGTGCTCCCAGTTGCAGGGGATGTGTGTGTAAAATGTAAATTAAGCAGGCTAAGCTAAAACCTCTTTTCCCCTCAGGCATCTTGTTTTCTGGGTGGAGAAAATCCAACTAAGTTCTACTCAGAGTGGAGCCACTGAAATTCATGGGTGGAAGTTAGTCATGCCTGTCAGTATCAATGACTACTGTGAGGACTTACAATGGATATAGTCCATTTTTTGTTATTGAAGAGAGTCAATTTGTGTGCATCCCACATCTCAAGAGCCCAAGCACAGGCTCATGACCCTGGTGAGAACTGTCTGTCATGTGCCCTTTGTTGAAAGACCTGCTCCCCACATGCCAGTATTCTCATAATGCAGTGGAGTTAAATATGGGTGTTTTCTTCCCACCTTCAAAATAATGAGCTCTAATGCTAACTGGTTTAGATCAGCAGCTTTCACAGGCTGCACCCTAAGTAGTCTGTACTTAGCTTGGGCAAACAGCTGATCCAAGCCTCTGCATCTCTTCTGGAAATGGTTAACTTTGCAGTGGGCCTGAGTTCAAACAATCTAAAGGGAAAGAAAGGGAAAGGCCCCCAACAGATAAAACAATGTAGAACAAAAGCTCTTACATACAAAATTAGAAGGTTGATTCTGACCTCTGTTACTGATAACTACTACCTGGAGAGAGGGCTTTTTTCTGACCTGTGGAATGGGAAGTTGGTGGAGATTTGTACATGCAAATGTTTGTTGACTGAGCTAAGAAACTTGGGCTCTTTTATATACATGTTAAATATTTTACTGCATTTATAGGTTCATATCTTTTTCCTTATAACTAATTTATAAAAACTAGTCTATTTTTATAGATGTATAGATTTTATTTTGCTTTCCCATGCTTTATCATAGTGAGGAAAGTGTTTGCAATTGAAGCATTTGTTAGCTGTTCATGTCTGTGAAACTTACAGCAACCTAGAAAACTCGTCTAAATTCTGCAAGTCTCAATAGAACTGCCTGGGTTGTGAGGGGTGAGTGGGTGCATTGCTTTACTTGTAGCTCAGGAGTAGCTAATCTGTGGCCCTTGGGATGCTGTTGGACTTCTGTTCCCTTCAGCCACAGCCAGCACAGTCAGTAGCCAAAGATCGCAACCTTTGGAGGGCTACAGGTGCTCCATCTTGGTGTAAGCAATGTATCCAAGGAAAAACTGCAAACAGAGAATTGGGGACACTTAAATACCACCAAAACTCTTATATTTCAAAGCGGACGTATCAGTGGAAATGTTTAAAATTGGGGTGAAATGAAAATACAAATGTTTGTAATTCAGCCAACTTGGATGCAAATCGGTGCTGAGTAGGGCACCATAAGTGATTTGCATGTTCTCCTTTTATACATACATTTATACTCAAATCCTAGCAATCTAGCCCAGAATTTCCAGTTTTCGCAGGTTGATTTATTTTAAAGATTTCTAGGTGTTATTTTAAAGCACCAGTAGCAGTAATCGTGAAGCATTCACAGTTATGGGTTACAAACCTGGTATGCAAACAAAAATTGAAGTGTTAAAATAAGTATAAACTACTCAGCATCAGGGCTTATACAAGTCTTTGAAATGCCTTTGCAGTAGCAGGGGCCGCCAAACCGAAGTACTGGTTTTGTTACTTCGACAACAGCCAGCAGTTTAAACCAGCATGATTGCACTTTTGGAACTTTAGTTTCTATTTCTGAAGTTGCCAACTTCCTAGCAAATCATCCTTTATAGATTGGAGCGGTGCAAATACGAATCCTGCCACGTGCCAAGAAGTCCCTGTGTATTTCAATGGAAAGAGCGGTTCTATTCATGCCATGAAATGTAGTACAGGATTGGGGAACCTGTGTCCCTCCAGATGTTGCTGGACTCTTTCCATCCCTGACTGTTGCCCTTGCTGGCTGGGGCCGATGGGAGTTGGAGTCCAATAACACCGGAGGACCGCGGGTTCCCCATCCCTGCTGGAGTGCAAGGAGATCTTTTCCTTTCTCCTCCACTCACAGCAACTCATTGCACAGTGTGGGACACTGGACTGGGACATGCCAGTCCTGAATATGTTTGTGCCCATATGTTTGGTTAGCAGAACTCAGCCACTTTGTACAACTAATTTTCTTGTTGATTTGTTGAGTACTTGTAGTCTTAACTGCAAAAGTAGTCTTTATTTATTTAGTGACCATGTTACCATATACATGTATATTTATTTTCGATGGAAAATCTTTATATGATTTTGTTTCTCATAAATTATGTACATAAGATTTATTTTTATGCATTTAGCACTTAAATACCATTGTCTGTCACTTACTGTCTTTAGCTTCTGAAATGTTAACACATACCATGCTGTTTTTAAAGCCAATGATCTTTGTGTTTTGGCCTCCTTAGATAATTGATCTGCTAGCAAAGTGCTTTGGTAGCTGGCCTTTAAACACATGCCAATAGTTTTTATGAGCCAAAATATGCTGCACCAAAATGTCTTAGAATTAAAATGCTCTATAAAACATGAATGAGCACTCTCTTTATTGAAAATGTCATTTTTGAGGTCTTTCTAATACGGTTCTGTTAGGTAGTTGCAAACATTGCGATCCTATGTTTTTCCCACTCAGAAGTTAAGTACTCTTAAGCGTTCAGTGGGACTTGCTCCAGTCTAGGATTGCCATCTTAGCAAGCATGCCTAATTAAACCATGTGAAACTCTGTTCTGTAAGTCAGAGGTGAGCAGAATCTCAACTAGGATTTCCTGGTGGGCCTCTAGGTGATTTGAAGTATATTGGCATTGGTTTCTGGCTCCTAATTGTTTAAACATGATGACAACACATGACCTCCCCACCACAGAAGAAGAAGAAGAAGCAGCTGGAGGATATTAATCAGGAGTGGATTGACTGATTGATTGATTGATTGATTTGGTATAGGACTGTAAGTTCAGTCTACTGGTGCTCAGAACAAATTCCTGAGCTAAAAATTCTTTCATTCTAAGTGTATGTCTTTGCACTTATTCATTCATTCATTTAAATAATGAATTAGGATTCATTTCACTTTTACAGGACCGTATATTTCCCCCCCTCCCCCAACAAAGTTGTATCTCTGTGTATGGATATTCAGTGACTTCTGAGAGGGGTGGGCAAGAGAATTAGGAGGGTGTTTGTTTCTTTAAGTATAAGATGGCGGAGGGTTTACACATCTGAAGAAGCTTTGCCAGCACCTGGCAGGTGGGTTGGTTTCTCTCAGCAGTCTCGCTTGAGTGCAACAGCACCCCACCCCTCTGTGCCATAACATGAATATGCCACAGCCCTGCTTCCCCAACACTCAGCTGTTTCCTCACTGCTCAGCTGTGTAGATGGATTGGAGGTAGAGGAGTCCCTGTGAATCGGTTCACCCTCCACAAACCATATTTCCACATGTCCTGCTCATCCGTTCACAATGTGCACACAGATGGGTGGATGGAGAGGTGTGTGAGAGACAGAGGGCGATTATCTTTCCTCTATCTCATCCCATGTATAATGTACACACACACACATACAAACACACTATGGGTGGGTTGGGGTGTGCACCCGAATGTGTGAGTGAGGATTGGCATCTTGATCTACAGTGAATGCAGATTTAACTTTCCTGTGGTCCTGTCCCTCTCCCCTCTTGCATATATTCTTTAAAAAACTTATTAGATGGTAGATAGCAATCACTACAAAAGACCAGTTGGCAATCTTACCCGAGTGAACAAAGAAACTAAAGGCAGGGCTGTTAATTTTTCTCTCCTTGCAATTTTTTTTGTCCCTACTAAAATTATCAACACAGGCATAATTCTGAATCTAAATGGCTTCATGTTTCAGAGCAGAAAGAAGTTTTTTAAATGGCAGTTTTTCTTTCTTAAACTGCATTTTGTCCTCTCCAGTACTATGCAGTGCACTTTTTTGGGGGGGAGGGATAAATGGACAGGTTTTTTCCTTCCTCTTTCCTTACCCAAATACACACACTGCACAAAGAGGTGCCACTCCTTTCAAAATACAGATGCATCAATGATAAATTCAGATGTGAAATAAGTTGCAGCCCAACAACTTGCATGTTCACAAAAAGTCCAGGTACTGCAGTAGCTGTTTTTACCCTGATGCCCAACCTGCAATCCTTTGCTCTTTTTCATCTTTCAATGCCTAATCCAATATGGACTCTTCGTTCATTGCCAGGGCCTGCTCAAGACATTTTGGCAGCTGAGGCGAACCACAAAATGGCGCCCCCACCCAGCCAGCAAAGAAGGGAAAAGTGGGTGAAGACCTACACTGGGAACAAGGGTGCCAGATCAAATCAACGGTTTGTAGGAAAGCCTCTCCTCTTCCCAGAGGGGAGGTGTTGTGAGCGGGAATCGCTTCCCGTGTCTGCAGGGTGGTGGTGGTGGTGGCCGGGCCCCCTGCTCATTGGAGTCCTGGGCCTGCGTCACACACTCCAGCCAGCCAATCTGGCAGGCTCGTGGGCATGGTGTAGCCATTTAAAATGGCCGCAGACCCTACAAGCTCCTCCTTGTTCCCAGCTTCCTCAGATCACCTGCCCACCCGCCCTTTAGGCTTTGCTTCAGCACCTGACCTTGCTATGGACCTTGGTTGGTTGCCCAAGGGGCTTGGTAGGAATTTTTTCCACTTGGCAGATTGGCTCCAGCCACTTGGTTTTTTGCCTAAAGGGACGCCTGACCATTAGGTCCAGTCGTGACTGACTCTGGGGTTGCGGCGCTCATCTCGCTTTACTGGCCGAGGGAGCCGGCGTACAGCTTCCAGGTCATGTGGCCAGCATGACTAAGCCGCTTCTGGCGAACCAGAGCAGTGCACGGAAACGCCGTTTACTTTCCCGGCAAAGTGGTACCTATTTATCTACTTGCACTTTGACGTGCTTTCGAACTGCTAGGTTGGCAGGAGCTGGGACTGAGCAATGGGAGTTCACCCTGTTGTGGGGACTTGAACCACTGACCTTCTGATTGGCAAGTCCTAGGCTCTGTGGTTTAACCCACAGTGCCACCTGTGTCCCGGTTTTTTGCCTACCTCGTAACAAATCACCACAACTTTGTAAGGTTTGACAGTTAGACATTGGAAAATGCGTTGTGAGTTGGAGGTGAGGTGGCCATCACCTACCCCTCCCCTTGAAGGGTATTCCTTTAAAGGAATCCGGCGGTCGTGGTTCCTGTCCGATGCCCAGGTGGTGGCTAGGGCCATGGCAAGAGCCTCCGGTGACTCTAGGGGAAAGCTTCCAGTTGATTTGCACCAACAAGCTCCCTCTACAGGTTGTTAACCCTTGTGTGACCTCCTGCAGAGCGGGCAGGAGTCAAGTATAGTCTGTTTGGATCCAGTGGCTAAGCCAATACCACTCACTTTCTGTAACCAATAAAGCTGTGGCCATTAACCTAAAATACTTGTGTCCGTGTATCTTATTTCATCACAAAGTGCGGAGTGGGGCCTCGGCTCACAATCAAAGGTTGCTGACAGAACCACAGTGGGTGGGTGCAAAGTCCAGGAGACCCCAGAGGGCTGCCCCAACCCTCTCTAGGGATGGGAGGAAAACAGCAGTGCCTCCTATTTACCAAGAAGCCCCTGGCGAAGCAGAATTGGGGGTGGGGACTGCAGAGAAGGTGGAAGGTCTGGCCTCCATAGAGTGTCGCTGTCACTCCAGCTGCTGCAGCTGTGAATCCTGCTGTCCAAAGTGACCACCTCATCTTGCCTCATGGGTGGGCCGGTCCAGGCCACTGATATTTGCAGATTCTCCCACTTCCCCGTTTGTCTTTCCAATCCTCCATGCTTTCTTAAATAATTTCTTTTCGACCCAGATGCTTTGCGAATCTCTAGCTATCTTCAGCCACGCAATTTCTTCTGTGCAGGGCGGTGTGTTGCTCGCCCCACCCTGCGACAAACTCTTTTCTCCTTTTACAATCAAATATAAGACCACATGGAGTAATTCAGCCTTTCAGAGCAATCAATTCAGAATGATTTTCTGTCATTGCGATGCAGGCGGCACATCAAACCTTTCAAATCTCACCTTGCAGGGCTTGTAATGAAAATAGCCATGCAGAGAGAGAGAGAGAGAGAGAGAGAGAGAGAGAGAGAGAGAGAGAGAGAGAGAGAGAGAGAGATGCTTTTGGCTCCTACAAGGAGCTCCTAGCATCATTCTGTGTCATACAGACCAACTTGCAGCGCTACTCACTTACTCTGGTTTCACATTGCTGCCATGGTTTTAGTCAGATTTGCAGATTTTGCTTCTTTTAAAACTCATACAAGCTAAAACTCCCTTCAAATTTTAGACATAGAGAAGTTGTCCTGTGGTCCAAAAGAACTGAATTCTGCAAATGACGACCAAGGAATTTCAATGGAATAAAAGCTTATGCATTTTTAAATATAGTATATAAAAATGCTACCACATGAGGGCAGCATTGCCCAACTGAACCCCTTCTTTTCCAACAAAGATAATACCTCAGGACAGATAGGCATAAAGGAAAATAATCATTAAAAATATATGTTTTTTATTAAAAAAAAACTAGGTTATTGCAGAGGAATGTTTCAAGCTAAAAGTCTTGTCAGGCACTCCCTCTCCTTCTGGAGGATATTTTTGTTTAACCATTTGACAATAAAAATAAAAATTATATTTTGCTCTAGGCAAAGCCTGGCACATAATATATTAACCTTAGAGTAGTTATTGTAGCCCTGTTTGATCAGGTTGGGTGGGTGATTAGAGATATCGAATGTGCATTTTCATGTTTTGCTTTAAAAACACTGTAGACTTACTGCTGTTGTAAATACTGGTTGTTGTTCAGCCATTTGAATATTGGGGTGAGAAGAGGAATCGCTAATGAAGCTGGGGGCACTTCCAGACTTTCATTATTTTGGGGTGGTATTCAATCATGTCCCCAAAAATTCAGGTTGCAAAGTGAAAGCAACAAATCCACTTTTTGCTTTAGATAAAGTGGCAAGAAGGTGCACTGGAAAATGCGGGATAATGCCCTTGTTTTGACACGTCGTCTAACCTCCCTGCAGACAAATCAGAATGAATGCTCATTAAACAACCAACCTTGCCTAGCCTCTCAAGGACGAATGTGCAATGAATCTGGAGGTACCCTGGAGGAAAAATGCTACTGTGATCCAACTTGTGATTGACTGTGCCTCCACATTGCAAGCACATTGCCCAGTAACAGTAGCTTGTTGGTAATATGTGGTAATGGCTTCTTAGTTAAATCATTCCTGTTAATAATAATAATAATAATAAAATCCTTATTGTGGCAGTGTTGATAGGTTGCTTTAATTAAATCTGGTCACTTGTAGTGCAACTGACCAATCTCTGCTGCTCGGCTGCTTTTCATTTTAATTGCATGTAGAGCACTGAGAACTGAAATGATCAACCTTTAGGGTATTTTCATGAATTACTGCAAAGTCATCTGCACAAATTCTCTGCATCTGTTTTGATGATTGCACTGCCAAAGCATTTTGCTGCTCAAAGCAGAGCCCAAGTCCTTGCCACCAGGGGTCACTATTCCCACTTGTTTTCTGTTAAAAGCAGGGCTTTTTTACAG